GCGTAGATATGAGAGAAGCTAATAAGGCAATCATCAGAGGGAACTATCCTCTCCCAACTATGAACGAACTCCTCCCAAAATTCAGAAATTCTCAACTGTTTTCCAGATTAGACATAGAGAATGCTTTTCATCAATTAGAAATATCACCTGATTCACGTCATATCACAACTTTCATCAGTAGTAATGGTCTGTTTCGATATTAGAGACTGGTGTTTGGAATATCTTGTGCACCTGAAATATTCCTGAAAACATTAGAACGAATTCTTCTGAAGAGTGAAGGCACTGTTAATTCCATAGACGACATTCTAATATTTGGGAAAGATGAAACAGAACACAACTCTAGACTACGTTTCACATTGAAAACATTACGCAAAAATGATATTTTATTGAATGAGGCGAAATGCCTGTATGGAATGAAAAGTTTCCAATTCTTGGGTCATACTTTATCGATCAATGGAATCACACCTCTTGATAGCTATGTGGGGGTCATAAAAACGTTCAGATCACCAAAAACCGTAGACGAGATTCAAAGTTTCTTAGGCCCCATCAACTATGTGGGCAAGTGGATACCATACCTAGCGACATTAACAGAACCATTTCGACACATACTGAGACTGAAATTAGGAAAACATGCAAACATTGAAACTCATTGAAAAGACGAACAACGAAAGGCATTTGAACTAATCAAACAAATATCAACAAAAATCAAATCACTGGGATACTATAATCCAACTGACAGTGTATTCAGTTTGACGATAGGGGACCACGAATCATCGGATATAGGAATAAAAGTCTGACAAAATGCGAAAGAAGATACTGCCAGACAGAAAAGGAAGCGTTGACTCTTGGCTGGGCGGTCGAACATTTCAAAGCGTATTTGTATGGCAAGGCGGAGTTCGAGTTAGTGACTGATCATAAGCCTCTCGAAGTCATTTTCGGATCAAGATCCAAACCCTATGTACGCATCGAAAGATGGGTCCTTAGACTCCAGTCCTACAGTTCCAGAATAGTTTATAGACCAGGTATATCGAATATTGATCATTCTAGAACACGTGATTTTGACATGGTTTCTTGAGGGGCACACAAACTATCTGTTAGGTTACCTTTGATGAGCATTGCCCAGGCCGCCCCTCTGCCACATTCACAATATAATAACAGTTTCACCAAACAAAATTATGAGATTCTTTCTGGTTCCAACTCGGATTCCAAGGAAAACGATCCCACTTATTCTGGTTTTATATGACAGATCTTGACAAAATACAATGTTTGCCCCTCAGAAACCTGTCAAATGACGTAATTCTGGAATGATTAATAGCTGATTCGTTATCAAGGCTTTGCATCATAGTTCCATCTGAACCTTTCGACAAAGAAAGCGTTCACTAATTGATAGAATATTCACGACCTGTAGCAGTTTCTTTGAACGATATCAAACATCATTAGGAAATAGATGAGGAATTCGCCAAAGTGAGAAAGGGATTATTTGAAAACCACTGGGACCAGTCGACTAACGTTCATAAAATATTCCAATCAGAATTATGTTATCAAGACGGAATTCTTCTGAGAGGAAACAAATTCGTGATACCAACAAATCTAAGGAAAGATGTTTTATTGGCAGCACATGAAGGACATCCAGAAATTTCAGCAATGAAAGGCAGATTGCGAACAAAGGTTTGGTGGCCTAAGATCGATAGCGACGCAGAAAAACTAGTCAAGTCTTGAAGAGGATGTATCGACACCATTACGACCTAACCCTATGAAGCGACGGGAATTACCATCCAAGCCATGGGTTGATATTGCTATCGATTATCTGGGCCCTCTTCCTGGTAAATATTTTATATTAGTAGTGATTGATTATTATAGCCGCTATGAAAAGATCAAAATCACGAAGGACACAACTACTAGGAAAACAGTGGATTTACTCCAGGAGATCTTCTCTCGAATTGTCTATCCGTCATCGATAACAGCCGATAACGGTAAGCAGTTCGCAAGCCAAGAACTACATCAATTCTGCCATCAACGTGAAATAATCGTTTTCCGTAGCATACCATATTGGCCTCAACAAAATGGAGAGGTCGAAAGACAGAACCGAAACATTTTGAAACGAATCAAAATAAGCCACTCGCTGAAACAGGACTGGAAAAAGGAGCTCCTAGATTATCTAGTAATGTACAACAGCACCCCACACACGGTGACCGGTAAAACTCCGGGAGAACTTTTCACGGCCGACAGTTCAGAGATAAAATCCCAAGCCTCATAGACCTCGAAGATAATGAAGAGAGCAACGAAGTAATAGACAGAGATAAAATTGAGAAGGAAGAAGGTAAAGAATATAGCGACAATAAGAGGAAAGCTCAGGACGACTCTCTCCAAAAAGAGGATAAGGTTTATGTGAAAGAGATGCAGAGAGAAAATAAAACCTATCCAAATTTCACACCAGCCTCCATACAATCATTAACAAACATGGAACAGATGTGGAAGTCAGAAACGATGAAACAGGACAGAACCTGAGAAGGAACATAGTCCACCTGAAGGAAGTCAAAGGAGAATGGACAGTACTACCGAAAGAATACGATACTGTATGAGCAGACCAACTGACTTTGGCTAGTAGCTTTCATTCAAATCTTATATTTGTATATAACTATTACTATTATATTATAACCTATCATTGTCACTATCAGGATTATTATTAGAATTAGTAGTTATATTATTATTATCATTATTATTATTGTTATAAGGATGGATATCGTTAGTATTTCATGTTATTATCATTAGGATTGTACTTTTATTTAAGTAGTATCATTGATATGTCCTAATCGGAATAAGTATTCCTTCACATACATTGAAAGTGCTGAAAACAAGGGAGAGATGTAGTATCCAGTAATTATGAATAAACGGATCAGAAAGACATGAGTGAATCATCACCATCGCAATGCGGATAGGTTGAAATAATGATAAGGAGATTCATTAGTGTCTGGACGATCGGACAGTGTACATCGGTGTTTAATTGTGTTACCCAATCCCAGTATATTACATGATGTATTGATGAAATCAGCTCTTTAGGTAGGATCTAAAAATGCGATGAAAAACATCAGGTTATTCCATTCGAAATATCAATGTTGCTACTACTTTCCAGAAGAAAGCGGCAACACTGCATTGTCGAAAATATCTTACATGAAGAGAGCGTATTCTGAAATATAAGCATACACTTTTTCATGGATTTCTCCCGACTGATTCTCGATATAATGATAGTGTAAGCTCGTCGTGACATATATCCTGTATATTATATTGATTATAAAAGATCGAGTAAAAGATGGATGACACATCCATAGGGAGTGATTGGAACCACCAGTTTCCTCTATCTACAGGTTTGGTATGTACATTCAAATCTGAAACACCCTGTATAGGAAAAAGGTATTTTTCCATGAACAAATTTCGAATCGTCTTATTTTCTTCTAGTTTGCTCGTTTCGAATTATTATCTTGAAAGTATTCAACGAACAGACGTTTCTTATTTTGAAAACATATAAGGTAATTAAGTTAAATTTAAACAGGGAAATATATGAGGAAAAACATACTCACCAGCGTGAAAAATGCGAAGCTTTGATGAAACAACACGAAACACTAGAACAGCATACGATCGCGATAATGTAATCATTGATTTGAATGAGGGATACAAAAACACTACACTTGCACTCATTTTCAAGTGAACACTCTCCGTTTGGAACGATAAATAATTCCTTTCGCGTATTTTTCAATTGCGATCACAAAATTCGACCGAACGTGATGACATCTAATATAAGACTGTCTAATGACTAATAGGTAATAGGTTGAATCATGCTGCAACTTGATTAATTTCCGAACAAATGATGTATCTATGACTAATGACGATAATGAAATTATACAATATGTATAGTATACAAGATATATGATGAAGAATTGAACACGGATACTGGCACTATTATTTTCGAAAGTCTAACGATTTGAAAAAATTAAACACAGGCTAAAAATATAATTTTTACAAGAATCTCTTGTGATTTGAAAGAATTTAACAGTCAGAAGTAGCGAATAAATCTAGCAAATTTCTCGAGGAATGTAAAATGCACAAAGAGACACACAGGGTGTTTCAGATTTAAAAATACATTTTGGTTTAGACTGCCAGGCTTCTCTGCGAAGTTATTGGAAATAAGGTTGTGCTGAGTTACTACGTCTAACAGAGAATATTGCGAAGAATCCAGTGGCGTACTCAATTTTTTTAGGGGTTATGATTTTGGAGATACATACAGAGTGACCCATTTGAAAGCGGGCCACCCCTGTATCGCACGTAATCGTTGGGTAAGGATCATGAAATTTGCTGGAGCAAGATATATACCAAAAATGCACTCTATAACCAAGTGGGGTCATCTTCAGTGATATACACTGCTCGCCAACAGCCATGGAACCACCCCAATTTCCGGAAAATGATATTAGGAGTCAAAATAGGTTGAAAATCACTTCGGATTCGGAATCAGGACGCCCAATTCACTAACTCTTTATATTTTTCCTTGAAAATTTTCAGTTCTGAAAAATTAAATTTTGTCGCACTTTTCACGAAAGCACCCCCGTATCTCACGTAATTGACTTTATCTTTGGACTTCCCGTTCCTCCTGCAAATTTTAGAACCCTACCTCAATAATGTCAGCTGTCAATCTTTATTAGCAGAAACGAAATTTGTTCACGAAACTGCATTAATAGTCGTTGAATAATTGGGCCTTTGTCCGTCGAAAACTTCTGGAATAAGTACAGACTTCATGTACATCATGCAGATTTCCATAAATTTTAATCCATTCTATGTCATTTAGATTACCCCAAAGCACTATTGCCGCCAGGCGGAAGCAATATTGGTGGACATTCCTGTCATTTAAAATATGCGGAATATCCCTGATGATTGAAACAAAGACAAACAATAAATATAATTTATTTCGCCATAATACTGTAAAAAATATAAATATCACTCAAAATTTATCATAAGACCGGAAAGTTAGTGCTATGTTGTTGCTGTTTGGCGAGCTCCAAGAAACACAAAAAATAGTTTCTACTCTGTAAATTCACATAGAACGTCAACATCGGAGTTTCTTGTACAGTTTCCTCAGCCCCTGGCGAAGACAAAGGCGATATATCGATGTCAGAGTGCTCCGCACTAACCGAATCTGGCAAGTTCAGCAGTCCCTTAGTGCTTTTCACATAGTCCGCCACTCTCGCTCTGCTGACAGGGTCCATTTCCACAGCACACTCTTCCTCCGATTCCACTTGCGTCAGCGGAGGAGTCAGCTTGAACACGAGTAAGGTCGGATCACTGCTCGGACACACCGTCAGCTCTGAGAGGCTGATGATCCTCTGAGTCTCGTCTTCGTCCAAGTTGACGATGACGAGAGCGTCTAGCGTCAGTATCAAAGCTATCGCTTCGTACTGCGACGAGCTGGAGATGCTCGTGGCTTCCGTTACGAAGAGCATCTGGGAAGGAGACATGGCACGGATGTGCTTCCAATTGTATTTCAATATTGAGTAGGCGCTGTGTTCGATTTTGCTCACCAGAGGGGGTGAGCGAGGTTGGGGAAGTGAATTCCAGCCTGCGCCCTGGAGTAGACCTGTGGAATAGAGGCATGAGGATTTGATCAACAAATAATAACCAATTTCTGATATATTTTTTTTTCTTTTTTATTTACCTTCTCCAGTTAGTGCTACCAACTCTGCCGCTCCACTAAGAGGTTTGGTGATCATTCCGACCAACCCGAGACCGACACCTGTGACTAAAGATCGCGGTGAGGCCCCATCAACCATCATGGACTGAAGAGGATGGTGTGCTATTCCCCCCACAGCTCCCAGCAGACTTATTCCCAAACCAGTCAAGCCCTGAAAGATGATGAATCTAATTGAACCTAAAGAATCTAATCGAACATTGAATAAAACAGAATAGAATTTATTGATTTCATAATATCAAATAATGACATAGGACAGGTCAATAGGAACAAATTTAAATTGAGAAGTGTATCCGAAACTACATTTACCTTAAAATATTGAAATTGGTCAATGATATAGGTCAAAAAATACAATATACACCGTGTCCCAGCTAAAATGTCCCCCCCCTGTAAAAAATCAACCGCGCGATCGAATGAGTTGAAATTTGGTCACCCAGTATATTTGATGATGCTCACTCGAAATATGCTATTGAATAAATCGTAGGTATACAGGGTCACACCGAACTGCACCTAAACTTTTCTATTTGAATAGGGACACCCAGTATATTATTCAATATTCAAGTAGAGTTCATTATTACAAATTCAACAATGCCGGGTTTGATGGGATTTTTTCAAACGACTACGAAGATATGGCAAATTATTTGTCTCTTCATTCGTTCAAATGCAAGAATCAACCGACACTCCGGAAAATACCAGATCCTCCAGGGCCCCACGTTGGGCGCCATGTCTTATGGGTACATTACTTCCCTTTGCTTCATTTCTTCCAGAAATGGGTGGTTCTTGCATGAAACCAAGGAATGTGTCCGGAGAGGACGAAGGCAAATGTGGATGTCGTCGACTGGGCAGTCGAGTGGTTCGAAAATATATAGAAAAAACAGGGACTGACAGGAAAAGTCATTCGACATCCATCACCTTATGATTATTGGTGTGTGGCACAATTTGTCTCTTCATTCGTTCAAATGCAAGAATCAACCGAAACCACCCATTTATGGAAGAAATGAAGCAAAGGGAATTAATGTACCCCTAAGACATTCAGTGACTATATGCAGGGTGTTACATAAGTACAAAGGCTATACAAACTTGTGGCCAGAAATTTTTCGTTTCGGAGAGGATTTTGAAATTGATCTTTTTTCGTTTTCTCAAAATCACTAGCAAAAAAAATGGATTTACCTGCATGAATCCTTGTGCTAGACCCTGAGGTCTCTGTCGCCTCTGTTCTTCAGTCCTTCTCAAATGTTCGCCGTCCAAAGATAACCTATCCAAATTTCTGGCCACGCTGGAGGCTAGCTTTGTTACAGATTGCAGAGTTCCTGCAGTTACATGCTTCATTAGTGATGCAGAACCTTGAGTTATACCCCAGAGAAATGCCATTGGACCAACAACAAGACCTGTAAAATAAAATACATTAACTGAAAGGATCAATATATGAACATGGGAAAATTTGAAACTACCGGGATAAAAAATTATGTCGGAGATTGTCTGGAAACTATTTCATAGCAAAACTCGTATGTCTATGGACCAGCGAGGTTTTGCAATTGTTTGCCTGATTAGGTACGTACTCCCAAGAACTTGAATCGTCCAAAAGATCAAATTAGATAAACAAATTGACAAAATTTTAAGATATTTTCAATTTGATATTACTTATCATTACTTTTTTATTAAATTCGCCTTATTTCAATTCATTTTGGCCAAGAAAACTCACTAAATAATTCTTTGCGACCTTAGATAAATTACCCTGTATGTGACAAATCAATTGAAATTGTATGATAAGAACTATGATGATATTATGATTTACCTCTGTATGGAAGGCTAACAAAATCTCTCAATCCTGTTCCCATTGCTCTAGCTAAACCTCCTGGGCTTCCCAACAGTTCTAACGAGCTCACCACCCAACCAGCCCCAAATATGGCGCCTGACAAATAGTGCATTGTCAAAGCATGACCTAACCTAAAATATAAGCGTCATAAAGAAACATAAATAGAGAAAAAAGAGATTAGCAAAGTTTAAATCTTCATTTGCAAAACGCTTTCGATCTTCTATATATTCAGTGACACCTTGTTTTAGAAATGTATGATTCATTTTTGTCTATTGACACTTTTCAGTGGCAGAAGTTGACAGAAAGAATTGAGGATGTTTTCATCAATTGATCTCAAATTTACAATTACTATACTCAGATTTCTAAAGTGAATTCCATGTTCTACGAAAAACAACAATCAATTTTTGAAACGTATAATACATATGAAACAAGAATACTTTTCTTAGTAAGGATGAAAGAACATGAGAATAATACAAAGATAAGACATCAAACAATCCGCTTTCATTCTCCTGATCGAAAATTGCTTCCTGGTCAGTATTTACATAGATGCCATTATATTTTTACCTGTATGGTGTAGTAAACAGTCTTCTTCTTTCAAATTTACCAAAAGTGAGAGGCGACTGGTCCAAAGCTATATAAATTTTGACGGAGGAATGTACGGACAACAAGAGAGATACCGGATCTATAGTCAAATTTCTCAAAGTCAATGGTTTAGCTAAAATCGCACATTGCCAGGATATAATCTCCGGTACACTAACCTAAAAAAGTTGAATGAATTTCGAGTATTCATCTGTATCAGAAAAAATGTACTAACCGATCCTGACATGGCATGTGGATTGACCCTAATATTTCTATGTGGCCACATAACAAGTTTGATCGGTACGAAGACACTGAGGTAATCCATCAGTTTAGAAATATAAGTATCTTCGATGTAACAGGAAATTGGATTCACTGTTATTTTGACAGATTTGACACCTACAAAACAATAGCAAAACACATTTAAGAAATTTTATTTTTGAAGAGAATATAATTTACCTGTGATGAATTTATTACAAGACTGTTCAGTCCAAGTCTCCAAAGTTAAATCAAGTATCAATAATGCATTCTCATCAGCATTTTCTAGCAAAGCTTCTATAGGAATGTTCAAGGAAGATAATTTGTTGACGTCTTTAACATCCTGGCCTATCAGAATTACGGGAAAATCATATGATTCTCTCGAATAAAGCTGATTGTCAAATTGTACGCCAGACATTGATACTTTAACTTTCATACTCTAGAAAAATAATTCCAAAGTTAGAAAGTCATTTGAATCAAATACGTTTTGCAACATACTTCTATTTGTGTAGCTTTTAAAACAACATTATCACAGATGAATCCAGCAACCTCCCACCTCTCACTACCATTTAGTTCAAGGTCGGAAGTTAATATCACAGAAAAACTCTTTAAAAAGACCTTGACATCAACAGAACTCCATTTACTTCTCATGGGTACAGTACTAACTATGAGAGACTTCGTTCTAGTAGAAAGCAACGTCAAATTTGTCTCTGACCAATGGTATTGGCTCGAGTAGAAAGAAGATTGTTGACTATCATTGAACGGATGGGCTCTTTGCATCAATTCGCTTTGCTTGCTAGTACTAGGTAGAGAAGTGTCAGAGAGAGATTTTGGTATATTAGTGGTGTCGTATGGTTTTGAAGAAACTAAAGCAGTAGGTTCCTGCAAAAACAACATTTCAAAACGCTATAAACACTCAAGTATACAAAAACTACCGATGATTTCTCCAAAACCCTAGTTCCTTCACTCTCGTGCATAGACAGTCTCACCCTTATGTCTCTAGCACTGAATTCAACCTGGCTCACTGAATCAAGTGTTAAAAATATTATACACGCAGCATTAACTATTGTAACCTTGATATCCCCATAGTATGGTATCCTCAGGAACTGTTCATTATCATGCACGATACTAACCGGAGTTGACCACTGGAAGTCATTCAAATCACCTAAGAAAACAATAAAAGTTGTCAAACATTCGATACAGTTGACCACAATATTCTCCTGAAAAACCTTAATTCAATGGGCATCAGAGGTATTGGAAACGATCTCTTGAAAACTTATCTAGAAAGAAGGATTATCAGTCCTAAAATCAATAATTGTGAATCTAAAATACTATATATAAACAAAGGAATTCCCCAAGGATCAGTGTTGGGCCCAATTCTGTATCTTTTATACATTCAAAACATTTCAAAAATGAATTTGATAGGAAACTATGCCATATATGCCGATGACACAGTACTTTTATTTGAAAACAAAAACCCTGTAATTTTAGAAAACAACATAAATGAGGATTTGAAGAAAATGTAAGAATGGCCTCCTTTTCCTTAATTATAATAAGACCATGGACTTCTTCCAAAGATTAAACAATGCCAGTCGGGCAACCTGGGTCCAGTTCTACAAGCGCCTCCTTCTTCAAAGAAAAACTACAGCGTTGGACATTTGGTTCAACAAGGAATGCCTTCGTCGCAATACATTTTCTTGGCTGATGATGGGCTTATATAAGCACGAAACATGTTCCCTTATATGATCTATGATCATTAAATAAAAGTTGTGGAGATGACTTTGGGTTTTCATCTATGATATAACTTTCTATCAAAGGAATTAATAAAATATTGATTTGAATATTAGAATAAACAATGAAAGATTGAAACAAACTGCCTATACCAAATACCTTGGTATTTGGATTGATGAAAAGTTAACATGGGACAAAAGCATATTGGCATGCTCAAAGAAAAAATGTCTCCCATAGTTGGTGCCCTAAGAAGATGTCCAAAACTTTTCCCAAATATAGCAAATACCGTTCTATACTCTCACATCCTTAGCAAAATGAACTATTTCATAAATATTTGGGGTTCATGTTCCAAGAAAAATGTTAACAGGATATCTGTACTATATAAAAAAACATTAAAAGTACTGTATCGTCTTCCATATCATCAAATCAACTTTATGAGGAAACAAATACATTTTTTTTGGAAGAGCACTATCTGATACATACTCTCAAAATTTCTTTTGATATTATCAACAAACACCTCAAATCTAACTTCATATTGGTAAGGAATTCTCAAATCCATGAACACCATGAAGATATCAAAAGATTCACAAATATCACCCAAGTCAAGAAACATAAATCAATTCACTAATTTATTTCATCATGTCATAATGTACTTTTCATGAGCTTTTTGTTTTATTCTTATTATTATTTTTGAATATGTTGTTATTTCAATTACTTAGATTTAATAACGCATGAATAATCTCATACCAGATATGAATCTGATTATTCATGTTACTTCATTGTAAATCTTAATAAAATATACAGGGTGTCATTGAAGTATGTGGCCAAACCTCAGGAGTTGATTTTTCTAGTGATTCCAAGTCGAAAAGTTCATGTTAACATGGGTCCGAAAATACACCGTTTCCCACATACAGGGTGTTGGGGATTTCAAGAAAAAAAATCGCTTCTCCGTAAACATCGCAAAAATCTCTGTTCCAATTTTGTTGAAATATTGCGGTGTTATTTGTAGGAGTCAGGCACTAATTAAGCCATTACTAGAGTTAAAAATCTTTTTTTTTAAGTTTCACACTATGTATCTTGGAAATTCTGCATTTTCAGAGCTATGGTCATATGAACTTTTCTAACAATCACTAAGAAAATCGCCCCTTGAAGTTTGACCACATATTTAAATAACACCCTGTATTTATATTTATATGAGATGCAATGTAATGTTTATAGCAAAGAATGAAAAATAAATATTATTATTATTGAGTTCACTCACTTTCAGGATCACACGCCAAAACAATTTTCTCAGAAAACATTTTCTGAGGCATCTCTGGGAATTTGTCAGACAACACCGGCATAGTATAGTACCGATACGTCAAATTATCAATCCTGCAATACCACTTGAAATGCTGTGCTTCTTTTGCCACTCTGCCCTCTTCAAGAGACTGTGCGCAAAACATGGTAGTACCAGTTTTATTTTCGATAAAAAGTTGTGGCGTCGTGTCATTGTGGACAGCCAAGAAAGTTTGTCCTTTGTGCTCCTGACAGGTGAGGACAACTGGTATGGGATGGTCTGTAGAAGCTATACAGAAGGACTTTCGCAAAAACGGTTTGTCTACTCTCAAAGGACATGACCAGCCCAAATCAGGCTGCACACTAAAGGATATGTAAAGTGCATAGTCTGAAGTTGAATCTTCTTTAGTTAGGGTGTGCCACTGGATGATTGAAATACCTGAATTACTAGAAAAACAAAAGAAATTATGGAATAACCATGCATTGTTGAATTCAAATCAAAGATCGTTGTTTCAGCAACAGCAATGAAATGAAACAACTGATATCATGAATAAAAAATTGAAAACGAATATTATTTTGATACGGAATTCTGAAATTCATAATCATGAAACTAGACAATATAACTTGTTTCATCTTGACGCCGCTGGCTCCATAGTCCTAAATATAGGTACATTCAAAAATGAAGTGAAAAAACTGATTATTTCTTTTTCTACAAATATTATTCTTTGTTTGCCAGTTTACATTTGTTGATATATTTTGAATGATGAAATGTGTACCTATGGGTATATAATTATGTACTTCCTTATACCAGAGCCTATTCTGTCTGGAAGTTATTTGTTCAATAAATAAATAAATAAATAAATAAATAAATAAATAAAATCATATAATTTGTATAGTTATTTAGTTTATAAACTTGAACACACTGTGTGAAACGACCCTCTATTGTTGCTATGAATATGAGAATAATAAGAATATTTTCCTACAACTGTCACAAAACTGCACTTTCTTAATATATTCCGTTTGCCTACAGTGTACAATTTTTCAATATCAAAATAGTGTTTCATTATTTTACGGAGAAGTATGAAAAAAGTACACTTTTTTCACGGTTGTTGCTAGGCGATGGAATGAATGCTTGCATGAAAGTGGCTCATACACTGCTTTGTTGGTAGGCTGTTTTGTTCCACGAACAAGTCTGTTTGAAAAAAAAAATGACGCAAAATCGTCTGTGTGGCTGCAAAATGGTCGTTTTTGATAGCCACACACCACACAGCGTCATTTTTGTTCAAACATACTTGTTCGACGAACAAAACAGCCCACCAAAAACGCAGTCTATGGGATCCTTTACGGGATTCAGCAAGGCAGCAAGCGAACAAATCAAGGCGGCTGACTTCGTATTTTGTGTAGTGTGCCAGTGATATCCTCGCGTATTAAATAATAATAAGCTATGCGAGCGGTTACAATTGGTACTTTCTACTAATGCTTCATATTATGGATGTGGGGCTAATAATAGGAGTTATTTCATTCACAGTGTGTTCAAGTAAATAAACTAAATTACTATACAATATATATAATAATTGATGATTTCAATAATTATCGTGATTCACAAAAATGTACTTTTATTTTGTTATATGTTTTTATCTTTTATCAATACCCACATCATTTATCGCTTCATTTTCGGATCACCTAGTATAACTCAATAGTTGAAGATAAACTTATGAAATACAATATCATATTCACTTAGATAGGTACCTTTTTTGAGAATGTGGTGCTACTGTGAAGCAATACGGCTCTATGTTCACTGGAAAGTCATATTCATCGTCCCCTTCCGAGACTGCAAAGCATATCACTTGTACTTGCATCGACATATGATTGGACAGAACGTGACTAGATGACACCTGTTGAGTGAGAATCTAAATACAAAAAACTTGTAAATTTCACATGAAAGTTTACCTTAAGTAATCTAATTTCATTTGAAATAGAACTGCTGACAGATACCATGGAGATGTGAGACTCGCTTTTGACAGCAGTTTTTATAAAACCTTCTAGAGGAATAGTACCTGTTATCTTTGGCATGTAAAAAGATTGGCTCCAGTCTGATTTGGCCAACTGAAGGGGCTCTGATAGACACCAAGTGCCTCTTGTACAAACACCTAGATTGAAATTTTCCTAGAAGTAATTCATTCATCAGAAGCTAGTGAATATGATAATCTCAAATATTCTAACCTCTAACTTAGGTGGTGCTACAACTCCATGATGTTGTATCCTACATAACTCAATACCATTCAACATGATAGAAATTGGTACTCCTAAAGTGTTAACTGTGAGACACCATGGCAAAAGCTCCACTAATAACGAACATGAATGCTCAGATGCATTCTGGTACCTAACCTATAAAAAATGTCAGTGAGTTCCCCAAATAAACCTAGTAGAAATAGAACTCTACTTGAACATGTGTTAGTGGTTGATCTTCCACTATCCAATTAATGTCATTCAAATCATCTCCTAAATAGGGCCACTTTGATTCACTGAATTTATCCAAGACACTAAGTATATCTTCGATATCTTCTTCGGCAGATTTTTTGAAAAATTCTTGTTGATCTACAAGACTATAGTTGAGGGGTACATAAGGATTCGATGAATCATTCCTGTTACTAAAAATAAAATTCTCAACATTAGACAATAGATAGTAACCCTAATGGCGAATTTCTTACTCAATTTTAAAAGTTAATTGATGCGAGTGGTCGATGGTACCAGGACAATAAAGCTGCTGTAATTCTCCTTTACCATTGACAACTGAGTCTAGATGTACTTTAAGAGTAGGTGTCTCAATATGAATTTTAGAATTGACGGCAAGATTTGACTTGACCATGAATAGAGGCCAGAGCATCGCTAGTACTCTTTTTGTTTTCTGAATATCCTGAATCACTATACGACACCAGATGCTAAGAAACTGACCACGTTCTTGCAAAGGAACTAAAAATATAAATTAAAATTCAAAATCATGTAGAAACCTTTCGTTTTAGGCCTTACCTTTAACTAACCAAGGTTGTGATCCATTGTTATGTTCTCTGAGAGGAATATCACCAGTCCAAGCTGATTCCAACCCGTAAAATCTCAACCTCAGAAAATACGTCTTTCTTTTGTTCAACAAAATTGAGGCGGAAGTGCTCCTGCCAGCTATCACATAAGTAGGCGAGTTTTTGAATTCGTTCTCTTTGTTTTCTTTGAAGGATTGAGCCTCTATAACTTTCAACTCGAAATGCTCCATCAGCATATTGCTGACTACTAGCTGACCAGATATTGTCACTTTTTTCTGTGTAGCCGACAATGCAGTGACAGAAATCAACATGGAAACATTATTCTCGGTATTGTACTGTATTGTTTGAATTCCTTCATCGAAAATCGTGAAAGATTTTGACCAGACCCAACCGTTCTCTTCCAAGGCCACTTTCAATTGTTGTTTCTTCTTGTGTGACCTCCAACTGTATACATGAAAATGTTTTGGCGGCAAAAGGATATCCTCATCGGTAGCTGTTTGACCGAATCTCATATTCGTGTTGGTGTCATTGCAGATTACGTATCGAGTCATCACGATGAAATCTCCTTTTGTATCCTTCCTTTTGTAAGTCTGGTCCCACATTTGTGTTGCTATTGCAAAAGAGTGAGCAATGCTAGGTCCAAATTTGACCTTGAAATCAAGATGTAAATCGAGATGCGACAAAATTTCAGTAAATTTACCTGTATGGGTCTAGAAATGAAGTTGCAACTCAGATGATCCTTCATGTTAACTTCGATCTTGCAAGTGAAGGGTTCTATTAGAGGCTGTTCAGTCAAGAAATTGTAGTCCAGTACATTGCATTTAATGGCTGAACTGAGTTCTGTGGAAATAATGTCAAATTCCCAGCTAGACAAGTACCCAGTTAGGTTGTACCAGGTGAGGGTGAGGAAACGTTGATTTTCAGGGAATAATAGGTCAGGGGTGTAGTTTTTGAGGCAATCTGGTAATTTGGTGAGAAATGTTTTATCGAAATAGTTGTACAGTGAAACGTCAACTTTCGTTATGTATAAAGCTGCTGTCAAATTGGGAATGAGCAATTTATTAAAATATGAGTCTATTCTCATACAAGCTGCTAAAGCTCTAGGAGAAATGAGTATATTCGTAGATTGATCTTCCTTGTCATTCATCATAGTTATAACCTTAAAATACAATAGTTGAATTTCCATTGGATGTGCCAGTATTCAAACTTACAACTCTCCATGTGGCAGCTACTATAGGCTGTGGGCTCCCTTCAGGCAGTGACAAATGACATACTTCACTCTCTGATAAATAAAACTGGGTGAACGGTAAATAGCAATTCCTACAATCCGACCAGTACTCCAAGTGGCAAAGCACCTGTAAGTCGTCTTGAGACCCCAACGTAATTTTGTAAGGAACAGGAAATACCCTTACTTTCGTCAATGCTCTCGGCTGGGGGTAACGCCAAGCCATAGCCGATATGTTTTTATTCCAGAACATAACCTAGAAACGAAATGACAAATAATTCAACAAACTCACACGCCATGAAATTCACCTGGTAAGGCAAAGGCTGTTCATCAGAATTGTCAGTACTGGCATCAACGAACTGAAATGCTCCAGCTCTGAGATCATCTTTATAATGTTGATCCTTTTCGGAACCCTTCCTTTGTATTGGTTCCATGAACAACAAACCATCACTCTTTTCTTGTTTGAAAGATAGACCAGACGCGAACTCACTGATATCCTTAACTACCATTTCAACACATCGAATCTGTTCGGGGCTTATATCTATCACGATGCAATCTGATTCGGCACTAACTTGGACTTGAGGGTTACTGTCTAAGCTTTGCCAAGCCTCCCAAAACATAGATATGTCGAATGATATCGTCCAAGGGTTGAGAAGAAGTTTTCTGTAAGTTTCTTTTATGACAGTTAAGGTTATGCAGTGGAAATTCGTGTTTACAGATAGTTTTTCTGGTCGGACCGAAAGGTTCAAAGAAGATTTGAGCTTCTCAAAACCTAGATTCAGCTGCAATACAAAAATGAAATTGTAATGTTTCATTTCCGTCAAGATTTGGTTCTAACCTCATGTCCACTATCAGATTTCACAGATAATATTATCTGGTTGAATTTGGCATCTATACTGTTGGTACCTCTCAACATGTCCTTGATATCCTGAAATTTACTATAAGTACCCCCTACTTTATTTCGTCCGGGCTTGGATGACATTAAACTAGAAGTTTCAGAAACCTTCGACACACTTTCTGGTATCACAAGATCCTTTTGGCTACCTCTGAATGTTTCTAGAACCTAGAACGAATCTACGGTCTAATGAAACTGTACATGGTGTTTGCTAAACACAGTATGTCGAAAATACATATGGATAATTTTTGTTTTTCGTTGACCAAAGGAACAACCTATCAATTTCTGACATATGTTCAGAAAAAACTCTGTAAATCATTTGTTGCACACTAACCTTTTCTTTTACGCTGAATAAGTAGCCCCATGCGGAGGGTGAACACAGAATCTTCGTTGGTTTTGATAACTCAAAGCCCAAGGTAGCATTCTTACCAACACTTTTAGAAAATCGTACTGCAAAAAACAGCGGATATATTCCTGTATTAGCATCAGGAACACCACACCTGGTTTCCAAGATATCTACAGGATAATCGTCTTCAGTAGGTATCCTACCAATAATAGGAAGGTATTCTGAACCAATGAGTTTCAATTTCAAATCGAAAATAGATACATTGATCTTTTTCACAAACTGTTGCTTGGAGACAAAAGCGTTTGGTTGCTTCAAGCAAACATAAATCAACGGTTGATATTTCTTGCTTGATTCTTCCTGGTCCTCGACATTCTCTTCTTCTGCCTCATAACCTAAGTCTTCATCAACCCTTTTGGTGGTTCTCCTTTTTCGATTCTTCTGTTTGACGTGAGAAGGTTTTGGAACATCCATTTGATAAAGAGCTAGGCATATTTTTCCTGCGGTGACTAGTAGCTCAAATGGTATTGAGGCATAACTTTTAGGCAAAGGGTTTGGAGGTCTCGGAAATAAGTATTTTTCTGTCTTATGAATAGTTTTCACAACTTTGGATGATAAAAGACTTCTCATATCAGAAGTTTCGATGCCAGAGTCACGAAGTATTTCCATTGTTTCAGTTTCATCGATTTCTAGTGGGGTGGTATCAAACCTCGAATAAGGGAACTTGATTTTGGGCCTTTTCATAAGCCCTTCATCGAGAATAAACGGTTCAACTAATAAGAGAAATTCCCCCAATAGAGCCGATACGAGCCTTATTTGATGCAGTGAAAGATTAACGAAGATATCCGTCACAAAGTTCACCTCAATGGAGTGTCCACAAACAACAGTAGCTTCTTTATAGACCATAGCAGGTGCTGCTATGATAGAAATATCAAATTTCTCAGTGACGTACCAGAGATTCAGAATTGGAGTAAGATTAGGTTGACCCTGATCTAGGTTATTCCATTCTAATGCTGGGTTTTCGCTCAAACCTCTAAGCACTGAGGTTATGTTGCCTTTTGGAGTAAAAACCGAGTCAATGTCTTCCCAGGTGCCAGTAGATATTGACATACCAAGTAGGTCGAGTTGGTACTGCCTATCTTCCACTTCACTTCCTTCAAATATTAAATCAAATGTGTCAGATGTAGAATGCCAAAGTAAATTTCTTGATATTATACCTGGTATGTTTAAAATTCTTGCATGTGCAGCCTGATCATAGATGTCGGACCTGATTGGTGTTCTACAGATCGGATTTATTGCTGAAGGATTCAAACATATTTTCTGCACTTGGAAAATAATGACATCATGAGTAGCTTTAGCGCATCCTAGTTCGACCGAGGGCATTATGATTCTTATATCTTGGCAATCCAAATAGGCCAGAGGTAAAAGTTGGTTATTAATATTCAATGATGCGTTAGAATCAACGGTTTCTGGTTCATCACTGATGGGAATTTGTAGCAGAGGAACCATTACCAAATAGAAACTACGTAGAGTTTTCAGAGATATAACAAAATCTGCAAAATGAAATGATAGAAGGCATGGTGTGGTTTATGATAATTGAATGCAGGATTGCCAGGTTTTCCAGGTACTTACGTTGCCTCCAATAGCAATTGCATAATATGAAAACGTGAAGTAATTGAGTTCAGACATAAACCCAGAAAACCTAGTAAATCCAGTAAATAGTGTCAAAGAATAACAAAATGTACCTATTGGTTGTATGGCAACAACAACCTCTGTGATATACCTCGACAATGATAATAATGGAGGATTAGAAGTGTCTCCTTTTTTTAGATCTTTGTTGCGTTTTTGGACAGCACCCCACAAAGTATGAGTATGCTGACAACTGGCTCTGGTGATAGTTACGTTTATAAAACCGCTGTCTTCATGCCTTTGACCTGAACCGACATCTTCCCGCAGTCTCATTACAATACCAGAAAAAGGACCTGGGTTCCATTCAGAACTAGGGCTTGTCCTGGAAAAGATTTGAACTATTGCGAAAATATATAAGATAAACTGTGGCAGATCTCTGGGATCCACATGAATATCATAAAAAGCAAAATCATCACTTATTAAATGAAAAAATTAACTTGACCTACAGTGTGGAGACTTTAACTGGAATGAATACGTTAAGGGGGAGGGGAATATTTTTCCTAGAAATTCTCGATATACTTCTACGATTCAATGTATTGCAAACAATATCGAGAATATATCCCTCCAGGGGTTGCTTCAATTTTTCTTTTCAACGTATCAATTGCTCAAAATGTGTTGAACAATTGATGGCAATTTTTTGTCACAACTGCTGTCTGCTATTGTATTCCGTGGTTTCTATAGTGCCACAAAAATGAATTTAGTGTTTTGCCGAATTCACAGTTCGAAACGGAGTGTTATTGCAAACTGGTGGAAATGCCCTATATCACTGTCACTAAAAGTCGACATTTTGATGAAAATACGTTGAAAATATATTGAAATGGTTAACTTTGGGACATCATGTGATCGCGTATATGCCTTGAATATGCATAGGCGTTGGATCAAGTGGTGTCCCAAGGTTAACCTGGTCGGACTCTACCAAAGTTGCTCTTATTTTTATCCCAAAAAAACTCAAACCCGGGAGCATTTTATATGTCAAATAGAAGAGTATTCCACTGATAGTTGGTAACTACAGAATTATATTTATATGTCTGTAGTGTATATTTATACCATATTATATTTTACTTTGTTCAATTTATTTTTTCTCATTCATTGACGAACTACGGCTATTGTAGGCTAAGTGATTTCAAAGAAAAAATAAAAATTATTTATCCATCTGTAAGATGACGATACCTCTGAAGGAATGTTAATGATGGCGAAATAAAATTATGGCACCTAAATCGAAATCCTGGCAATGTTTATGGTTGAATTCTACTCAGAATGTGTGTTTGTTCTCAGGATTTATTGTATCAATAAATAATACAGGAAATAAATAAACTGTGATAGTGTGATCATCTCTCTTAATATAAGGTAGGTATAATATTGCCTCCAAAATTAACCAATTAGAGTGGAAGCCAACGTTTTCCTATGATTTCTAAGGATTATTTCTTCTTAGTTGGCATGGACTATATTATGCCCATCTGGAATTCTTCAGAGTATGATTGACCTAACCAATATTGGTTCAATATTCCATCATACGAATTTAAAAGCCTCTGAATTTCAATTGTACTCCATATTTTATGGTAATTTACCTTGGATAATTGAAAACCAGTAAGTGGTTTATACAAACAGAATGAGAATTTAGATTTCGCGTCCCTACCTACTGACTTTCTAGTTTTTATGTTATTTTACCTTTTATAATGCCGAATAGAAACAGACCCAATCTTGCTCTTAACCTTCAAGTACACACTCTGGAAATCCAACGAGCTAACAATATCCTCCGCATCCAAAACCAACTTCAACCTCGGCTGCAAAGACTCCGTTTCGTCCTCGGGGCCATTCTTGTACTCTCTGGACAACAGTTCGATCGTGAACCTCGTTATAGTCCATTGCACCCAAGCCGTCAATTTGACACTATCGCTGTCAATGTCTTTCTCGGTTAAGGAGCTCATCGGAGGCGTTCGCTCACTCGTAGAATCGAAAGTGTTTTCTCTGACGACAGTCGGGGACACGGTAGAGCTGTTCTTGCTGACAACAGGGGGCACTAGTTCGGGAGTCTTAGATACCACTTTGGTTTTCTCCGGCATCAAATTGGTTACGACTTCCATAAGGCCGTAGAGTATGCTCGCGAACAGATAGACCTACATAAAGAGTACTATTTAGATCTGAAGAATCAACCTGAATGGGGAAGATTCCTATATTGAGGATTTCATCTCACTGTGAAGTTTGTAAAAAATTAATATATACGTATTTTTCGATCAAATTTCACTTCACAGAAAAAATGAATAAAAGAGGAACTTGGCTCCCCCACCATTCCTATGACTTACTTTCTGAAAATTCACATTAACACAGAGTTAAAATACGATTTCCTGTGCCAGTACGACGTTGCATCAATATGTCGAGATTTCTATATCATAACAGCAATGGGATATAATAGGTTCTTCAATCCTACTTTGTCAAGTATTATGAATAATAACTATATATCTCTCATTGGCTAAATGAAGTTGATTACTAATAAAGATAAATTATGATATTTTGCGATAGTACCTATAATATTTCACTATCGTTATATTACAATATGTTATTCATAACTCAGTTAGTAATTTTTTTGCAAATGAATTCGTTCCTTCTAATAGAACGGATCTATTTTCTAGGAAAATTGCAGGTATCTTGCAACAGCGCCTCTAATAATTGGAGTCCGTCCACACTTCTCAAAATACTGACAGGAACAACAAGAGGAAGGATCCATGGGTGTCGGCTTCATTCTGTTCTGACCGATGGCAGTAAATTAGGAAGGATAGTATCATTGAATGTAGCCGATAGCGATTCATTGATTCAATGATATTTTAGTTTAGGATCGAGCCCTGTTCGAGATATTTCAATGCATAAATAACAAAACCATAACCTGTCAGAATGAAGCCAACTACCCTCTGCATTCCTGCTCCGAGTGCATTTGTGGTTATGTATGTTTTGTTTACCAGTTTCACTTCTTCTTTTATTTCTTTCATTCGGTTTTCATTCGTTAGCTATTCGCTAGCTATATTCTTCACCATCAGCTATTTTCAGACTAGATTCAGAATGTACAGTCGCATTAAAAAAAACGTACAAGTATATTACAGAGAGAAATTAACGTCATCCTATTCTGCATAAAACGGGCTATCAAGAATGATTGTTCACCAAATGTTGACAGTAAAAATGTCATAGATTCTCGAAAACATAATGCATTGGCTGAGCCAGTTTACACAACTAGAACTAAGATCCCGAAATCCTCTCTTGTTAATACTTGTACGCTTTTTTTATTGAATACGACTGTACGTCACAGTTTTGAGTTTGCCGCTCCGAAAATCAGAAATTGCTTTAATTTGTGAATGAAAACGACTTGGAGATTATCGGTCACCATTCTGTACATCGTGGACATAAAACTGGAGAGGTTTTTCAAAGTACTATTCATCCTTCCCTCCCTCTTTCATTTGAAGAGTTAGTGCATTTTTTTATCGAAATGATTGGAAATCAACTCGAGAACATGAAAAAAGTGTTTTTGATATGTCTTGATATATCAAATTTACATAAAAACCCGTTTATCAAACTGGCCAATGCAATTCCCCCCTTTAGGGGCTGTCCTGGAAACTTGAAAATAATTTCCAGAGATTTTTCTTGGCCACTTTTATCAGTACTATTTTTTTCCGAAACCTGTGCGGCAAATAGTTTCCGATATACAGCCGGCGTCCTTTATTAGTGGCACACCCGGTACATATATTTACGGATTATTGACATTATTGAAATTGATCGTTATAGTGGATCTATCGTGAGACGCTACAGAAACCATTAATCCATGCAGATTATAGTTGTGAATAGAACAGCATACAAATCTCTGTGAAAAGTTACATCACTGTCTCGAGATATTTAATTCATATCGCGCTAGGCGCCTCAGTGAACTAATCTCTCGACAGTAATGTAACACTTTCCACCTTGGTATGAGATATACAATTTTTTTCCATTCCATACCTGCACCTCTGACGTCGACACCACTATAGGGGTCATGTCAATGTGAACACACACCCCCAGATAACCCAAATCGGTCTTGGCACTGCTCATCGACATGTCTGCCTCGCTTCGGATCGGCCTAGTAGACAAACCGACCGTGGAGTTGAGTGATACGGGCTTCAAGAATATCAGTTTGTTGCCATCTTGAATGGTGTAGCAGCTCAAGTCCGATATGGACATTGTCCAGGGAAAGCTGGACTTCGTTGCCGTCCATATGGTGTCGGGAAAACTAGCTGGGAGTGTTTTCAGAAATTTGGTGATGCTTTGTCTGTGGGCGCTTCGGATATTCGCGAATGGTAAGGTGATGACCATGATGTCTGGTGGATGTTCTTTGTTTACGGCTGCATCCACTGCTTCTTGGATGCCTACAATGCATTAGGAGCATAGTGGAAGGAGAAGATGGTGTGCTCAACAGGAAGCTCAAACTCGTCTTGTTCTGCGCATGACATCAGCTGGGATATAACTGTCATTGTTATTATTTGTTTTCGTGATTGATGTCTCGAACTTCAGATATTATATAGGTAGGTACTAAAATTGAATGAAATAATTTCGAAATGCCTACTTGTTTCATTTCTGGTTATGGAAATTCCAACTAACATACAAAAGGCACATATATTGAATTTTTCTGCTTTTCCAAGAATGGAGACCTAACGAAACGGTGGTAAGCTTGATGCCGACAGAATATAAAGTCCAATAACGGTACCTACCTTATATTTCTTATATCCTCATTCCAGTAAGTATTCCCCTATCATCACATTCATATTACAGCACGTATTTCTTCAAAACATTTCTATGCAAAATGTTCCCAAACGAGTGCGAAAGCACAGATTACCAAAAAGGTTTGTTAATCTGTGGCGAAAGTACGGTTCTTGAATTACACACCTCCAAAAAATCACAAATATTCGAAACAAGATGCCATTCCTACAGAACATCTTCCGAATATCAAGACAGTAATAATTGAATATGATTTCAAAACTCTTAATTTTTCACAAAATATAAATTGCAGCAAAGATTTGACAAACAAAACGGCAAAAATTGATACTCCTGTTGTAGATGCCAGAGCAAAAGCAACGTCAACGTCGTTAACTGCTGAATTTCAATCTGTCAGAATCGACACAGTAGTGGATCATTCAAATGGGATTGGCAATGCATGATAATTCGTATGCATTTGTTATTTGCGATTGCGAATTACCTCAAGATCACAATTTCCAGAATCAATGAAATAGTAAAATCGAAGGAATAGGTACCTGTTTATATAAATTGAATTAATTCTACACATATCGAGAAACTTATAGAAATTTCAATAAACACAGTTGAATTCATTGCGCACGCCCATGGCAACGGTATCTGTTTGTGACTAGCAGTTGATATTGGTATCCCAGATGACGTCACATAATATGCGCGTAGGCACACCATCTTCTCCTTCCACTATGATTAGGAGAATCAAGAAAGAAAACTTTCTGAGTTGTTTCCACAGATTGAATGTCAAGCAGACAATCCTGCTTCAAGAATACTTAATACGTTTCAATCATCAGTTAAAACGGACCCAAATTGGATCTACAATAAAAAACTTGTATTTTATCTTGCAAAATACATAATCAGAATAATTGTTGAACTTCATGTATCACGGTTTATAGGTCGCGTGCACGATGACCGACCCTAGAGGTAAAATATTGAAACACAATCTCACTCTTCTGTAAAACATTGAAACACAACCTTACTTTTTTTATTTGTTTACTGAGGAAATAGTTTTAATTCATAATGAAAACTATGTGAGATTACTATTTACCTGAAAAATCATATTCCTTCGTCTCTCGCTGCATTTTTTGTGCATTGTACAACAGCACAATGAGAAGGCATGCTTGAATTAATGAATAGCGCAAAAACACGGTTCGTATGCAAAAACAAACAAAAAAAGTTAGGTTGTGTTTCAATATTTTACCTCCAAGGTCATCGTGCACGCGACCTATTGACTTTGAATTTGAGGTTAAAAGGTATTCGCGAAAATCACGAAGTGTGCGGCCTCTGGTGGCAAACTGTACAAGTCTTGCGAGTATGAACAACAAATATGGCGACCATTGTTTTGAATTTCATAAATATGTGTTTTATTGGAAAATAATTTATTTGTTGAAGTGCATATTCCAGAACCTCATTTCTTCCTGATGAAAAAACTGGAATTATTGCATGAACTTTTATTGTTTACAATGAAGAAACCAGTACCTACTTTATAATAATATAATATACATTTTCTGAAGCACAATTAGAATCATTGTATAAATGTTGGTTGCAATGATTCGATCTTGAGAATAACCTCAAGTCCTAAATTGTTGGAGATCCTTGTTTATGTAAATCGATGATATTGTTCATTCTGAGCAGCCTCTCCAACCATATCTTCTTTTCCAACCCCTTCACTAGAATTCCATCTCCTTCATAAAAGCCAGTGATATCTCTTGATGAATTCAATAATTTCTTCATACCTATACCATATTGTTGTAATAGCTGATTGCTTGTATGGTTCCATTCCAGTCCATGCAAGTTTGAGTAGACCATTCCGATCATTCCATATGTTTGAAAACTGTGGGATTGTAGTGTGATATCAATGATGAAAACCACCATTGTCCACATTGAAATGGCAATTTCTCTGCACAAAAAGTAATTTTTCCCATACTGGAAACCTTGTACGTATTTCAAGAAGTCAACTTATTATTCACTATTTTGCAAAATGATTTGGAAATAACCAATTTGCAATGAGTGCATACGGCAATGTTTTTGTTGTTCATACTCAGTTGGAAATTTGACGTTGATTTGACGTTTAATAGAGCCATCTATTGGTTCGTGATTTTCGCGAATAGACTCACAACAATAAAAATAATACCTTGTGATCCAATTGCTGATAGCGACTCCAATGGAAAATAAATAGTACACTGAGATACATCTCCATATAGAAATATCCCTTTCCAAACATCAAACCACTTTTTCAATACGTTATAGATTCTCTCTTGCATATCAATTGTTTCTTCTCTGATAACTTGTACTTTCTGAGGAACATTGAACGTTTCTCTATCAGAACTATGTACCGACTCGATCTGACTGCTTAATCTACGGGGTGTTTCTGCTGCACTGCCGCTCGCTTCCGAAATGTTTTTGTTCTTTTGATATGACGGATCTTAAAAAAAATTGTTTTTTATGAGCACTCAAATGTATACCTCGAAAAATGTTTAGTAGTAGTAGTAGTAGTAGTCCTGTATCATTATTTTACCGTAATGTGAGAAATAAAGTGCACTTTTTCCTTAATTCTTGATAGAAGATGGAATGCTCACGTGTTATGGAGTCAGAGAGTCTGGCGCGATTCATTGAAATTAGACTGGATGTCATCAATAATTAGTGACATAAGAAGTTTCTAAAGTCGTCTCTCGTAATCTGTCTAAATAAGTTATACTTGATAATTGGGAAATAAACATAAGTAAGTAAAGAATGGAAAGCGGCTGCCTGATAAATCTAAGGAGATATTTATGCGGAAGAATACGTGACTTTCATAATATGGCTAGAAGAAGAACGCATTAATAGCTTCACATGATTTGATTGAGATTTTCCACTTTTTTGAGTTAATTGTAGAAAAAATATTGTATGTATTCGTCTCAATTGATTCATTTAGCTAGTATCATTTGTTCTTGTTTTCTTATCAACCGCATCATGACGCATTATGATATGGTTGTTGAAGTGATATAATCAGAACTTGGGGTTCATTAAAATGACAGGTATACCAAAATCTTTCAGTCAAATGTTGACAAATGGTCGAGAACAAAGTCTTTAGTGTATATGTCAGAATGAATTATGAATTACATTCAGATTATGTAGATGTAGAAGCTTCATATTAGATTCTTTCAAAGATATCAACTTTGCGCTTTGTGAGTGCTGAAACGAAAAAAAATTGTACAATACTTCTTCATGTGTGGATTTCAATTCTTTTTCAAGAAGTTAGAAAGCTCATTGGATGAGAAGAAAACAGTTTGTGGTAGTGCAATAGATTTGGTTAGTACTTTCTAATAATTATAAAGAGTAGTTCTCTCAACCAAGCCCATTCAGATACCTTACCGAAAATATCGTTTTTCGGGACAAGCAATTTTGGAGTGTATAATAACCATCTGCATAGCAGGGGGTCAATGCAAATTCTAATCTCCCGAAGATTGAATAGTAGAACGGGAGGATGTTTTTGAACATCGGGGCTGATAGGATATTGTAGAGTTGCTGTCAATAGTGGTTGTTCTTCCAAATTCCTGAAATAAGTACAAAATTTGATGGAATTGAATACGAATCAATTCCTCAAAAAATAGATAAGATTAGATGGAAATGATTATCTGCTGAGTTGATTATTTTTTCATATAAATCTATTCCAAAGTTGTAATGAGGGTCCCCCAAAAATAAAGCTTGATGAAGTTGCTGCACCAAATACTCATAATGAGTTTGAACCACTTTCAATCAGCAAACGAATTAAAACTGAAAATACAATCATGCAGATCTTAAAAATTAATAAATTTTCATTCAAGTCATTCAGGTGATTCAAGGTATTCAGGTGCGTTTCAAAATAACACTCCTCGTCCGGTAACGGTTGAAAATTATGTCGTCGGGTAAAACAGTTCCGTTCCATATCGAGAACGGTTTTCGAAACGACTGTCGACTACCCGAACCCGACGAACCATCAAATAATAACCTCAATCTTTTGTCAACAGTTTTTGAGTCTGTGGTTTATTTTTAAAATACTAGCCCAACGTTCAAGTTCAATTTTGTTTTTTTTCACAAAATGGAGAGATCTATGTTAGGAAGCTGGTTATTTTTACAAGATATATTTTTCAATAACGATAGCAGTTCGTCGTCCTCAGATGAGGAAGAAGTTCATAACATGCTGATCAGAACCAAAATCAAAAATCGAGAGAAAGATTACTCCAGAATTCCCAACTACTTCGAATTGATAGTTCCCACATATACAGACTGCCAATTCCAATCTCATTTTCGAATGACAAGGGCATCATTCAACAGATTAATGGGAATAATAGGACATAAACTTATCAAAAAATTTGGCAGAGGACGAGAACAAATAGACTGTGAGAAGCAAGTTTTGTCTGTAATTTGGTTACTCAGCACTCCAGAAAGTTATAGGTATGTTATGTATCTCCATGTTTAGTTCTTGTCATTAAAAGTAGATTGCCATAACATCATTTATGACTATTCTCGATATTCATAATTTCAGAAGTGTGGGTAGCAGATTTAACATGGGAAAAGCCTCTTTGTACTGGTGTTTTGTTAGGGTAGTGAATGCACTGAATGAAATTGCACATGAAATTATAAAGTGGCCTGATCATGGGGAAAGAAATGCCATAAAAAATAGGTTCAGAGCATTTGCAGGAGTCGAGGGTGTTATAGGAGCAATTGATGGAAAATACATGTCAATAAAAGCTCCCCAAGAACAACCCCAGCAATATATAAATAGAAAATGTTTCCATGCCATAACACTCCAAGCTATATCACTTCCAAATCTAAAATTTATAGATTGTTTCACAGGATACCCAAGTTCTGTGAGTGATATCAGAGTATTTCGTAATTCTCCAATTTATCAGGGGTTTTTGCAGAACACTAATAACTATTTTGAAGAAAATGAATTCATTATAGGTGATAAAGCATATCCCCTACACAAGTGGTGCATTCCCCCCTATATTGATCGGGGCACCTTAACACCTGCACAGATATATTTCAACAAATGCCATGCTAAAACAAGACAAGTTGTTGAAAGATCATTTGCTTTACTTGTTGGTAGGTTTAGAAGACTCAAAGATATGCTAGACATGACTAGGATGGATATGATTCCCAAAACTATTTTAGCATGTTGTGTACTGCACAATATTTGTTTAATGGACCAAAATGAACTCATTGAAGTATATGTAAATGATGGTGGTGAAGAAAGAGATGGTCAAGAACATAATATTGGTCATGACATTGGCCAGAGAGTACCAGGTGCTGACCATTTTCGTGATAGAATGGCTCATTCACTTTATAATGAATACTTAAATAATTTGTGATCTATGAATAAAATTACCAAAATATGTATTTTTTTCTTTATTTATATCTCCACAATGCGGTAACACAGTCACAAATGTATTGTGATAAAAAATAAACTCAAGAAAACAAAACTAGAAAAATAACAAAATAAACTTAATATTGATTCTTCATCTCACAATGTAAAAATTAAGCTGATGCACTCAATCCATTTTATTACCATTCAGTAATTTCTCAATACATGACTTGAATGTATCAAGTGCCTCTTTTTTTAATTGAATGTTTTCTTCATGGCGCTTCTGTTTAGCAGCTTCTTTTATGGCCAAATTTTCATTATATTCAGCAAGTATTTGTTTCATATCTTTCTTAACCTCTTTCTTTGTAACCTTTACTGAATTTTCATTCTCAGCTTTTTCATCTTTGTCTGTAATTCTTGACCTAGGTTCATTTTCTTCAGTTACAACTGTATCAATTGCAGTACTACTATTTCCTGAAATCATCAAATCCAATTTATAATTATTGGAATCAAAAGAGAATGGTGAAATTTCAAATACTTCTCAGACTTGCAATTACCTTTTTGGGATGATGCTGTAAATGAAGGCTCAACATTTGGATGATTCCTAAACATATCATCAAACTCCTCAAAAAACTCGAAATTTATTGATTTGGCCCCACTTTTCTTTGAAGACATATTGTCCTTTTTTTTAATGTATTTTGACTTCAGGTACTTGAATTTGTTTTGGCATTGATCTGAACTATGTGTCTTTATATCTGTAGATATCAATTTCCAAATCTTGTCCCTCCTCATGGTTGATGATTTGAAAAGGTTCAGATTTTTTTTGTAAGAACTGATTAGTTGCAGAATTTCTTTTCTTGTCCACATTACACGGAAATTGTCATCACTTTGTGATATTAGGGAATTTTCATTCTCAAGCTCTGGGTTTGTTGTTTCTGTCTCTGATTCCAATATTTCTAATTCTGTAGGTCCAGCTTCATTGTTGATGTTTTCTTCAAATGTGATCCCAAATACTTCACTGGCTATCTGCCAGTCAACATAGATGAGACTCGTATCTGAAAAATTAGGATAATATAATTACAACTGTTTCTCTATGGCCTCAAACACAGTATTGGTTACCTTTAATATTTTCTAGCAGAACATTTCCATCTCCATTAGTTATGATATTAGGTCCATCCATACAAAGACGATGTGTTTTGGTAGAAATGGTAATGGTCGAATGAGACATACTGACAAATTAGGATTACTGACAAATTAGGCTATATTAATCAATTCGTGGAAACAAAACCTTTATTGAAACTTGAAACACAAACATAAAATGCACTGACAAGATAACTGCGCATGTCGGGGATAATCTACCAACCTATTTGAGTAGGGTAAATTGGTAACATTCGGACGTGCATTCCGGAGAATATTGAAACGATCATGTACAATTGCCGTACTACTTGCACTTATATTGAAACGATTCACTCTGTATGGTTGCACGTCGTACGCTATTTTGAAACGCACCTCTCAGAAGTTTTTACGAAAGAATTCAATTTTTTAGGGCGAAAATTGACGAAGGAATATTCAATATAATGAAACAATTGTGTGTGATGAAAATGAAAACTCACACATTATTTGATGAATCTAGATTGTCCATACATGTTGGCTCTGGTCCAGATATAAATAAAACTTGTTGGATATCTTCTGAAGGTGATTTAGGGCCAACAATATAAGTCGGTTCAGAGATAAAAGCTTTTATTGAACCCAAACTGGCATCAAAAGATATGGTAGAGTTTGTGACAACTTTCTTGAAACGAATACCTTCTATACACAATTCCATATAAGGCAAACCTGAAAAATTATATTTTCTTCATATTATTTCACCAAACGAAAAATAAATTAATTAAATAATTAATATACATAGATTGATTATACTGAGACGCTTACACAATAAAATGAATATGGAGACAATTTTTTCAGAATATTCAGCAGACATTAGTTGCGTTTGTTGGTATCAAACCGTTACCGGTTTCATCATTGTTGTTTGATTGTAATTATCTTAATTTGTCAAAATATTGATGTTTGAGGATATTTTCATTGCAAAAAAAAGATATATTATAATCTGAATGATAGAAAAAAATAGTTCATATCAACATGGAGGCAATGGAGCAATCAATACAAACAGCTTCCGGCGAAATTTTATTGCTAAATCCTCAAAGTGAGTTCATTATGTTGGAGATCGCCCTGGGATAAGCCCTTTAGCCTCTTGTTCAAGTTTGGCATCAATATCTGAAACTTCTAAGCCATGTGGAAAAAGGTACCAAGAGAAAGAAAACGATGATCAACAAAAGAAAAAAGTGTTTCAGCGTAGTTCTCCCAAAGCTGTAATGTTAAAGTGGCTGAAAGATCACAAAAAAGATGTAGAGAACATAGATAATGCAAGACTCCTGCTGGTTGAAAAACAACACCAGGAAAACAAGGACATGATGGCAGAGATTTTGGAGATTCTCAAAAAAAAAATACTCCAGAGGAGTAGAATCTGGAACTCAAATTCATTTAATATTCTTAGAGATTCAATGTGCTCCCTTCACTAGGATAAGTAGATCACTGCAAAATAGGTTGAGTATGCTCAGTAAAAAAATACGGATGCCGTTACGAAATTTTTTCACTGAGCAAACCTAACTTATTTTGCAGTGTTCCTACCCTAGCAAGTAGGCCTCCTTTTTTGAAACACCCTGAATATGTTGTTATTTGTATGAAAAACAAATTCCAAAGGTTAATATTCAAAATGTTTATTTCTTTCTGTGAAAATACATGTTTTAAAAACATATAGCTATCGCAATTATTCTAAAGAACATCCACCACACGAGAACTGACCAAAATTTCAAAATCTCTGTTGTCTATGAGCCCACAAATCTTCTTCTTATGTTGCCTGCTTCTTTTCTTTTTTTAATCAATCACTACAACTGACAAACATGGACTGACATATTTATCAACATTTGGCGTTTGTTTGGTGACCCAAATATTCTACTACCAGATTGATACCGAACAAACGCAACTTATGATTACCTCTGATATTTCTTTTCTATACAGGGTCTTTCACGACGGGTCAATATGAATATGCAAAACTACTGAGACTATTCAGATTTCTGCAACTTGCGGTAATACCGAGAATGAACATAAACTTCCTTATTCTGAATGGAATGTACAATTTTTTTTGCGTTTTTTAAATTTACGCCGAATTCCAATGTAACTCCATTCAAAACATCATATGTCTAAATTCGTCATTTTTGGGTAATCCATGATTTCTTGAGACATTTATTTAGTACCAATATGTATACTTCTAATTCATATTATATCTACATTTTGAATGAACCTTATTAGTGTTATTATTATTAAACATAAATGTTTCTTGATATTTCTGAAAGGTCCATCGCTCATAATTTTTTTCACAACAAAAAAGTATCGCCATGCATTTATGAATGGTGCAAGTATAACCTCAAAGCTGAAGAAACACATCATTTACTTGCTCACCATGATCTATAGAAGCATCCGACAACAAAGACGTATTGTTAATCGTCTTAACAGCATCTTCTGAATCCATCTTCATCATTTTCCCAATGACATAAGCTATCACCATCATTTTGGCGTTGGTGCCATTCAAAGTGATACTCTCCGACTCGAAAGTAGTCTCTTCATGTGGAATATCCGAGTTGCGCCAATACTGCGGCTTCAAAATGCACTTATACGTGTATGACAGACTGGAAGGTGTCAATATGGTGGTGTGTCTCTGCGAGCTGAGAACGAGACGGCTAGACAGACCGACTACTTTGACATTTCGCTGTGTGAAACAGGCGTCGAATAGCTGTTTGGGAGGGTCTGGCAGTTGACAGGTCGTGTGGACCAAGCGATTGACGTACATCGGGTAGTCAATGCTTATATCGAGGAATTGGCATTCTATGGTGTATTTTGGCAGTTCTACTAGAGGTTTGACGGGTGTAGATGTTGATATTTTCTGAAATGACAGACAATACAATACGTTTATTTTCCATTGGACATTTTTACATGTATAGGAATCGTCAGATTGAAGGCTTAAAACTAGACAGTTTGAGACAGACATAAGATAAAATGATAATATTTCGATATTACAGAGACAGAAACAAAAAGACTAGGGTGCCGAAAAATATTCTTCTGAAGTATAGGGATTCATTCCCAGTAGGAATTGCTTCAAGTTCGTTTTGATATGACCGAGTTTTTTGAAGTTTTTCAATCGACTGGGAAGATTATTGAATATTTTGAGTCCAAAGTAATTGGGAGAATTACGTGTAATCTCATATCTACACATTGGAATGTGATAATTGTCACATTGTCTTATACCATGTATATTCCTATTAGTAATTAATTTTTCTTTGTTCAAAAATACATTAACCCCAATGACAGTTAAAATGTTGAGGCTATTGAAAACATTTCGGCAAGATTGTCGACTAGATATGCCTGCTATTATTCTTTTAATTCTTTTCTTTACGATATAAACATCCGGTGATAGAGTAGTTACCCCAAAAATGTATGCCTTAACGGATTCGTGAGGAAACTTGAGCATGATAGAGCAACAACATCTGTTCTTCTGTAAGAATTTCCATGTTAAACATTCATCTATGCCGATTCCTAGGAATGTTACCTCATCAACATTTCCCAGCAGATTACCATGCACAGATATATATCCATATTTGCGCAACGTTTTTGCCGATGATGAAATCTCATTATGTTTTTTCTACATTAGAGAAGTGAGTTAACACTACACCGAGAGATCACTGTATACATAACGTTGTGGCAGTGTTCCGATAGATTATCGTCATTTTTGTCTGATTTGAGTATAGTAGTATCATCACATAAATTACATAATGCGACTTATTGGTGAGACTATCCATGCATTTTTTTTCTATTGGAGAAAGGAAGAATCTCACAAATCAAATACTGAGGTTCATACAGTTTTTCATTGGGAAAAGGGATATAATTCATTGGTAGATTTTTACTCTTTAAAAAGAACAAAAAAAATTGAGAGCCTTGTTTTGTTGATATCTGGATGAGAGATGACAAATATAGATAAACTTGCAATAAAATATATCCTCAGGTGTCCAGAAAATTGTATAATATTAGTATATTTGTAATGTCACCCACTTGACAGCTCAAACCATTTGATTAATGCCAACACAGCTACCCCGATCTTTGACAAATATTATACACCACTTATTTCACAATATATACTGGAAAAGAACAATTTGTTATTCAGAAATCAGAGATACCTACTCAATTATTTTGGTGACTGGTTAATTTAATTTTTTTTTGTTCATATATTGAATAATATCAATTACGTATATATATTTTTCATATTGTATTTCCATCACATAGGTTAGTGACCTTTGTTTGAGAGAGATGAATTATTTCACGTATAAAACTGTTTTTCCACAATCCACAATATAAATACCTTAACTGAAACATTTTTTTGTTCAAAAACTTTTCCATGATAATGTGACAATTTACATAATAAAAGCATTTGCATAATATCTAAAACCAACTATAAAAACAAGATGAATAATATATAATCACTACACTATTTTACCACCAAACAAACCGGCTAGTGATAAAACAGTGTAGCGGATTATCGTGCCAAAGGTTCCAGTCTTTGATATATAATATAATGATACAAGTTTGAGATAGAATAAATCTAATCGTATGCATATAATAACACGATGTAATAGAGAAACCGAATCTCAACAGACCAACGAAAACCGCAGCATGATAGCATTTCGCCAACGGAAGATATTAACTATCAAAGTTGGAAGAATGATAGATATACAGCCGTTCTAAGCTGTTTACCCGGTACTCAAAATCAATTTACCAATCAGAATCCCAGTGATTCAACCTAATAGCACAATAAGTGCATCTTTCTTGTAGCTATCGCAAATATTTACAACACCCATCACATTATCTTCAGAACTATTTGAACGAATTCTTTTTTTTTTTTCATCTCGGAGCACAGGAAATGAAATTCCGATTATGTTCATGGAACATCGCGCGTACCCAGGTAGGACAGGAATAGGAGATATGTGTTGAAATGTTCTTGAACTTTTGGAGGTTATAAGTTCTTGGAAAAACTTCCATTGGCCGCAAATCAAATTTGACTTGTGAAATTTGAAATATGCTATTATTCACAGCTCAAAATGCTTCTAAATTTTTCTTAAAAACGAGAACAAATCGATTTAGAGCAAGATATCGAGAATTTGATACTGAAATGATTGCCAATACATCAACTGCCGTCACATCAACAAAGGAAGAGACAGCTGTTCCTGCCAACCAGTCAATTAACAAAAACTGAATACTCTTATGGTAAGTATGCAGACAGAAAAAAATTCATGAATTAAAAAAATCAAACCTTTCTTTTTTTGAACAAAGTCCCCTTGCTAGGCTGGAAATACGGATGATCCATAAGTTCCAATTCAATTATTGGGGCAAAAAAAGTTATCCTCATTTTCCTGCTTGGTATAAACTCATTCAAGGCATCAAAATCCTCCTCTGATGGGGGCAACAAGTCTTGAAGTGGCAAGTCAGGTTTCAAAGTATAGTACGGGGGGTAATCATAGTAAGAGGCTGAAAAAAAAACAGAAGTAAATGGGACACATTCAACGAAGACATTCAAAAAATTCAATGCAGAATTTGAGCTCCCATAGAAGCATCCAGTATTTTTTATTATTAGATATACAACAAATTTCATTTTTATGAAAATAGTTGAAGTACATTGATCATATTATGAAACGGTGATAAAAAAGATATCTCCTTTATATGTTTTGACGTGTTTTTGCGTTATTTCTGACTATTCCCCTATTGTTTTCGAGAACTATTCAGAATCGCTCATTTTAACCAACTACCCGTCAGTTGAGCTCTTTTCTACCTTGAACGAGAGAGAGAGGAAAGTTCTCTCGTCTTCCATCTTTATCTTCAATGCTACCAACGTGGTATACAACAAATAATCCGTGTGGTGAGAATATTCTACCTGCATTTACAGATCAGGTTTATTCAATTTTCGAGGATGTTCGAATTGTAGTTTCAATATAAATACAACCACAGAGTAACCTATTTGTGTATTCTATTGAATCGATGAATTCATTTGGACCAGGTGTCAGCCCCAATAGCAAATACCGTACCAGTGCCAGGTATAGGAAAAAGAAGTGGATAATGTTAGGTTAGTGAACATATCAACAATAATAATAGCGATTATTTATTCATCTCCCCATATCCCACTGTGTTTGGTTCGGTAATCGAAGTAAGTTAAACAATATCCTTCTGTGGGACAAAAAAGTATTACCGTATATTCAAAAACAAGTTATCCAATCCATCAGATCCCGAGAATGAATGAAATACAGATCAAAAATACTCAACTACAATATGGAGTATTTATATCTCCAGCAAGGGTATGGATCGACGAATTAAATTGGACCAGGTGTCAGCCCTAATAGCAAATACCGCGCCAGTGCCAGGTATAGGAAAAAGAAGTGGATAATGTTAGGTTAGTGAACATATCAACAATAATAATAGCGATTATTCATTTCTCTTCATATTCCACTGTGTTTGGCTAGGTAATCAAAAGGAGGTAAACAATATCGTTGAGTGAGACAAAAAGTATCGTGATTGTTCAAAAACAAGATATCCAATCAATCAGATCTCGAGAATGAATGAAATACAGATCAAGCAAGCATGTGAATCTTGAAGGCTTTCCTGATCAAAACAAAAATACTCAATTATAATATGGTGTATTTATATCTCCAGCATGGGTATGAAATGCCAAATCTGCCTAGCAACATACCTATGTTTGTGTCAGTAATAGGAACGTCAATTCAAGAGCTTAGTTTGGTATTAAAGTGGACGTTTGTGTGAGTTGCAGGAAAACATTTATAAAACGTGCTACTACCCAATTGGTCATTCAGATTATTTCTGCTAGTTGTACCAGAATAACTCATACTTCATTTTTCCCAAATTTTTAACCTTCAATCAGTCAATTTTGTAGGATAGGTGAAACAAACCTGCTATTTGCAAGGAACTAGTCCTGTGGAAAAAACCTGAACAAAGTCGCAAGTTCAATGGGCCGAAGCACATCCTGAGACAAGAGGATTCAGAGAGGTTGCTGAATTCATAGTTGCTGCCCAACTCTGACAAGATATCGCTTGAAGCATCGCTAGGTATCTCCATTTGATACACATAGTCGAATGCGAAGGCTGGAGTACGCTCCAGAAGTACTGATTCTGGGTTAACTGTCATGTGATGGTCCCAGGAAGTGTTGTACTGCCTACGTTTCCCCTTATTTTCTACAGCTTCAGCATCAAAAAGCGAGTCTGTTTTATGAGAATTGCTAATTGAACCTGAAAATGATTGCAATTAATCATAGTTTTTTGTTTTATGTTTATCATAATATTCTACCAATTTATGTAATTTAAAGTAGTAGTGCACCTATGTATGCACCTATATTCCTAATATTAAATATTCGCGAAAATCACGAACCAATAGATGGCTCTATTATATGTCAAATCGACGTCAAATTTCCAACTGAGTATGAACAACAAAAACATTGCCGTATGCACTCATTGCAAATTGGTTATTTCCAAATCGTTTTGCAAAATAGTGAATAATAAGTTGACTTCTTGAAATACGTACAAGGTTTCCAGTATGGAAAAAATTACTTTTTGTGTGGACAATGGTGGTATTCATCATTGATATCACACTACAATCCCACAGTTTTCAAACATATGAAATGATCGGAATGGTCCACTCAACACTTGCATGGACTGGAATGGAACCATACAAGCAATCAGTTATTACAACAATATGGTATAGGTATGAAGAAATAATTGAATTCATCAAGAAATATCACTGGCTTTTATGAAGGAGATGGAATTCTAGTGAAGGGGTTGGGAAAGAAGATATGGTTGGAGAGGCTGCTCAGAATGAACAATATCATCGATTTACATAAACAAGGATCTTCAGCAATTGAGGACTTGAAGTTATTCTCAAGATCGAATCATTGCAACCAACATTATATTATTATAAGGTAGGTACTGGTTTCTTCATTGTAAACAATAAAAGTTCATGCAATAATTCGAGTTTTTTCATCAAGGAGAAATGAGGTTCTGGAATATGCACTTCAACAAATAAATTATTTTCAAATTAAACACATATTTATGAAATTCAAAACAATGGTCGCCATATTTGTTGTTCATACTCGCAAGACTTGTACAGTTAGCCACCAGAGGACGCACACTTCGTGATTTTCGCGAATACGAGCTCGCGAACGTCAAAAAAAAAAGGGACGTTTTTTTATTCACCGGTGGCTCCATCAATCCACCAACTGCATTCATTTATTTTTTGCCATTTGCCTAAGACAAAATATGGAAGCCATCTGTCGAATCCTCGTGAATTGGACCTGTCCAATTTTCAGTACAGCAACCTCTCAAGCATGACTTACGAGTTTTTGACATTTATATATTTTTTTGTTGTTTTCATTCAGACTTACGGGTTCATTGTGTTGATATTGACAGATTTGAACGAAATTACAAAATGTGTAGTAGAGAAAACGTGAATGAGGCTTCTGATCCTTATCTTAAAGGTGAGTTCTCAATGCTGCTTTTTTGCTTTTCGTATCACGCATCACGCACTATGATTGGTGACGTGTAAATGAGAATTGCTGCTCTGTTTTTAATAATTTACTTCAGTTCCCATTGAAATTACCTATCCCTGTCGATATGGTTGAAGTTTGCATTAAAAAATCATGAGAATATCTGAGAATACCGAAAATATAGGAAAATACTTGCAAGATATACAGAGCTGCATCAGATAAGTAATTCGTCAAAAAACGAAAATAGCATAGTGAAAATGAGATAATCAGGTAGGTACCTACTTCAGAGATACTGCAATGTTTTACTTATCATGAGATGACTTTATGAAATGAGGGTTCAATGAAGTTGCATTCAAAATTTCTACATTTTCATGAAAAATCTTGTGTTGAAAGTATTTATATTGCTTTAATTCATGTTGAGGTTTCTGGAACATAACCTCAAAGCAACACAAAGCAGCAACGCCAAAAAGTTCACCAATCAGGTTGCATGACGCCTAACGAGTTGAGCAAAAAACGATGCATTAGGAACTCACCTTAATACGTTAAACCTCATACGTCTAATTTTCTTCAAAACTTAAGTAAGCACATAAGTCTATTTTTTTCTAGGAAAATAGAAAACTATAAAATGCACACATTTATCACCTTTCAATACCAAATAACATGAAGTTAACGAACAAAATCATCATTGAATTAATCAAATTTGAATAGTTTTTCGTGTCTACTGCAAAATATACCAAAATGGACTCAAGGGGTTTTGCACTTTAACCATCGCAGGATAATTTAACGAAAGATCTATACGGGGTGGGGCGGGAATAAATAAGTTTATACAAACCTATTTTCAAATAATGCGAAGGGTTATTATCATCAAGATTCTCAATATAAGAACAACTACAACTTCCGATGGGTAGTAAAATGGCTTGACTAATCCCCCCCGTTGCATTAAACCATTTCAGACCGTGTATAATACTTTCTGAATATATTTCTTGGAGTTGCAACGTCAACATCGGGTTGTACCTCAGTTTTTTGTGTGTATAGTAACCACCACGCTCAGAACTAGCTTCAGATACCTGAAAAAAAAATCGAGATGATTAATTTGCAAACAGTTCGAGTTTCTTAACCCGGCGTCACCCACCCAGGTGGAATATCTGTACATTTCACCCATAATAAGAAACACGAGGAAAAAAAACATTAGGAATATTTACAGATTTGTATGTGAAATGAGTTTTTAGATGTAAGTATTTTCTTCATAATTCTAAACAGAAACTTTTTTTGATAAGTTTAATTCATGAGATATAATCAAAGTCAAATAAATGGCGACATTCTGACGGACGTTTAAAAGATATACAACACACAATTCTGTGAGATTTCATCATGCAATACTAATTATTGAAATGTTCAAGTTATCAGCTAGAAAAGTAGCAAATAGTATATATATAAAAAAAACAGAAATGAACCATTTTCTCATGAGGATTCACATGTATCTCTTAGAAAATGCATATTTTTGTTAGACAAGTGCGGCTTCTCAGACCCCAGAGCTGTTTACTGCACTGTTACTATCTTGGTAGCTAACTATGGAAAGTGTTTTGGGAACAAGGAATATCCCCTTAAGTTATGGGCATCGAGTCTCGAGACACCCTGTATAGAAATTAGTTGAAATACATGATAAAAATTTACCGCATGCGAAAATTTTGGATTTTGTTTCTTCGATCATTTCTACCCGATTACCCCTCCTCCCCTTGTATCGATGAAGGTCTTACATTAGTTTGTCCATACGAAGAATCATCAAAATTTCATGAGCGGTTTTCGAGATTTTAAAAAATTCACATTTTATCGGTGAACTCTGTTGCAACCCAGTGACGAAACAAATAATAAATTCTCAGTCAATTACTAGACTGTGTCGTTAGGGACCTAATAGTAGATTGTTTTATTAGGATCAAAAGTGACACTTTGTTTGACAAGCGAATTTTGCATTTGCGAGGCGGAGCGTTTAGCGAAGCCGAGCGAAAGCAAAATTTGCGAGTCGAACAAAGTCACTTTTTATCCGAATGAAACATGCTATTTTTTCTGCAACCGAAACAATTAACTCAAATAAATATTGTTGTTCTTTATTACCCCAAGAAACATATTTGTTTATAATAGGGATACATAAACATATGATATATATATATATATATAACAATAAAAAAAAAAAAAAAAAAAACTAATTAACAAGTTATGTCAATATAACATAATAATTAAAATAAAACCATTCCAAGTATTCAAATGAGAATAAATTGCTCCGTTTATTGTGTCATGAGTATATATTTTTTCATATTGACTTTGAATCTTGTTTCATCATCAATATGTTTCAAATCATAAGGTAATGAATTATATAAAATGATTCCGTTGTAGAATACTGATTGTTTGCCAATGATGGAGTTATATGGGTTTGCTATTAATGAATTCAACTGTCTCGTTGCATGAGTATGAATTGTATTTACTTCAGTAAAGTTCAAGTTGGATATTTTTATTTTTTTTCTCACAAAATGGATGAAAGAACAAATTTTCATTTTATATAAAGATGATAAATTCAACAGATTTTTTGGTTTGTAAAGATTAATAGTTGGTTCCAGGTAATGTAAATTGTAAATGCACTTAATTGTTTTATTTTGTAATTTCATTAATGGTTTCAAATGTGATATACTTGTGCTTCCCCAAATTGATATTAAATATTGTAATTTTGAGTAAATCAGACAGAAATATATATTCTTCAAATATCTAAGAGGAATGAAATTTCGAATTTTGTATAAAATGCCAGTAATTGGATTGAGCTTTTTTCTCAGGTGATCTATATGTTTAGTCCACGATAATTGTTCATCAATATAAAGACCTAAGAATTTTGTAATATCTAAATATTTTATGGCTTTCTGGTTGAAAAATATTGTTGTTTTCGACATATCAGTTTTTCTTTTTGAAATATACATATACGTAGATTTGTCATAGTTGAGGGTCAGCTTATGAATTTGTAGCCAAGATGATATCATTTTCAAGTCACTTTTTATATCATCAACTATATCGTTAAATTCTTTAGAGGAATAGATTATTGTAGTATCATCTGCAAATAACTTCAGATCTCCTTTTAGTTTCAAAGATGATATTGAATTGATGTAAATTAAGAATAAAATTGGACCTAAAACGGAACCTTGTGGTACACCACATTTGATTTCTCTTACGGAGCTACAAATATTATTGACTTCAACATACTGCTTTCTATTTTCCAGATAATTTTTTAACCAATCAAATATTTTTCCTCTTATACCTATTGAATATATTTTACTCAGTAAAATTTCATGATTTACAGTATCGAAAGCTTTACATAAATCTAAAGACAAGAGACCACATTTATAATTTTGATCAATTTTAAACTGAATATCCGAAATTACATCCATAACTGCTACCTCAGTGTCTTTCGATCGGCGAAATCCATATTGACCACTGTATAGCAGACCATTATTTTCAAGAAAATCAAGAATGCGCTTATTCATCATTTTTTCAATAATTTTTGAGAGGATCGGGAGAACTGAAATCGGTCTGTAGTTATTAAGGTCATCTCTTTTTCCAGATTTATGTATCGGTATGACTTTAGCAATTTTCATTTTATCTGGTACAATTCCAGTTTTGAAAGATATAGTAGCAACATACAATAAAATCGGAGCTAATTCTACTTTGATCACTTTTACAATTTTAGCAGATATTCCGTCGAATCCACAAGATTTTCGTACATCTAAGTCATCAATTATTTCTTCAACTTCTGAAATACTTGGCGGCATCAGAAACATAGATAGAACACTTGAACAGTCCTCCATAGACTGAGAATTTGTTGTTATTTTAGAAGATAAATTTGGACCTACATTTATAAAATGATTATTAATTTCATTACATATTTCATGACAATCGTCAATTTTCACATCATCCACTGAAATATATCTGATATTTTCTTTAGAATTTTTTGATTTATTAAATATAAGTGAATTGATTCCATTCCAAACCATTTTAGGATTGCTATTAGTAAAATGTATATTATAGAATTTCTTTTTTGTTTCTCTTATTGTTTTTTTTGTTAATCTATTGTAGAAATTATATTGTTCTTTAAAATAGTTGATATTGGGGTATGTTTTTTGTTTATAATGAAATTTATCACGTAATTTTATTATTTTACTAACATCACCATCAAACCATGGTTTGGAATTAGATTTTTGTCTGATCGTTTTAAAAAATGAACAATCATTGAAAATATTTAATAAATCTTCATATACCTCATTGGGATCATCATAGTTATTTACAGTATCATTGAATAATTCCAAGTTTGTTTTCAATTTCTCTATATCATATATATGAATTAGCTTGTTCACAAATTTCTTATTTTCCAAGATTTGTAGAGGTATGTACGTTAAATAAAATTTATGATCACTTAAAGAGTTGTTGATAACAATCAAGTCAAGATTTTTGTCTGTATTAGTGACGAAATGATCGAGTAATGATGAATGTCTAGTTGGAATACTTTCATTACAATTCAAAAAATTATTAGATCTATAAATGTCTATCAGATCTTCAGATTCCTTGCTGTTTGATAATAAATTGATGTTCATATCACCAAAGAAAAAGCATTCACATTTGAATCTATTGACTGTATCAAGTGTCCTATCCATGAAATTGAGGAAATCATTGATATTTATGTCTTGTGGTCGATAGATACCAGAAATGATAATTTCTGGAGATTTAATTTTGATGGATAAATATGTCAAATGAGTTTCTACTTTTTGAATAATTTCAAACTCAAATTTCGTATGAACAAAAATTCCAACACCACCTCCTCGTTTGTCACGACTTGCATATATCGAAGTGTAGTTCTTGAAATTATAATATATTTCTTCTTCTTTATTCAACCATGTTTCGGTTACGACAACAGCTGCAATATCCAGTTCATTAAAGATGGTTTCGAGTTCATCCATTTTATTTTTGATGGATCTTGAATTAAGATATAAAATCTTGAGTCCGTTACTGGCATCTACTTTTAAATCATCAATGGAACATACTTCAGATAATGTAATTATGGATTTGTTACTCATAATTTCGATTTTTTATTGTTGTTAAGTATTATAGTCAATTTGAAATTTCAATTGATTTTGATGAAATTTCAAAGTTTGGCAATTTTTATCTGTAGCTGAATGGTTCACGCAGTAATCTTTATTGTAACGATCGTTGGAATAGACACAATTATTGCATTTTAATTGTTCATTATTTTGGCAAAATCTAAGTTCATGTGGACCACAGCAGCGTGGACACACTATCTGATTCCTGCATTTATTCATTTTATGGTTAAACCCATAGCATTTATTGCACTGCGCAATAATATTGTTGTCATAAACTTTTAATTTTTGCCAACCAACAAATAATTTTCCATCATTATTTGTCATTATTTTCTGTAATAATTTTCCATTTATCTCAGCAAATACTGTAAATGTTCGTTTTCCTTCGAAATATTTCAGAAACTCAATAGAGAGTGTGTCATCTTCACTTATAATTGCATTTTGTTCTATTATTATTTTCTGGAGTTCTTCTTTTGTTAAATCGCTTTCTAATTTTAAATTCGGTATTTTTATTTTCGGTTTCTGTAATTTCTTAATTTCTGCATCATATTTACTTGACATTTTTCCTAAAATTTCCTGTTTTAATTTTTCAATATCTTCTCTTTTCTTGCATCTGATCAACATGTTTCCATTATTCATTCCTTTCAAAGAGTTTATTCCAACACGCAATTTACCAACATTTACATTTGTTTCAAGATCTCTTCTAGTCTTGTCTGAGGATTGTTGTGATTTTGGTTTTAAAATCAATGTTTGTTCATTAGGTCTTGTGATGGTAAAATTTTTCTGATTAACTGCATCAGCGTAACTGATATGTTGTGATTTCTCTTCTTTTTTTTCATTTATATTTTCAATTTTACTATTAATTTGATCCAGAGATTCCATAATGTTATTTTTATCAATCATATTTGAAACTCTCAAATTGTAATTCTCATTTAATCGTTCGTTTAATTCAGTTAAAAGTTTGATGTGATTGTCTTTTTCAATTAGCAGTAAGTCTTTTTGTTTGATAGTTTCTTTCAACTGCAAAATTTCTTCTTCGAAATCCTTTATATTAACTGATGAATTCGAGTCACTCTCATAGTTTACCTGAGTGTAATGTAAACTGGGCGTCAAATAAGATGAGCCCTTTCCTGCTGATTCATTATTTCGCGAAACACTTAGATCTGAATGAGCATCTTCTTCTGATTGGAATGATTGGGTTCTATTATTTAGAGTTTCTTCATCACATTCTGTCTTATTTTTCTTTTTTCTCCTCATTTCTCCTTTGGCAATTTCAAAATATTGACATATTTGACAATGTCAAAAGAAAAATCCACAAATTTATATCCAAAAGGAGTTTTTCTTGATGATATTATAATTTTCTTCTCACTTCGTAATCTGTAGGCGCTATATTATGATCTGGATAACTAATTTAATATTTGAACAGCCTGAACCAACTTATTTTTTAAGATTTCTGGACTTCAGATTCTGGTGCAACACGTATTGACAAATAATCCATGTGGTGAGAATATTCTACCTGCATTAACAGCAGGTTAGGTTTTCTAGGATGTTCGAATTGTAGTTTCAATATAAATACAACCACAGAGTGACATATTTGTGTATGGACCAGGTGCTCTTATGGCAAATACCGCGCCAGTGCCAGCTATAGGAACAAGACGTGGAAAATGTTAGGTTAGTGAGCATATCAACAATGATAATAGTGATTATTTATTCTTCTCCATACTACACTGTGTTTGACTTGATAATCAAATGAAGCTAAACAATATCGTTGTTTGAAACAAAAAAAAAACTATTGCTTGCCGTGATTATTCAAAAACAAGTTATTCATCCCGAGAATAACGAATGAAATACAGATCAAGCAAGTATTTGAATCTTGAAGGCTTCCCTGATAAAAACGAAAATACTTAACTGAGATGTTTATAATTCCAATACTGAACCATAATAAGGTGTATTTATATCTCCAGCATGGGTATGAAATGCCAAATCTGCTGAAATCGGAAACAAATCAGGTATGCATCTCAACCCAAATAGCCAACCGTCACAATGTTGTTTATTCTTGATGACGTCCAGTAGATCCTTTTTAGTTCCTAGGAGCTAAAGTTCAACTTCAGCTCCTAGGAACTAAAATTCAACTTTAGCTTCTAGGAACTAAATATGTTGCCTAGCAACATACCTATTTTTGTGTCAGTAATAGAAACGTCAATTTAAGACGTGCTGTTGATGTTGAGGATTTGGCAACAATGTGCTGAATGCTGAGAACTGACAAGGCACCGTCTACAATTTGCGCTGTGTTATCACGTTTACCCTCAAATATCTTCTAGTGTGAATTAACTCATGATAATATCATTATTAACACAAAGCCACAACAGATGAGGGAATATTTTGAGGTAATTTATTTTTTATGCCTAATTAGGAATATAACCCATGCAAAATTGAGTATTTATGGATTATTGAATAACTAATATTTCGTGAATCGTGACGTCAGTTTTTACTCGCGGTAAATTTTTAGCCGTTTGAAAATTACTTAAAAAATATATAAAATTGAAGGGTATTTCAATGATGATTCTATTCAAGAAATGAAAACAAAATTAGTTCACTCGCCTATTTTATGGGTAAAAGGTCACATTACCTTGAAAGTTATTGATAGACTGTCAACATAAAATCCAAAATGTAGAGTGTGTCCCTTTTGGTGAGAAAACTGTTCATCATTGATTTCTTCGTCCCAGGGTGCAGGCAGCACTGAAGAAACATATGACCAGGCCCAGCCAGTCCACGATTCAGAATTTTCTGAATTATCTAATCAAAATAATGTAATGTATGTATTAATGTTGAGGGTCACTTTACCGCCCGCAGGCCGTAAAGTACTTCTCTGTTCTCAAATTTTTTATATCCACATAACAATTCATGAAATAAATAAAATTTGCTCTATCTATATAACGCACTTGGTACATAAATAATTATTTTGTCATTTACAGTACTCACCTCTCGATTCTGATGTACCACTAATACTTTCTGATACTGAATCTCCTTCAGGTTTCAGCTGTTTCTGTTGTAATGCATAAAGGAGCATAAGTAGTCTCATTAACATAGGGACTTGTTGTTCTGTCATACTGAACTCCATACTATCAAAATGAAAAAATATTTTTGTTATATTTACTGAACCGGAACTAGTAGTCTAAGAGCTAGCGATCGGCAGACTTGCGGTTTGTTAGCAAATTTCATATTGATGCTAGGTATACTATTTCACCTGCCGTAGGTGAAATGGCGATTATCACTATTCAAAAACGTGATTTTAGCATGCCTGCCGTTTCAATATTTCAAAATACATAATTTTGTAGATTAAAATTCAATTCCGGTTCCAAGTATATTTTATTGAATTTCAAACCTTCGAAAAATATTCGTTATTCGAGCAAAGCTGAAATTCAAATATGTTATTTATTGAATACTGTCTGTAGGTTAATCGATGAGGTGTTACATTCATTTTACTCGATTAATTGGGATTTTCTCTCCTTGTTTCTACAAAATGAAATATGTGAGTATTATTTCCATATATTGAAATTGTAGTAGAACGAATCAGATGATTTGCCCCAAAATGTCACTGTGTTTAACAAATTTTTTTATCTAATTAATTTGACAGCAGCAAATGACAGTTGTTGTCAACTCACTCTCAGCGCGGACCAGGGTTGCCAGTTCAATTTTTATTTCATCACTAAATACCTTGTCAAAAATTCAGATATATTTTATGCTATACGAATTTCAAGAAAGGATAATGAAATAAATCTATGACGTCAAAACATTATGTACCGGATGAACAACTAAGAACGGCTCTCGGCCATATCTCAGCAACGAATAATGATACAAGTTTGAGATAAAATAAATGTAATGGTATGCATATCATTACACGATGAAATAGAGAAACTAAATCTCAACAGACCAACGAAAACCGCAACATGATAGCTTTTCGCCAACGAAAGATATTATCTATCAAAGTTGGAAGAATGATAGATATGACAACCGTTTTTAGTTGTTCATCCGGTACTTTTTTTAACTTTCGATTCACTATCTACTGACATTTAATTGAAACAGTAGAAAATTGTAAAAATTCCTGAAAATTCCTGAAAATTGCAAAAATTCCTGAAAATTGCAAAAATTGCAAAAATTCCTGGAAATTGCAAAAATTGCAAAAATTCCTGAAAATTGTAAAAATTGCAAAAATTCGTGAAAATTGCAAAAATCGCAAAAATTCCGGAAAATTGTAAAAATTCCTGGAAATTCCTGTAAATTGCAAAAATCGCAGAAATGCCTGAAAATTGCAAAAATCACAAAAATGACTGAAAAATGCAAAAATTGCAAAAATTCCTGAAAATTGCAAAAATTCCTGAAAATTGCAAGAATTGCAAAAATTCCTGAAAATTGCAAAAATTGCAAAAATTCCTGAAAATTGCAAAAATCACAGAAATGACTGAAAATTGCAAAAATTTCTGTAAATTTCAAAAATCGCAAGAATGCCTGAAAAATGCCTGAAAATTGCAAAAATCACAGAAATGACTGAAAATTGCAAAAATTGAAAAAATTCCTGAAAATTACAAAAATTGCAAAAATTCCTGAAAATTGCAAAAATTGCAAAAATTCCTGAAAATTGCATGAATTGCCAAAATTCCGGAAAATTGTAAAAATTCCTGAAAATTCCTGAAAATTGCAAAAATCGCAAAAATGTCTGAAAATTGCAAAAATCACAGAAATGACTGAAAATTGCAAAAATTGAAAAAATTCTTGAAAATTTCAAAAATTGCAAAAATTCCTGAAAATTGCAAAAATTGCAAAAATTCCTGAAAATTGCAAAAAAATGAAAAATTCCGGAAAATTGTAAAAATTTAAAAAATTCCTGAAAATTACAAAAATTGCAAAAATTCCTGAAAATTGCAAAAATTGCAAAAATCACTAAAAATTGCAAAAATTGCGAAAATTCCTGAAAATTGCAAAAATTGCGAAAATTCCTGAAAATTGCAAAAATCGCAAACATTCTGGAAAATTGTAAAAATTCCTGAAAATTGCAAAAATCGCAAAAATTGCAAATATTGCAAAAATTCCTCAAAATTGCAAAAATTGCAAAAATTCCTGAAAATTGCAAAAATTGCAAAACTTCCTGAAAATTGCAAAAATCTTAAAAATGCCTGAAAATTGCAAAAATCACAGAAATGACTGAAAATTGCAAAAATTGAAAAAATTCCTGAAAATTGCAAAATTTGCAAAAATTCCTGAAAATTGCAAAAATTGCAAAAATTCCTGAAAATTGCATAAATTGCAAAAATTCCTGAAAATTGCGAAAATTCCTGAAAATTGCAAAAATTGCAAAAATTCCTGAAAATTGCAAAAATCGCGAAAATTCCGGAAAATTGTAAAAACTCCTGAAAATTCCTGAAGATTGCAAAAATCGCAAAAGTGCCTAAAAATTGCAAAAATCACAGAAATGACTAAAAATTGCAAAAATTGAAAAAATTCCTGAAAATTGCAAAATTTGCAAAAATTCCTGAAAATTGCAATAATGCCTGAAAATTGCAAAAATTGCAAAAATTCCTGAAAATTGCAAAAATTGCAAAAATCACTAAAAATTGCAAAAGTTGCGAAAATTCCTGAAAATTGCAAAAATTCCTGAAAATTGCGAAAATTGCGAACATTCCTGAAAATTGCAAAAATCGCAAACATTCTGGAAAATAGTAAAAATTCCTGAAAATTGCAAAAATCGCAAAAATTGCAAATATTGCAAAAATTCCTGAAAATTGCAAAAATTGCAAAAATTGCAAAAATTCCTGAAAATTCCTGAAAATTGCAAAAATCGCAAAAATGCCTGAAAATTGCAAAAATCACAAAAATGACTGAAAATTGCAAAAATTGCAAAAATTCCTGAAAATTGCAAAATTCGCAAAAATTCCGGAAAATTGTAAAAATTCCTGAAAATTCCTGAAAATTCCTGAAAATTCCTGAAAATTCCTGAAAATTGCAAAAATTGCAAAAATTCCTGGAAATTGCAAAAATTGCAAAAATTCCTGAAAATTGCAAAAAATCCGGAAAATTGTGAAAATTCCTAAAAGTTACTGAAAATTGCAAAAATCTTAAGAATGCCTGAAAATTGCAAAAATCACAGAAATGACTGAAAATTGCAAAAATTGAAAAAATTCCTGAAAATTACAAAATTTGCAAAAATTCCTGAAAATTGCATGAATTGCAAAAATTCCTGAAAATTGCGAAAATCACTGAAAATTGCAAAAATTGCAAAAATTCCTGAAGATTGCAAAAATCGCGAAAATTCCGGAAAATTGTAAAAACTCCTGAAAATTGCAAAAATCGCAAAAGTGCCTAAAAATTGCAAAAATCACAGAAATGACTGAAAATTGCAAAAATTGAAAAAATTCCTGAAAATTGCAAAATTTGCAAAAATTCCTGAAAATTGCAAAAATTCCTGAAAATTAAAAAAATTGCAAAAATTCCTGAAAATTGCAAAAATTCCTGCGAATTGCATGAATTGCCAAAAAACCGGAAAATTGTAAAAATTCCTGAAAATTCCTGAAAATTGCAAAAATGTCTGAAAATTGCAAAAATCACAAAAATGACTGAAAATTGCAAAAATTGCAAAAATTCTTGAAAATTTCAAAAATTGCAAAAATTCCTAAAAATTGCAAAAATTGCAAAAAATTGAAAAATTGTAAAAATTGAAAAAATTCCTGAAAATTACAAAATTTCCTGAAAATTACAAAAATTCCTGAAAATTGCAAAAATTGCAAAAATCACTAAAAATTGCAAAAATTGCGAAAATTCCTGAAAATTGCAAAAATTGCAGAAATTCCTGAAAATTGCAAAAATTGCGAAAATTCCTGAAAATTGCAAAAATCACAAACATTCTGGAAAATTGAAAAAATTCCTGAAAATTGCAAATTTTACAAAAATTCCTGAAAATTGCAAAAATTGCAAAAATTCCTGAAAATTGCAAAAATTGCAAAAATTCCTGAAAATTCCTGAAAATTGCAAAAATCGCAAAAATTCCGGAAAATTGTAAAAATTCCTGAAAATTGCAAAAATCGCAAAAATGCCTGAAAATTGCAAAAATCACAAAAATGACTGAAAATTGCAAAAATTGCGAAAATTCCTGAAAATTGAAAAAAATCCGGAAAATTGTGAAAATTCCTAAAAATGACTGATAATTGCAAAAATCTTTAAAATGCCTGAAAATTGCAAAAATCACAGAAATGACTGAAAATTGCAAAAATTGCAAAAATTCCTGAAAATTGCAAATTTTGCAAAAATTCCTGAAAATTGCAAAAATTGCAAAAATTCCTGAAAATTGCAAAAATTGCAAAACTTCCTGAAAATTGCAAAAATTCCTGAAAATTGCAAAAATTGCAAAAATTCCTGAAAATTGCAAAAATCGCAAAAATGCCTGAAAATTGCAAAAATCACAAAAATGACTGAAAATTGCAAAAATTGCAAAAATTCCTGAAAATTGCAAAATTCGCAAAAATTCCGGAAAATTGTAAAAATTCCTGAAAATTCCTGAAAATTGCAAAAATCGCAAAAATGCCTGAAAATTGCAAAAATCACAAAAATGACTGAAAATTGCAAAAATTCCTGAAAATTGCAAAAATTGCAAAACTTCCCGAAAATTGCAAAAATTGCAAAAATTCCTGAAAATTGCGAAAATTGCAAAAATTCCTGAAAATTCCTGAAAATTGCAAAAAATGCAAAAATTCCTGAAAATTGCAAAAAATCCGGAAAATTGTGAAAATTCCTAAAAATTACTGAAAATTGCAAAAATCTCAAAAATGCCTGAAAATTGCAAAAATTGCAAAAATAATTGCAAAAATCGCAAAAATGCCTGAAAATTGCAAAAAATGCAAAAATTCCTGAAAATTGCAAAAAATCCGGAAAATTGTGAAAATTCCTAAAAATTACTGAAAATTGCAAAAATCTCAAAAATGCCTGAAAATTGCAAAAATTGCAAAAATTCTTGAAAAAATTGCAAAAATTCCTAAATATTGCAAAAATTGCATAAATTCCTGAAAATTGCATAAATTGCAACAATTCCGGAAAATTGTAAAAATTCCGGAAAATTGTGAAAATTCCTGAAAATTCCTGAAAATTGCAAAAATCGAAAAAATGTCTGAAAATTGCAAAAATCACAGAAATGACTGAAAATTGCAAAAATTGAAAAAACTCCTGAAAATTGCAAAAATTGCAAAAATTCCTGAAAATTGCCAAAATTGCAAAAATTCCGGAAAATTGTAAAAATTCCTGAAAATTCTTGGAAATTGCAAAAATCGCAAAAATGCCTGAAAATTGCAAAAATTGCAAAAATTCCTAAAAATTGCAAAATTTGCGAAAATTCCGAAAATTCCGAAAATTTGTTAAAATTCCTGAAAATTGCAAAAATCGCAAAAATGACTGAAAATTGCAAAAATTGCAAAAATTCCTGAAAATTGCAAGAATTGCAAAAATTCCTGAAAATTGCAAAAATTGCAAAAATTCCGGAAAATTGTAAAAATTCCTGAAAATTGCAAAAATCGCAAAAATGTCTGAAAATTGCAAAAATCACAGAAATGACTGAAAATTGCAAAAATTGAAAAAATTCCTGAAAATTTCAAAAATTGCAAAAATTCCTGAAAATTGCAAAAAATTGAAAAATTCCGGAAAATTGTAAAATTTGAAAAAATTCCTGAAAATTACAAAAATTGCAAAAATTCCTGAGAGTTGCAAAAATTGCAAAAATTACTAAAAATTGCAAAAATTGCAAAAATTCCTGAAAATTGCAAAAATTGCAAAAATTCCTGAAAATTGCAAAAATTGCAAAAATTCCTAAAAATTGCAAAAATCGCAAACATTCTGGAAAATTGTAAAAATTCCTGAAAATTCCTGAAAATTGCAAAAATCGCAAAAATTGCAAAAATTCCTGAAAATTGCAAAAATTGCAAAACTTCCTGAAAATTGCAAAAATTCCTGAAAATTCCAAAAATTGCAAAAATTCCTGAAAATTCCTGAAAATTGCAAAAATCGCAAAAATGCCTGAAAATTGTAAAAATCACAAAAATGACTGAAAATTGCAAAAATTGCAAAAATTGCAAAAATTGCAAAAATTCCTGAAAATTGCAAAATTCGCAAAAATTCCGGAAAATTGTAAAAATTCCTGAAAATTCCTGAAAATTGCAAAAATCGCAAAAATGCCTGAAAATTGCAAAAATCACAAAAATGACTGAAAATTGCAAAAATTCCTGGAAATTGCAAAAATTCCTGAAAATTGCAAAAAATCCGGAAAATTGTGAAAATTCCTAAAAATTACTGAAAATTGCAAAAATCGCAAAAATGTCTGAAAATTGCAAAAATCACAGAAATGACTGAAAATGTGTCATTGAAGTACATCATGAGTATATAGAGTGTCCAATGACAAAATAAGAAGAGCAAGTAGCTTTAAATGCATCCAAGACAGGGGGAAAAAGACATGAAATTTCGAACTTGTTCTCGAAATATCCCAATGAATAGTGGTTTGTTTTCATTTTCATTATCAAATTCGTGTTTTTTAGACAAAAATACGTAGGTATCAAGAAGTGTTTTCGAAAAAAAACCATTGCATGATAAGTGCAAGTTCAGATTTCCCAAGTGATATTGGGTAGCAGCACAAAATCTATGATCTTCATCCATTCCTATTTTTATTAGGTAAATAGCTAAATGAACATTTCATCACCAGTTATATAATATATTACTTTACACAACTGTTTAGGGAAAGTATGACATTTCAAAACTTCAGTTTTGAAAAGTGTCAAATTACATGTCAATATGAGAAAAAATTATTTGTCTGTTATTGACTAGCACCTACATATATACAGTTAAATATGCAATTTGAAGCAAGGATTTTTGTGGATTTTTGAGGAACAGTAGGAATAAACCTGGGAATAAACTTTATCCCTCTTAGGAGATGGATCAAAATCATTCAACCTATTGGTGGCAACTAAGTAGCTCTCTGAGATGATCAAATATGCTCAGACAGCAAGAATTTTTGGAAAAAGAACCAAGTAAGGGAGTGAATTATAATTATTTTATGGGTGGCAACTATGTCATTTTAATAATTTTATTCCTAGAGATAATTCATAATGTCCAGTAAGTCAACTTCAACAAAAATAATTGAAATTGAAAAATGTTCTCATTTATTGTTCACAATACCTTGTAATCAGCTTAGAATTGTTATAATTATATCAAGTTGTCATGCATTTTTTACTCACCTATTGCAATAAATATCAAGCCTAGTTGTAGAAGCCCTACTAGCTGTAGCAGAATGATAATGTTTCAGTAAATGCATGGTCAAAGAACACCTATACAACATAGGTTCTTGGTAGACCTCAATTTTTCCAGAAGCATTCCTTTTGTCCAGACACAGTGTTAAATCATTAACAGTAATGACTTTTCTTAATATAACTTCAGCAGGTGATATATCTGAAAACAATAATTACATGAGAAATAGTATGCAAATCAGACTTGTAATACTTGAATAATATATTATCATCTCAAAACTATTACTGGGGTAGGTATTACCTGTATAGGCTGCTTCCCATTTGTTATTGGCTGATTCAAATTTCAAATGTTTGACATTCATAGAAAGAACAATATCTTCTTCAACATATTTCAGTATTACATTGTTACAATAAATCCTAATATTGCTTACAATTTTGTTGATAAGTAATTGAACATAACCCTGAGGTGCTTCAATTTCCTTTCTAAAAAATGAAATTGAATAAATGAATGGATGGAACCCAGGATGGAAAATCATTCATGTTTGGTCCTTTGGCCTCATATTATATACTTTACCCATGACTAGTTGGTTTCTTTAGTTTGTCCTTGGTAGCTTCAACTCTAGTTGCAGTATCTTTTCCTTTCAAATTTAAAATACACTCTGAAATACAATAAACAAATCACACAAAAACTGGATTTTGGCATAACAATAATAAAAATGATACCTATAGTATTTATAGTGATAGTTATTGGTTCTGAAGCTAGTTTCGTCCATGGTACATGTATTAGCAATTCTCTGATACTACCAGATACAAAACTAAATGGTAATTGGAGTTCTTTCTCTAGCACTTGCAAATTTAGCTCCAGATTGTGAAAAGAAGCATCTCCACCCCATAAAGACACCTGAAAAATAATATGGTACCTATATAGTATGAAATGACAAATATAAAGAGAAATAGAAAATTTTCAGGACAATACTTACTTGAGAGTCTTCTAGCTTGAAATTATTGATGTATCTGTTGACGTAGCTCAGAAGGATAGGAGTTATGTAGGATTCTAATTTGAACATCTCAGAATTTCAAGTGGGAGCTGTAATGTATGTACGCTGGTAGTGATGCAGTCGCTAAGAAAATTACTTTGTGAGTTTAGGACTCAAAAAATCACCAAAGGCAGTTCATTTCGTTTCTGGGTCGTCGATTTGGGTGAGGATAATGATTTTGATAGTATTAGGTGAAGTAAACGTGAAGTTTCGCTGGCATATCTTGAATGTTGTCAAAACATTACCTAAAAATTGATGATAAACAAGACAAACAAGATAAAAATCATTCAAATTTCATGATAAGCAGATGATAAGATTGAATAAGGCAGTGTCTAATGTCCCACTACCTGTTGAATAAGTTGTAAATAAATGAATATAATATGCAAGTATAATATGAACATGTCAATAACCATCATCATCATCATCATTCGGTGCTCAGAGTTGATGAACGAGATGTCAGCTAAGCCCGAAGCCCCAAGCCCAAGGTTTGCCCCAAGCAAAGCGCTAAGACAAATGGGATTGGAGACTCCGCCAATCGTGATAGTAGACACGGTGATCAGCAATGACCAATGACAGCAATGCAATGTCAAATACCCAAATACCAGTAGTTCCAACTTGAATGAACAAAAAGCTTTTAGGGTGTTGTGTGTGTGTTCTGTTGGTAACTCTGCTTGGTTGTCAGTTCAAGAAAATGGCGAATGTGCGTGATAGTGATACGTCTTTGTGGCTCCACAATAAACTGGGAATTTCGAACGATTCCTGGACAGGAGGCTCAATATGTTCACAATTAAACGCAGAAGTACTGAGAAACATAAAAGATTGTTTTCCAGATTTGCAAACTCAAGTCAAGCTAAAATTGTTGCTGAGTTTCTTCCATATCCCGCGCAGAAATTTGGAAGAGGTATGTTTATGAAATATATAAACAAAAACACCTATTTCAGTTCGAGTATTGAACAATTTCATTACCTTGAATTATATTTTGCTTCAGTGGAAAACAGAATTAGAACAGATTCTTGAAGTGGCTTTATCAGATTCAGAATTATGGGTAGCTATGCTGGCAGATGCTTTGAAAACATATCCTTCAACAGGGTCCTTGAACACAGAAATATCAGAAGTTGATGAAGTGAGACCTATTTTCTCAGATTTGGTAACTGATCTACGAAAATTGGTCCGTAAACAGAATGAACACAATATGTTGCCCATGGAATGTCATTATCTGAATAAAGGGGCACTTGTATCAGTAGTAAGACCTTGCACTCCTTCAATTTTCTGGAAATCAGATGATTAAATGCTTTTTTCAGGTTGGTAATAGACCAGAGCCACTGAAACATTTTACCATTAAGAAAAAACCCAAATCTGCATTACTCAGAGCTGATCTTATGCAAAAGTCCTCTGATGCTGCTTCAAATCTGAATAAGAAATCTTGTGCACCTGTTATACCTGTTAGATCAAGAGGAATGCCAAGAAAGATGACTGATACCAGTAAGTTTGGTATGGATTGCTTTGCTTCTTTATTTTAATGCTTTGAGCTTGTACATATTAACCTTTTTTATGTAACTTTTCAACTAAAGTGGAAGTTTTGATTTTTTCAGCACCTCTAAAGGGTATACCAAGTAGAGTACCTTCATCTGGCTTTCGTTCAGGCATACTGAATAGTAATGCAAATAACAGACCCCCAATATCTAGGGTGCCTGCAGGCAGAAAAGAAGGTGGTGTCAAATTATTAGATATTGCAGATCAACCATTAGGATATGCTGCTGCCAAAAAAAGGAAGAAGATGCAAGGTAGGAATTTAGTGATATCAGGAACATTCAAATATTTTTAAAATGGTGTTCTATTCACAATGAAATATTTCAAAATCTTATGGATTTCCTCACTGTTGATTCATCATTGGATTTATTTATTTTTTCACAGAAATGGAAGATGCTAAAAAAGCAACAGAAAATGCAGTTTTACAGAGTCCACCTCCTGTTTCTGCCACTACCCCTGATTATGCTGCAGGTTTGAACACAACCCCCTCATATGCCCCACCCACCCCACAACCTACAATTGCACCAACAGCAGGTGAGAGATCAAGTATTTTACATTATTTAGAAATATTTGCAGTATATTATTTATGCAAATGTACACTAGCAAAATGATTAATACATTCAAAATGTTGAAGAGGTTTGCCTGCCAATAACTTTGTTTGACTTCATTTTATATATTTTATTTATTCATTTATTGAACCAAGTAAAATCTACATTTTCTCATTGAATATCAATTACATGTGAATATATATTTCATAATGTATCTCCTTCACATAGATTAGTGTGTGGAAGAGATAAATTATTTCACTTATAAAATTGTTTTCCACAATTTAAATACATGGACTGAAAACAAATGATCAATTCACACAATAATCAGAATAAATTAAAATGAAGAAAAAAGATCATCAATTTTTTTGCATTTTTTATAAGCCAACTCTTGATTTCTTTTTTGAAAGTTGTGATATTTAGATGGTTCAATTTTGATGGTATTTTATTATACATTTTAGATCCAATAAACTAGAATGTTTTTCTAAAGTTCTAAGTTTATGTTTTTAAAGTCATACATTGTTGATTTTGTTTCTTGAATCATAAATATGATTTTATTTTTTATTGCTGGATTCTTTTTAATAATGATTATTGATGCCTTATAGAATAATTGCCTAACATTATATATTATTTTCAAAACATATTTTTGAATACATAATAAAAGTTTTAGATGAGTTTCATACATACCACCCCATCCAATTATTCCATAGCATAATGTAGATTGGAAGAGAGTGTGATGAAACACAATTATCTATTGACAATATTTTGCAAATGTCTGAGTTTTGGAAGGGTACTTCTGAGCTTTTTTGTTAGTTCTGAGACATGATATTTGATTTAGATATTTTATTAGAACATGAACAAATCACTGGTATTTTGGATACATTTTCAGAGCAACTCTGATCAAAATTGTCAATTCTGTTATATATTTTGGTTGTGAATCATCATAACAAGAAAATGCCATGAATTTTGTTTTATTCAAATATAGAGTTAACAAGTCAAAATCAGGATTATTTTGTGCTATTCCTATAGCTTTTTCTGCATCAGATACAGCTTGTTACCAAGAATTTCCATTAACAATTATCAGCATATGAGAAAATATGTCCATAAATATCCGTTTTTAATATGTCATTAATATAAATGAGAAAAAGAATTGGACCTAGAACAGTTCCTTGAGGAACACCACAAATAAGTTGAAATGGATTATTTTTTATCATGGTAAAGATGATAATCAGGTATATTGGAGATATCCTCATCATACAAGGGGCAAATGCACCTTTTTACTCAAACTTGAAAGTGATCTACAGGGTGTCCAGGAAAATGTGGGGATATTTCTGATTCAGATAGTCACTGAAAAAATAGGCTGAATGAACGTTATTATTCTTATTATTATTATCCAGTAATTGGAATGGATGCCTTGAATGATCAATGAGACACCTTCACCAACATTTCTAGTCACATTTTTCATTTTCACTCGAAAATATTTTATGATGATATTTTAACATTTTCTATCAATACCTGTTTAAAACGTGATAATACCCATCATTATTGCCCTAACTACGCCACTGGTATTCATATCAGCTGAAAAATACAACAAATGTATCACCAGTGTTTATAGGAACTTTTCATCTTATTTCTTCAGGTACTATCTGAATCCAAGAGATTTCCAACATTTTCCTTTGCACCCAATTTAGAGTAGCACAACTGTAGAAGTATTTTGTTATCAAGCTACATATATTCCTCATAGTTCTTTCCTATATTCGGGTCGATTCTGTTTGTAAATAGCAATATGGTTATAGAGAAGATATTGCCATCATAGCAAGATTCGAAAAAGTGGAATTCTAATCTTCAATTTTGGCAATATGATCTGTCAATTTCAATGACATCTGGTCAGATTTCTTGCTATCTTGGCAACATCAATTTTGTGCTTGCTATCCTATAACAAGGTAGGTGATTCTCTGTTTTGGATGTTTGAAAATGCACTTGTGTTATTAATCACTCGACAACTTTTCCTCAAATTTTTAATTCGTGAAGAGATTATTGAAAAATTCAGAAAACAGGTGATCATAAACAAGGTTTCACTCGTGTGACCAACTACTTGAAAACCTTTCCTTGAAGTCCCAATTTGTAGAGAGAAATGAGACTATACAATTTCGGCATATCAGAGAGAAAACAGCAAACCATTTGAGTTGCCTGATGGATAGTTTATCGAGCTAATCCGCTTAAATAAGACAGAAACGTGAGTTTTTCAGGTTATATAAATCAGGTTGTTTTCCAAAAAAAAAAAAAAACACGTGAATTTGAGTAATAATTTTGAAAAATGTCCGTGCAGGACAGATTAACTTGGGAGTGAGATGTTTATAAGTCTTAAAGTTTAGAGGTTAAATAATCAAAAACTCTTCTTCTTCATAAAATAATGGCAATAAAGATACCAAACACTCAACAAATGGAATAGAAACAGTGTTGTCAGCTCAAAAATTCTACATTTTTCAACAATATGGCTATCACTCGAACTCATAATCAACCTTCCAGTTACTGTCCAAACAGAATACAGAATTGCATAGCAATATTGTCATATTATGGTGACAGTTCGCTAAAATAAAAAATCAACACATCATCCGAGTAATCCACGGCTCTGTCTCTTTCAGCTCCCGCCCCCTCCGCCTTACCCGGTCCCCTGCCCGCCTCCCTGCCAGCCGCCGTCGTCTCCCCGCCCGCCCCCGCCGCCCTGCCGCCCCCCTCCCTGCCCGCCGCGCAGCAGGTCACCCCGCCCGCCCCCGTCGTCGCTGCCGCCGCCCCGATCGTCGTCGCGGCGGCGCGGCCCCAGCAGCCCGTCGCCGCGCAGGCGCAGTTCGCGCAGCAGGGGCGGCCGGTACCGCCCCTTTTGGCCACGACGGCGGCCGGACAGAGGGCGATGGTGGCCGAGCAGCCGCAGCAACAGGTGGGTGTTATTCATTTTTTTTTCCAAACAAAATTTCATATAGTAATATGTCCCTTGGCTTGTCATTTCATACACACACGATATACGCCGTGTAAATGTACCTAATGAAGTGATTTTTTAGAATTTTCAATGGTAAATTTATGTGTGATCAATTTGAAATATTGGTGAAAGCTAGTGAAAAGTGTAAGGGATATTCTAGTGGTCGTGGTGTTTGTGTGTGTGTGAAAGTCTATCAAAAATAGTTTTTAAATCGAGGTTATGTTATATGTATTCTTATTTGTGAAATCAAATTTAGTAATTTCAACGTTTCTTATAAGAAGATGCTGAGTCATTATTGTGTGACAGGGTGTTAGTCCAATAACGGTTTGGAGAAAAAGTATGTGTCGATTTTTACATTTCCTGAACATGAAGAACTGTGAAAAAAGTGGATATCTGCTATACCTACCTTGTTAAGTGGTGCAATCCATTCTGATATATTAGATATGATACATTTTTCCTTCCAGATGGATCAATTCGAAAAATTTTGCTAAGATATCCTCAGGGCCGGTTTATCAATTGCCAATATTATCCATCAGTTAGGTATCCGTCAGATAAAAATATCAAGCAGATAAACTCCCAGTTTGTTTGGAAGTGGTTCATCAACTCATTTTTATTCTCTAGTTAATAAACTGCCAGATAATGAAAGTTGACAATGCTGATGAATAAATGTAGGCAATCTCATTGGTTGTTACAAGAACAAGGTCATGTCACATCACGACCGATCACGAGTAGTCACGACCGTTTTGTTAGGTTATTGTTGATTCTTACGAGATGAACCTCAAATAAAATTGAACCTTTTCTATGCCACTAGTGCAGCTATTGAAGGCTGCTTGAACCTGCATCCAAGCCTCCTATTTTGATTTCCAGGTTGCCCCATCTGTTTTTCTATTTTCAATCACATGTTTGTATTCATTCCCTATTTTCATGAGCAAATTTTTCTCCTCTGCTCTGAAATTGCATCCTCTTTTCTTTGTAGTACTAGTACCATTTTTCACTTTGTCACACCAACGAAATCAAAACAACTCTTCTAAATACAGTGAGGCTATGTATATTAAAGGCGCAATAACCTCCAGATATCGACTATCCGCCAGTTGAAACTTACAGATAAATATTTGACATTTAGCTGCCGGATAAAGTTATCCTGTTGTAGATAAACTGACCTTTCCAAAATAACTGGTGGTTAAGCTTTAACTGACAGATAAATTGTTATTGATAAACCGGCCCTCAGTAGGTTAAATTAAAACAATTCCCCAAATTTTTATACAAAACAAACAAGTGCACTTGAAAAAAATAGATATTCCTCTTCTACAATAATTATGTATGTCTTTTATGGTAAACGATACTTGCAACAACTATCTTCCGACTTGAATATTTCTCCAAGCAACCTCCTTAATAATAATTACTTGTTTAATATTTCTTTATCAATGATGTAGAGGGAATTAGCATATTGTTTAACGAGCTGGGAATGATAGTGATTTCCCACGAGAATGACGGAAAATTCTCGACATTTTCAAATCGGACATTAAAAGTTAGGTACATGTACAGAATTTGGATATTTTGGAAAATATTCACATGAAACCATCATCTTGGGCTCTCCTTTAGAACCCCCAGGGTGCACCCATGTTTATATGAACATTCTTTACTTTCTTGTTCCTAGAATCCGTGAATCTGTGAAAGAAATGAATGAAAAAAAAATAGAAGAAGAAGTAAAACTGGTGAAAAAAACATGCACGGCTTTCGATTTCCCCGGTGGAAGGCAGGCGGCGGCTTCGGGACGGAAGTCAGGTTAATGTTTTTGTGATCCCTGGTATCACTTCGAGTGAGACATCCAGGGTGCTCGAAAAACAAAATCCTTATTATTTACGCCGGTATCCAGGCCGGATGGGGACGGATTCTCCATAATAAGGGCTCTGGCTGTATGTCGTAAGACAAGAGGCCATATATTCCGAGAGAGAGAAAAACATACATAACCACAAATGCACTCGGAGCAGGGTAGTTGGCTTCATTCTGACAGGTTATGGTTTTGTTATTTATGCATTGAAATATTGTCACGAGTAGAACATACGGTATATCAGTTATTTCGAACCATGAGGGTTTTATAAACATAAAGTAAATCAAATCATCCGTTGACATTGAATTATAAAAACTGACCAAGGAACACTCATGAGAAACGTGCATATCCAATAAAATGTTGTATATAAATATTGGATGTGGGGGTTCCGAAGTTAGTCTGGTCTGGGGCTACTCTTGACTTGACAAGAGCTCGTCGAATGGTCATTATAATGTAAGTTGTTATTAGGTCTTTATATTCATTGTTGTTTATTCATATTTCTCATCGTCACCCATGATGTTTCATGCTATTATAAATATTGTTATGTTTGAATGTAGTCTCGTACTTTCAGTTACCCCTAAACTATTAGTGCCTATTTGAATATTACCTCTCACAAACTATTAAGCCAAGCATACCCATTATAAATCGATATGGATGGACTTCCCCAACTCTTTTGTTGTGACATGGTGGAGGAATCGATATGTAACAACGAACAACCCCTTTGAATAGATATGGGGGGGATTAACCATCCTTTTATATCGTAACATGGTGGTGACAACCATTATATCCTGACATAGTGGGAACACAACTCTTTTGTTGTGACAATATCTCGAATATAACTCGATCCTAAACGAAAATATCTTTGAATCAATGAATCACTATCGGCTACATTCAATGATACTATCCTTCCTAATTTACTGCCATCGGTCAGAACAGAATGAAGCCGACACCCATAACGCATTCCTCTTGTTGTGCCTGTCAGTATTTTGAGTGGTGTGGATGGACTCGAAGTATTAGGCGCTGTTGCAAGATATAATCTGCAACTTTCCTAGAAAATATTAGGGAACGAATTCATAAGCAAAAAAATTACTGACAAGTTATGGATAACATATTGTAATAAAACGATAGTGAAAAATTATAGATACTATCGCAAAATCATAATTTATCTTTATTAGTAATCAACTTCATTCAGCCAATGAGAGATTTATGGGAATTATTCATAATACTTGACAAAGTAGGATTGAAGAACCTATTATATCTGATTGCTGTTATGATATAGTTATTATGCATTCAAAGAACAATTTCCGGAAATCTAGACATATCGATGATGTCGGCAACGTCGTACTGGCACAGAGAATCGTATTTTAACTCTGTGTGAATGTGGATTTTCAGAAAGTAAGTCATAGGAATGGTGGAGGAGCCAAGTTCCTCTTTTATTTGTTTTTTTCAGAGGTGAAATTTGAAAAAAAAAACGTATATATTATTTTTTTACAAACTCCACAGTGAGATAAAAACCTCAATATAAGAAACTTCCCCATTTCTGGCTTCATTGCTCTCATAAGGATGGTTCATCTTGTAAGTGTAAATAATCAAAAGTGTAGTACATTATTTTATTAGGATCACAAGTGACACTTCATCGTCGGACAAATGAAGTCTGTCAAAACTGTTATGTAGTTCAGCTTCCGTCAATTGATTAGTCTGATAATGTATTTGAAAATTCAATAAAAACATATGTTTCAATGAATAATTCTTGATATTATATTTCTACGTTGTTCTATAGGTACAGCAAGTTCAACAACAAATCATCAGCACCCCAGTGGTTGTTACTCAGAGGCCAATACAGCAGCAACCCCAGCCTACAGTTACTCACATCAGGATTCAACCTCAGCCTTCTGGAAATGCTCTACAGAGGAGGGGGTTGGCTCTTACAGTAAGATCATTTATACATATATACTAGAATAACGATTTTCACAAAAATTGTGAACTTCCCACAGAAATTGTTCATATTTTGTTGTTAGGTTGAGAGCTCAATAATTATGGAATTATAAGGAAGGCTATAGGTCTCTTGAAATCATACTTGAGCAACAAGAAACAAAAAAATATGCATTTGACAACAGAATTTATCTAAATTGAAAATGCTGCTATACAGAATTTTTCAAAGATTCAAATTCATCAATTATGCACAACATTCTAATTTCATTCTATGAGTATATAATCAAATTTACTTAGAAAACACTAGCTTGAATTATATGTCCTCAGTATCCACATGTTTTAATCAAATCGTTTACGAACAAATCGCAAAAATATTAATATTTTAGAGTATGTTCATCTGATAAATGAAGAAAAATCACAAACTCAATTATGAAATAGATATTTACGTTACCAATTAGGAAACGCGTCATTTTGTGTGACGTGTGACAAATCACAAAATATGCAATATATCTGCATCTCTCAGAGAGGTCATGATCTTTACTGGGCATGTCAGATTTTTACAGTTGAACAAGGAACAAGGCGAAAATTTTGAAATCCTTCAACTGCAACCACAACACTTTATACTAAAATAATTGTGAATGTATTTATTTCATTTTTTTAATTGACTCAGCCGTTACTTGATGGAAATCCATAGTAAATCTAACAAACTTCACAAAGAATAAGATTTCCACAAAATTCTTCTGAGAACGAGCACAGTCACCAATTACTTAGGAGTTGGACCCGAAATTGAACTTTAATCACCACTCTAAACTCATGAAAAAAAAGTGTATCACAAGAGCCAAACATTTTCGGAACTTAACATAAAAGAAGAGAGGAATTAGCAGAAAAACAGCAGCTCACATTTACAAAGCCATATGCCGCCCCATACTCGAATATGCTCACCCAACACCAGAAAGCCACCCATGAAGAATCTAGAAGTAACAGAAAGATCTAGCCTGAGAGCAATCACGAAAATACGACATCCTCAAAACCCCCTTTCACAACCCTCCAAATGAACTCCTCTAGCTACTCACTAATGTACAACCAATTATCGAGACGCTGGAAAAACTATCACAGAAGTTCTCCAACAATGAAAGTAACCTGCAGATCATTCGAACCCAGTGCATCCAAAGTCACCCACAGAGACCTCAAGTCACAAGTTTCCAGTAAACACCTTGGTGGAATGCATCACCAACATTGCAGAAATGCCAAGAAATTAAGAAATTTATCAATTTTGAACACTTTCCTTCGTTTTTTTTTACTCACATCAAACAAAAATTCACATAAATATGATTATATTTTATTATTCAATCAAAGAAATGAAATACAATAGATTTCAATGTATTTCATGTCAAAAATATCTGACAGCCCTGTACGTCGCCTTCCGTAACGAACCCTATGCTGGAACAACGCTGTAAACGCCAAAAATGTTTTTTTTTGGTGAATCGAAAAAAACCGTATATGATCGACTGTTCCATCAAATGAAGTCAAGATTTGTCTGATATGGCTAGCAAGGAAGAACTTGACTGGATGATAGGCACAATAGACTTGACCACATGCAGAATTATGATTTATGAGCGTTTTTTTTTCAATCAAACAACGTTATATATCCACGTCGGTTACAACATTATTCCAGGGAACTAAGGCGGTTACAACGTTGTTTGAAGATCAAAAATAAAGCACAGGTGAAAAAAGGAAAAGAATTTTAATTACTATTTAGTTGTGTCATAACTGAGTCTGTCACAGAAACGTCCATTTCTGCTTATAACGACGATAAACTACAGACCCAACACATGTAAACAATGAAAGCGCGCGGGAAACTAGAAGCCGTATAGCACATACAACGTTGTTCCACAAAATCTCCAAACTTGAATAACCCAAAGTGACACCAGAAATCACAATAAAAATTTCCTATGCCCACACTATCATGACAGCGGATTGTATAGGTCGCATACAACCTTGTTCCATGGAAATACCGTTTTTATAGATCTTGGCGGTTACAACGTTGTTCCAGCATAGGGTTCCTTATTGAACATTCTAGAACACGCGATTTTAACATGGTTTCAGGGGCACACAAACTATTTGTTAGGTTACCTTTGATGAGCATAGCCCTGGCGATCCCTGCCACGTTCACAATATAATAACAGTTTCACCCAACAAAATTATGAAATTCTTTCTGGTTCCAACTCGGATTCCAAGGAAAACGATCCCACTAATTCTGGTTTACTATGACAAATCTTGACAAAATACGATGTTTGCCCCTCAGCAACCTGTCAAATGACGTAATTCTTCCACCTTTTCCACAGCGAGAGCAAATGCTGGAGGCCCAAGATATGTTCCGCACGGCGAACAAAGTCACTCGTCCCGAGAAGGCGCTCATACTCGGCTTCATGGCGGGCTCGCGCGACAACCCGTGCCCCCACCTCGGCAACATCGTCACCATCAAGCTGTCCGAGGACCAGGAGAACGTGCTGCAGGCCGACGACACCTTCCTCACCGTGCTGGTGGAGACGCACTTCCAGATGAACTACAACAACGGCGAGTGGAAGAGGATCAAGAAGTACCGGCACGTGGAGAACGTGGTGGATCAGATCACGCAGAGCGCTCCGACGGCGGCCTTGGTGTGACCGAAAACAGTAGGGTAATTGTAGATAGAGATGTGGAATCGAGATTCTTAGTTGTTTTGGTTTGCAAGTCTCGCTTCATCATTGGGGGGTTCAATTTGCAGAGCAGTCAGATTGTGAAGCGTGAAAAGATTGGTTGACAACAGCGCTTTGTACGGATGGAGTACCTACAAGAATTTGACGTTTTTTATGTTTTTGTATCATATCCGCGATAGGAAATAACACGTCGTTCCACCGGACAGCAACAGTTAGAACACTTCTGAGCGATTTGTTTCGAAGGATGTGAACAGTGAGCATAAATAAAAAGCAATTGTGTACCAATGAAAATCGACTAAGCAGACCGTTTTGACAGCTTTCAAAAACTTCGATAGGTCGCGTACGCTCGTTTTTTATATCGTGTATAGAGTCAGATAATTAAAACTGACAGTACATGAACGTACATCAAATGCAAATGTTTTGCGTCTTTGATAAGATATCAAGATGCAAGTTTGTGCAGTTTGGAACTACAATCATCAAATAAAATCATATTGACGAAATGGAAACAGAACATGAAGTGGTTGTCGGGAATATTGGTTCAGCCAGGAGAATTAATGTACTGGTTTGACAAAACATGATCTGTTTCAAAATAATGTATGGATATGTCTGTCTGGTATTGCTTGTCATGCTAGTGGAGATGCACTTCTAGATGAACTACAACAACGGCGAGTGGAAGAGGATCAAGAAGTACCGGCACGTGGAGAACGTGGTGGATCAGATCACGCAAAGCGCTCCGACGGCGGCCTTGGTGTGACCGAAAACAGTAGGGTAATTGTAGATAGAGATGTGGCATCGAGATTTTTAGTTGTCATTGGGGGGTTCAAGCGTGAAAAGTTTGGTTGTCAACAGCGCTTCGTACGGATGGGTTGCGTGCAAGAACTGTCAGATGACCGACCCTGGAGGTGAAACATCGAAACACAACCTCACTTTTCTTATTTGTTTATGAGTGATTGAAATAGTTTTTCACGAATATTTTGGCATAGGAATCGTGTTTTTCGGATATTCAATAAATCGCGCATGCCATCTCATTGTGCTGTTGTACAATGCACAAAAAATGCAGCGGGAGACGAAGGAATCCGGTTGGTGCATTATGATTTAAAAGTAACCACCTACTATAAATAGTCACTCACATATAGTTTTCATTTCGAAATTTGTTAATTTCTCTGATTTATCATCGGAATTCCTTCTGCAATAGGAGCCAACAGAAATAGTGGTGAAGTTTCTAGAAGAATGCAAGAAGATTGGATTCATGCAATCAAACGGGAGGACTGGTCTGACATGATGACGAAATATGATCGTGTGTTGTAGACATTTTCAATCTTTTAGCAGTAGTAGCTTCTATATCAGGAGTGGCAGAAGGAATTTTAATAAGAAATGGCAAAATTTCAATGAAAACTATGTGAGATTACTATTTACCTGAAAAATCATATTCCTTTGTCTCTCACTGCATTTTTTGTGTATTGTAAAACAGCACAATGAGAAGGCATGCTTGAATTGATGGATAGCCCAAAACACACGATTCATATGCCATAATATTTTGAAACACCATTTCAATCCTTTCATTCCCTTGTAAACAAATAGGGTCCAGGGTCGGTAATCGTGCACGCGACATATAGAGTTCTTACCAAACGTTTTTTGAAGTTTTTGTATCATATCCGCGATAGGAAATGACACGTCGCCCCACCTGACGGTAACAGTTAGAACACTTCTGAGCGGTTTGTTTCGATGGACGTGAACAGTGAGCATAAATAAAAAGCAATTGTGTAGCAATGAAAATCGACTAAGCAGACCGTTTTTACAGCTTTCAAAAACTTTGATAGGTCGCGTACGGTCGTTTTTTATAACGTGTATAGAGTCAGATAATTAAAACTGACAGTACATGAACGTACATCAAATGCAAATGTTTTGCGTCTTTGATAAGATATCAAGATGCAAGTTTGTGCAGTTTGGAACTACAATCATCAAATAAAATCATATTGACGAAATGGAAACAGGACATGAAGTGGTTGTCGGGAATATTGGTTCAGCCAGGAGAATTAATGTCCTGGTTTGGCAAAACATGGCCTGTTTCAAAATAATGTATGGATATGTCTGTCTGGTATTGCTTGTCGTGCTAGTGGAGATGCACTTCTAGATGAACTACAACAACGGCGAGTGGAAGAGGATCAAGAAGTACCGGCACGTGGAGAACGTGGTGGATCAGATCACGCAAAGCGCTCCGACGGCGGCCTTGGTGTGACCGAAAACAGTAGGGTAATTGTAGATAGAGATGTGGCATCGAGATCTTTAGTTGTTTTGGTTTGCAAGTCTCGCTTCATCATTGGGGGGTTCAATTTGCAGAGCAGTCAGATTGTGAAGCGTGAAAAGATTGGTTGACAACAGCGCTTTGTACGGATAGAGAACCTACAAGAATTTGACGTTTTTTGAAGTTTTTGTATCATATCCGCGATAGGAAATGACACGTCGCCCCACCTGACATAACAATTGGAACACTTCTGAGCGATTTGTTTCGAAGGATGTGAACAGTGAGCATAAATAAAAAGCAATTGTGTACCAATGAAAATCGACTAAGCAGACCGTTTTGACAGCTTTCAAAAACTTCGATAGGTCGCGTACGCTCGATTTTCATATCGTGTATAGAGTCAGATATTAAAACTGACAGTACATGAACGTACATCAAATGCAAATATTTTGCGTCTTTGATAAAATATCAAGATGCAAGTTTAAGCAGGGAACTACAATCATCAAATAAAATCTTATTGACGAAATGGAAACAGAACATGAAGTGGTTGTCGGGAATATTGGTTCAGCCAGGAGAATTAATGTCCTGGTTTCACAAAACATGATCTGCCTCAAAATAATGTATGGATATTTCTGTCTGCTTGTCATGCTAGAGGAGATGCACTTCAGGGATCAAGAAGTAGCATGTGGAGAGCATGTGACCGAAATCAGTAGGTTAATGGGTCATTCAGGATGAACAGAAGATGGTGTTGAAACTCCTATTGAATCCCATCTACTGTTTTTTTGTCAAAGTTCTTGACCTACGACCTACTTGACAGAATGATTCTTTTCGATACCGCGGAATATAGGTCACATTTTACCCGTTAGATGGCGAAATCTGAACCAAAATTCAGGTTGGTAGAACTGATCATAATTAAAATTTTGTACTTTCAAATTCAATCTCATTTGATTTGAGGTTATATTATGAATGTTGTGATATTATTATTTCTGTTGCAAGCGGTGTAAGCGTCGCTTTGTGTCTTCTATCATGAAAAAAATTCTGTAAAAAGTGTCGCCATCTTGCGGACAACTGAGAAATAATATGCCATTTTACGGAATCTGCGGTCAAGCGTTTTGAGAGAAACAAAACATGGTCTGTGAGTACACCATATTCTATCCACCTTCAAGTAATTGTAGGTAGAGATGTGGAATCGAAGTTTTTACCATGTTCTACTTGCCTTCTTTTATAAGTCTCGCTTCTTTATTGGCGGGTTCAAATCGCAGAACCGCTCTATACGGAAAGATCTATATGAAATTGAAGTTTTTGTATTATATAGAGCATGGTTCAAGAAGTCCAGTCAGGTGGAGAACGTGGTGGACCATATAATGCAGAGAACATTGTAGATACAGATGTAAAATCGAGGTTTTACTTTCACATCATCCAATCGCAGAAAAATCAGATTGTGAAGCGTGAAAAGTAAGGTTATCAACATTTTATACGGATAGAGAACCTATTGGGCAATAGAAAGACCTGGCAAATAATGCATCTGTTGGCACACAATGAAATTATTTATGGTGAATTAATTGTTTTCATCCCTGAATTATTACATTTTATTATTACAAGTATATTAGAGAGAGAAATTAACATCATCCAATTTGCATGAAACGGGCTATCAGGAATGAGGCTGCTTTCACATGCATCCGTTTTCACGGATCCGTTGGATCATGTGATGAATACTGACCAATAGAAATCGACACGGATGAGTCGGCAATCGCAACGTACCCAGTCGGCTCAACATTAAGTTTCCTCCAGGTTAAGTAAATATGTTTTCGATTTTTCCTAAACCGTCGACAACTCATAAACTTTGTGGGATGTGTTCGTAGTTTATCTATCGATGTGTTCTAAATGCCTCAAAAGGCATGTTTCATTGAAACTCAAGAAATCCCAACATGAAAAACATGTGAAATAGAAGTCATACTGTCACCAGATGCCAAATAAAAAAGCGTGTAACTTCTAATCTGGTTCTTGGTTGTTTTTCAAGTGTAGTCTCCAAGAGTCCGAGCAATAGATAAAACATAGGCGACATTCTAAAATAATTGAAAAAGTTTTAATTTCCGTTTTCCTCCATTCCTCTAGGCAAATATTCACTTGCGTCATGAAATCTTCGAGAATTGTCTGTGAAGATAGGTCCAAAATCTACGATTTTTCTTTTGACATTCTGTATCAATAATGAATCGAATATATACAAATTATTCACTTTTCTCTTTATTATTTTCTGCTCCTATATCGTTTTATTTCTTAGAGATATTTGCATGTGAAAGCAGCCTGATTGTTTACCAAATGTTGACAGTGAAGTTGTCATAGGTTCTCAAAAACACAAAGCATTGGATAGAGGTTGACGTAAACCTCTATTTTTAATACTTGTACACCTTTTTATTGAATACCACTGTATGTATGGTCTAAGCCTGCAACATTGTGAACATATTTTATTTATCTTTGATTGAGAAAGTTCAAAACGGAGAGTGATCGATTTAAAATAATTTGAGTGTAGTTTTCTTTTGAGAATCTGCACCATAACCTAAGTTGAAATATTCATAGTTTCATGTATTATAGCTTAATCCTTAAGGCGTAACCAGTTTCTAATGTAATTTTGGAGTTTTTTATGTAGACTGATGAGGGGCGTGCTCTTTTAAGATTGAGATTCAATTTTAATTAGAATGAAAATATTCAGAATATTTTTGAATTTGAATTATATAATATAGTCTTGAAAAATAACTATTGTATATAACAATTTTATTTATTGTTTTTTCTTCTATTCGAAAATAAGTTTAGATGTTTTGAAGAGTGTTCAATTTTATTTAAAAATCGTTAATTTTTTGTGAATACATTTTGTATATATTGTTAAGCCATTAAATGCATATTTTTCAATAGTTTTCTTTCAATTGGTAGTGAATAAAACAACGAATCCTTCATACAAAAATAAAAACCCCTTTTGTTTTTACTGCTACCTGTTTCAGTTATAACACGCGATTTTTTATGAAACAATTTATTATGGCGATTTCTACATTCTGTTTGAATGCACCTAGACAAATCAGAAACTATAATAATCATGTGAATGTTCTTCAACAAAAAAAAAAATCATGTATTCATATGAATGGATGTTATTATGCATAATGGGATTGAAATTAGCTAAGCAAGTATTAAGTGTCAACTGAAGAAGCTACTGAAATGTGTCTTCATTTCTAAGATTTTTTTCATAAATCTATCATTTATTTTTAGTTCAAATCAGTTGAACGTAGATACGTTTCCAAATGATGAAGCTACTGAAATATGTTTTCATTTCTAAGACTGTTTTCGTAAATCTAGCATTTAACTTTAGTTCAAATCAGTTGAGCATAGAGCCGTTTCCAAATGATTATTTCATTAGTAGGTGGGAAAATGATGGGCAAAGTTTTTTCAATAATATACATTTATTTGAAATTGAATTTAATTGAATCAATACTGAACCAACGTTTTCATCTTCGAAAAGTCTTGTAAACGGAGCGTTTTCTACTGCCTAACCGGGAATAGGGAAAGGAGACCATACTGGAGCACTCCCGCGATTTAAGTTGAGAATAATTCACAAATAAAGATTATTCAGAAACCATTGGTTATTGTTGATAAGATACTAATCTACATTGGCGACGAGGATATTCAGGATACTCAGTGCGGGATAAGGTTTAGTGCGCTGAAGGTTGAGAAAGAAGATTCAAAGGTTTAGATCACAGCAAGTGAATCTAGGTGTGGTTCAGTATTCAGTCTGAGTTCAGTGTTCAGTCAAGAATAATTCATCGATCAAGGCGGATAGTGACGGACTAAACCTAACAAAACAATGGATTCAGAAGCGATGCCGGAACGCACATCGTTCGAAGTCGTGACGAGACGTTAGACGATAGTTGCAAGAAATGGGTTGAAACATGAAGAAAATGGATAGCGAAGCTTATTAGTTCTATGCTCTTATGTTCCTTGTTTACTCGTCAAAAAAGTCTCACAGAATGAATGATCAACCTACATCTATTGCTAGAAGATCATCTGCTTACAGAGGTGCCAAAACTATAAGCGGGTCGGCCATCTAACCAGTGGCAGAGGCTGAATGGGAAGTGAGAATGTGAAATTGTATGAAAAAAAAACTGACGACACTTATTTTCATAGAAAATCCGTAAGAGGCGCTGATATCGTCAAATTTATGATGGCCATCGGACCAAATAACAACAACCATTTATACTTACGACAAAAAAATACAGAAATGGTGTAAGTATATAGGTTCATTTTTGAAAGGATTTAATAAAATTCCGATAATTGAGTTTTTATTTCCATTTTAAAGAAAATGCGTACAGTGAAATCCTTCAAAATAAGATTTTCAACTGTTTACTGATTAGGTACTGATTATTGCCGTCAAGTTTGGACAAAATATCAATGCAAACACCATTACAAAACGTCTCAGTCACATGTGCTCCCTTGCGAATCGCGATTCTGGCAAATTTCATTGGTCAGAGGCTGTTTTCCGTTGGATATTACCAAGTCGCAAATTTGTATTATATTCTGAATACTTTAAGGTATGAAAGCATTGCTGCCAAATTCTCGAATTCTACTTGATATCAGGAAATAAAACTGATAAAACGGACATAAGTTAGACATTTCCGTGTAATATTTTACAAGTATATGAAACTAGTTGTAGTTGAGGAGGCTCAAATATTTTTTCGCGTTTGTTTTCTAATTATCTTACAATCAAGCCTAAGAACAATGTTATAGACATTCATCATCACAAACCCATCAATTTGAGTCTTTCAGCGGCTGCGCAGTAGAAAACGCACTGTTTACAACTTTCCAAAGATAAAAACAAAACAAAAATGTTGGTGTACTGAATAGCAATGCTGTCCCGTCGACTAATAACACTAATTATTGAAAAAAGAAATCATCCTAAATCTAATAATTATCACATACTCAATTTTAATATTCTCAATAAGACTTAATATCACCCTGAATCCGTTTTCATGATTCATTTCCAAACTTTGATGACTCCATCTCTGGATGAAGTTACGAGGAAACACTGCGAAGCTTTGCACAGGGCTATATCCGAAATGCAAGCCCTATGACCGGGTGCCGGTGGCTCTGGGCCGGGCCTAGGAATTTCCTCCCCTTTGTCCACCTTTCGAACGGTGCTAGCTTCCTCATAAATAACATGAGTACCTGAAAACAAAAGTCACTTTCCATTTTCGTTCATTTTATGAACTATTGTGGTAATGACTTTGAGTTTCTCTCTTTTTGTGACTATAGGAATTTCCTTTCGTGCGCTTGAAGAGATAAAACAAGTCTCGAGATCATTTTCAGATTATTCCATTTATTTAGTTTCTTGGGAATAATGAAGTTGATTGATTGATTGATTGTTATCCGCCAGTGAACTTCACCTAGTATTCGGTTTGAATAAACTAGGTTCAGTAGGTTCGCAGTCTCTGGCGAATTCTCATTGTTATTTTTACAAATTGGTACCTAGCTAAAGTATATCGTCGGCTTACTGTCAAAACCTCATAAGTCTTTCAGAGCTAATTGAAGACACGAGTGGATAAAGGGTCTATGTGACATTTTAATGAAAAATGAGATTTTTGGGTGGATAAAGGATTTAAGTGAGTAGAATGTTTTCCCTACTAATACCGTTCATCTATTGTACAAAATAAGAAAGTTATATATTGATGAAAGTTCTATGTTCACCTATGTTCTATCATTGCCACTGGATGAAGGGTTCAAGTACATTGTATTGTATGAACATGAATCCTTCATCCATGATCATTCTATTTGTCGGGTACTTGAAACAAACTCTGTTTATTTGAAGGATGAAGGATTCATGTACCTTTTTTGAGTTTTTTTTTTACTGTATTATATACCAGTGTCAGATGTACTATGCAAAATTGTGTAATAAAGGTCTATTCAAACCAGCGATTATTTTTTTCATTCAACGCAATACAAAAAACTGCGGCATCAAAAACTTTGAACATCATTTGCTCCAAATTAATTTTGTGTGACTTGAACCCTTTATCCACTTGTGTCTTCAATTGTTCAGGAGGGGAAGAAACGTTTTCCACTAGGTACTTCGAACGATTCAGGCTATTCCTCCTTTGTAAAGGTACCTGCTTGATGAATGAAATCAACATTCTGAGAAGATTTATATTCTCAATGTTCAAATAAATGACATATGAAGTATTTACAAAAATAAATTGAACATTATTCAGACTGAATTGGTTTCGATCAATTACTAGTGAAAATTGTCATTTAGTTTGGCCTTGCTTCACAGTGCATGTAGCAAATCAGCGGCAGTTTTGATAACAATAAACAATATAGGTTCAACAATAATGAACCGAAATATTTCAATCCATTTCTTCATTTGGAATGAACAGAATGAAATTATACAAAAAATATCCATAACATCTCAAGAGCTCCTCAGTCTTCTACTAGATAGATAACATACAGATCAGAAGCTCCTAAGTCTTTCCACATGAAGAATCAAAACAAGATTGTTCTTCGCATCACTGCAGAAATATTCGAGAAGAATGACCAAATAGTTCATCATAAACTTACTTTGGTGTCTGACATGGATTTCAGTTCAGATAATGAATCAAACAATAGATATTTATACTTTCTCAACCAGCACAAGTTAACCCTATCCCCTCTTGCAGTTTTTGAGTTCAAAATCTCTCAGAGTAGAGTTAGGAGGTTTAAATCATATCTAATAGATGTCGCTACCAAAAACATAGACTTACGATGATTTGGTGATGGGTGCGCTGAATTTCGTAGATGGTGAAAATGTTCAAACCTAAAATTCCCTTGAATTCGGTTTTGATAGTAAGCCGACGATATCTTTTTTCGCATTTATATCTCACTGATGCATGATGATTGCCAAATAAAGTTGAATGGATCACAAAAAATAATTAACAATATAAGCAAGTTTTTTTCTCTTCAAGCCAAAAAAGACCGTCATAAAGAAAATAAGGTATAGGTCATGTCAAAATGTCATTACCGAAAAATTCATATGTTAAAAGGCTTCGTCTTTAGACAGAAATGGAGAATTGATATGAAGTCGGTATCGTATATGGTCGCATTGAGTGGTCACGGTAGATCTCATAGGCTCAAAGAGTTTTCCGCGTTTTTCATGTTATGAAATATCGTGGATTATTCCAAAATTGAATTGCGTCGAAATTTCGATAATTAAGTCGATTAACTATGTAGAAATTTCGATATTTTCTACTCATTATGTCATGGATGATAGACGGTTCGAATCCTTCCCGCTTTCAGGTGAACAGTGTTTTTCCCGATTTCAATTAATCATCCGTCAAATTCAGTGTGAACCATCAACTATGTTATGCACAATATCTGCTACAGAAGTTGAAATAATGCTTCTAAAATCGAAATGCTATTAGAGTAACGAATTCTGTTTGTTACATACCATCTATGAGCCGACTTCTGTAACTCAAAGCAGTACCAGGTGGATCGTTAGCAGCCGGAATAGCCAGATACGATTCAGAGGAACTTTCCAAGTCCCAGAATCTCAGTCTTTGATCGGTTCCTCCGGCTAGCAAAAACGGTGATCGGTCAATGCAGCCTCCAAGCATAGCGCAAACACTATTAGTCGTACCCTGAGACAAAAATAATCAACTGACCAAATATTTATGAGTGACAGATTTTTAGATTTTTGTTTTGTGAGGTTCGATGAAGGTGTCAAATGTTGATAATATCTGTGTCTTATTACAAAATTATTCTATTTATACTAAGCCATAATCCATGGCTTGTAAATAAACCATTGGACACAATTAGAAAAATCAACCTCTTGGACCATTATTTGTTTTACAAACCAGATTCATTGATAGATAGATAGATAGATAGATAAGCTTTATTGTCTAAAATGAGCACATTTTGTCGACATAGTCAGTATCTTGCGATATATCGATTGCAAGATTATAAATAAATACAACAGAACAGGAATATATAAAAATAATACAGAACAAAAATATATAAAATAAAATAACAGACAAGTTTCATTATTATCACAAACAACAATTATCTTTAAAATCAATGATATGAATCTCTAATTATTCTCACATATCATAGAAAGACTAGAATTTGTAGGCAAAGTATTCATCCAAACTGTACAAGCCTTTTCCCACTAACATATCTTTGACAGATCTACGGAATTGTTTCAAATCATTGATCATAGCTGTACATTCTGGTTAATGATTGTAAATCTTTTTACTCCTATAAATTAAGGATTGTCTCGTTAAAGATGAACTAGGCAGAGGAAGAGCAAGGTTCCTTTTATTACGCGTAATCTTGTCTATGTTTGTGTTCATGAAATTTCTTCTATATTTGTGAAGCAAACAGACTGTTTCTAAAACGAAAATTTCAAAGACCGTCAATATCTTATATTTGTGAAACATTGGCCTGCATGAGTCACGCGGCTTGAGTTTGAATACAAATCTCAGAGCTCGTTTTTGAAGGACGAAAACACTATTTAAGAGACCATGACAGCTACACCCCCAGAATGAAATTCCATACCGTAGATGCGATTCAATAAGTGAGTAGTATACTGATATTGAAGCTTGCAATCCAAGTTCACGGGATATCACATTGACTGCGAAGCAGCCAGCTGATATTTTTTTCTTAAGAGCTGATATATGATGGTCAAACTTCAAATTGTTATCTATGTGAACACCAAGAAATTTCGTGACAGACTTGCTCTCAATGAGTTGATCTCCTAGAGCAATTTGTTCAATTTCTGACTTGAATGTCACTAAGTTTGTTTTAGAAACATTGAATATGACTGGTTGCTAGCAATGTTTTTGTTGTTGTTTTTTACTACCCCAAGAAACATCTCACGCTTCTTTGGTGGAATCATTTATGTATGGTAATGTTTCGGCAATAACTGGGATTGAACGGATATGCAAAGGCTGCTTTGAAATACTTTCTCTAGGAATTCCAGAAATCCAGACTACCAGTTCAATCATAAACACTTGTTGACATTTGAGGAAGAATAATTTTGTTCAACATAAAAATTTACACGGAAACATTATGATAGATTTCAGGAACAGATTGCGGCAATGCACATAAGAAAGCGGTATGTAATAAATGTACAAAATTCAATGGGGAAGACCACTGAAAAAAAAAACCGTGCAAACCTCTTTCAATCGACGAATCATGATTTACGTTTGATATACAATCAATATTATGAGTTAAAGTTGAAGGGAATCGAATCTATATCGTTTTGAAATCAGCATATTTCATTCGCTATTTCAAACAGCCAAATATGATGGTGGAGTCGTGACGTATTAGTCCCGAACTGTAGCTATCTCTCTCTGATACCTCATCATTCTGCAGTGTTGCAGTGTGATTGGTCAGTTCAAGGACAATAGGCGTGTTGGGAATAAGACGTCGCACCAATGAATTGACAAAATTTCAAATGGCGCAGGAATTGTGTGTTTTGAAATGGACATATTTCAATTTATTATTTTCATCGTCTTAGCATGAATGACAAAATTCAAAATTAATTAACTGGTAGTTTTTCAGTATAGAGTTCACGATAATGTCATTTTAAAAAATCAGTGGTCTCCCCCATTGTAGTAAACATTATTTCAAATATTTGTTTCTTCACAGTAGCCTTTTGAGAACAGTTCTATACTTATAAGACCATTTACAAGATTGTTATTCGCCTATGAATCTATTTGAAGAATTGTATCCATCAGAAGTGACAAAGACGCTTAGCGCTTAAAATATATAGAATTTTTCAAAAATATCTCACAAACTTCTCATCACCATTAAAATAAGAAGAAATATTTAGCCAAGAAGATATTACTGACCTGTTTAGACAATGGTGGGGATGTGCTTCCCCACAACACTTTTTGCCTGAAGCTGGTTTCGATATTCCACATCGAAATTTCGTTGTTCCCTTGGATACTCGAAATAACCCAAGAGTGTTCTGTTGGATGACTCAACACTTTCTTTATCCTCACAGAACCTAAGAAAATTAAGTAAGAAATCAAATGTACCCTCTTCCTAATCTTGAAGTTATTTATCTTGGCTATTGCACTTCTGATCAAATATATTTTTACTGAAGTTTATCCACCTTTCTCTGTCAATACAAAACCAGAGTCATCGTTGCCAATTCTGTACGGACAGATCCTCGTCGCTTCTCACTTTAAATTGTTTGTGAAACAGTTATATAGTTCCATCCTTATTCAATTCTGGGGATAAACACTAGATTTTTGACATTCGTTGTTTTTTAGGTTATATTGAGGTCATTGGCGTATCATACGTAATTTCCATATGGAATTCCTGATTCAACTATACCAAGATATAGATGAACAATCCTCTAGTTTTAGAGTTTACTACTCCAGCATAATCTTCTCGAGGTAGTTAACATATAAATTGTACTAAAAGCTTAATATATTTCACCAAAAGAGACTGTTGTTAGACTGTATACCAGGGTTGACTGAATTGACTGAATGAATTCTGATTTCAAGCTAAGCAGTAGTTTATCTATGAGCTGAATGAGCTGAGCGTTATGATTGAGAAATGGTGGAAACCTCGATTTTATGGAGTGACTAATATCACACTATGTATAAAACTTCGTCTAGGACGAAAAGTAGGCTGATGAAAAGTAATACGTAAAATATGCAGGAAAATGAAGAATAGACTATACTTTACCCCCATTTTATACATATGATTTTTTCGTCTCCCTTGAAATAAAAAGTCATTTTCGAATAATTCATTGATGAAAGTTTCAAAGAAGTAGGTATAGGCAGTATAACTTATAGGCACGTTATTTTCACTCTTGCATCCTACATATTTTCTATTTGTGGTGAAGTAATAATCATATAAACTAATGTCTTTCGCCATATTGGATCCGTCATCTTGAATTTTCCAATTTTGACGAAACAATCATCATCTCCGATCTCCTAGGAACTAAATCACGAAAAATAATGGGATCTTCATTACAAAACTCGTCCACCATATTAGATCTGCCATCTAGAATATCCCAATTTTGACGAAATAATTATAATCTCCGACCCCGGAAATCCCCAGACAATTTTGATTCTTGCATAGAATCGGATCATAATTAGAAAATTCGTTCGCCATATTGGATCCGCTATCTTGAATTTCCCAATGTTGACCAAAAATTATAAGGTTCGACCCCGAAAACCATCAGATCGTCATCTTGAATTTTCCAAGTTTGACGAAACAATCATTATCTCCAACCCCGGAAAACCCCAGATACCTTCCAATTTTTAATAGAATCGGATCATAATTACAGAACTCGTTCGCCTTATGATCTTCCTCAACAAGTAAATACCCTGTACATACCTATTCATAAAATTTTTAATGATTTTCTGTAGCGCCCATGGATCATTAAAAAAGAATGCAGCTATGATCTGTCCGTACCCTGTTAAGATGACTTTAACGTCAATTTCCATCAAGGGACCCTAGTCATATAATTTTTACGTGATTTTCGAATGAACCAACCTGACGGATGTTCGAAGGTCATGATGGGCAACCGGAAACGCAAGTCCCACGCCACGTGCTGCCCGCTGCTGGTGCCCATCACCAGCCAGCTGTGGTGCGAGTCGACGCAAAAGGTCGTTATGACGCCACTCTTGAGGCCGTTCTCGAGCCGGAAGGCAGGCGAGGGGGCGCGAAGGTCCCAGCCGACCAGCGCACCGTACAGGGTGGCGTAGACGAGGACGCTCTGCGGGCCAGAGTCCAGGGCGTGGACGTCGACGGCGAAGGCGTCCGCGTCGGCGTCTAGGTGTCGGGATTGGGCGAGGGTCATCCTTCAGAAAAGAGAAAATCGGGTTCGAGGTCACCTATTACTAGCTTTGAAGTATACGAGTTATTGAATAATGCCCTTTATAGCTATATTTGAAAACGGTTTACACCTCATTCCTGGCCAATAATACTTCGTTGTATCTTGGTACCTCCAATCAACAAAAGATCTGGGACCAGTTGTTCAGTCAGAAATAATCATCAAAATGTGAATCTTGGGTTATTTTCTTGTTGAGTTCATAGTTTCGATTTATATCTTTGGTCTCGATAATAGATCGCAATCGCTGGCAACAGGCATTTAGGTTTGAGTTAACTTACCATCTTAAAGTGGTAGAAATATTTTGGAATAACAACTTGACCTCTGCATGAGAATCCTCATGGATGGAGATTATACTGAAAACCTTTTTACCAAAACTTTTTTGGAATTCTTTGCCTACTTAAGTATTATTCTCAAGAATTTATTGGTTATAGGGTTCAGATTACCTGAAGATTTTGTGATATCTGCCAGAAGAACTGATAAATCTTGGCTTTTATTATTCATAGTTGAATTTCTGCTGGACAGCACAAGCGAGTATAACCTAAAATTCTTATTCAATCCGGGTTTGATCAATATTCGGGTTTTATTATGGACTGAACAACTGGCCCTTGACGAACATTTATTCTTTTACCTCATCAATCATTTAATAAAAATAAAACTTCAAGGAAAATTACTGAAAATGTACCTACTTGTTACTGTTGGCATCCACCCTGAGTATATTGATAGATCCGTCTTGACAAGTTACCCCCAAAGACTGGCCACCTTCGCAAACTGTCATTCCTGTAATGTTCACCCCAGAGCTCATCTTGTAGTGCTGTTTTGCCCTATTCGCTATATTTTTTCCTTCCATTCTTGAACAATCCCATAACCTGAAGAGTACACAAAAATGAATCAGATGAAATATCCTAACAAACACTTCATTAGGAAAAAATCGCTATAAAGGTACAATCATTTAAATCTAGAATATCTTGACCACATTTTTTAAATGAAATTTCTCGGTCATATCATAAATACATATGGTTATTTTTTTTAAACTCGCCTTACGGATCCATCTACTGAAGAACTGGCAAAATACGGGGTGTCTGGTATGGCACACAGTTTATTCACGGCACTTTTGTGTTCGTGTAGGTGAGCCACCAAGAGTCCTCTCAGTCTCCAGCCCGGTGGGGGCAATTGGGGCCGCCATGCTGCTTGTTCCGCCCAGTCTTTGCTCCTAGCGAAAATTATGATTGAAGTACTTTAATGGCGTGGGAGATAGAAATCCTTACCTTAGAGCCTCAAAGTAATGGTCTTGTTGGCGAGTTTTCAAATTCGCTAGTTCGATGTAACAATTTGTTTTGCGATCTGAAATATAATTCAAATGAGTGAGAATTGAAACCGTAGAATTATTTTTCGAATAACTGTGTATTTTATTGTTCTGCATATCAGTGATATATTCGCTACCATTATTTTTATTCTATTTGAGGTAAGTGAAATTTGTTTTCATAATTGAGAACTCGAAACACGAATCTTCAATAGTGGTGTATTATAGTTCTGTACCACGATCAATATCTTTTGTATCATTGGAGAACTCTGGCGTCCTCAATTAAGGACAGTGGGAATACAGTCATATTTTTCTCCCACAGTCCGATGCTGAAGATCTAGGTGTATAATTGATCGAGTCATTCATAACCAAGATAATGAGAATAAACATGACAGGAAAAGTCAAACAGGGGTGTGTTATTTGATTACTGATTTGATAGTAAAAATAAGATTCTGATGGTAAGATGAAATGACAATAAATGCATCACGATGGGAACAAATGTTCATACAATTGAGCCATTATATGTAGTACGGAGATGGAATAAGGATAAAAGGGTATAATAGATATGACTGTTGTCAACAGTTTCATTTTATATAACTTGCTACATGGACTGAGAAGTTCCGCAAAAATGTTCCATACCTAAAATTGGGTCAAGGTCGACGAACACAGAGAGGTAGACCACTTAGTTTACCTTCAACACCTGAGGCTGAACTGGCTAAAGTTTTGAATGTTGTCAGGTTTGAAGGAACAATGAAATAAACCATATTACGGATAAGAGGGATAACCAATGCCAATGTCATGTCATAATATCTTAAGAAAAACCACGTACCTATTGTAGATAATGTGGTACGAAAGTATGTATTCTTTGTTCTCCTGAATTTAATGATAAATCTTCATTATGTTGATTGATTTCTAGTGTTTCCTTAAACTCCAGAATTTCTGTCAATTCTACTCGGGTTTTACTGTTAGAGGCACATGTATACTATTTCTATATATAGCGCATTGCCTATACGATATCTCAACAAAAATGGGACCAAAATGAGAGGTACTTTTTGAATTTATAAGGACGGAAAGTTGGAAAATTTGAAATATGTAGCCATATTGTCATATTATTTTTTCCCAACGTCGTCGCCTATTGGTCGGTTTCCTTACCTATAGTGACAGCAGTTGATCCCGCTTTGAGGACAGCTATGATTTATATATGAGTAGGAGATATATGGTAGCAGCATTGAAATCTAGAGAGGTCCGATGAATCTTTCCTTGTCTAACATCTAGTTTGTGCCACTGAACTATTTTTGAATTCAGCAGTGCCAAATTAACGATATTAACAAAATATGTCGAAATAAATATATAATTTATAGTTTGACGAGTAATTTCATTTAGAAAATTAGAAAGGTTATCAGTCAATGACATTTATGATAGACATATCAACATCATTATAATCTGAACTAACTGAAATATCTCACTAGAGCTGAACTTGAATCAGTTATTATGTGTTCTTTCCAAAGAATTTGATTAGTTAGAATGCATGTTAACTGATTCAGTTCAGTCCAAGTGAAATATGTCAGTTAGTTCGGAAGGAAAGAACGCTCATTATAACATCAAAAATAGTTCAATGGCGCAGACTAGAGGTTAGACAATGAAAAATTTATCGGACCTCTCTATATTTCAATGCGGCCAAGTTGGTAGCAATGAAGAGAAAGATAAAAGAGGAGAGAACATTCTTCTCTCTCGTTCAAGGTAGAAAAGAGCTCAATTGAAATGGATCTAAGATTTCCTGTGCAATATCGTACATGCTTTGTCGACGAGACATTGTATATAGGACCGCTCATGCAGACTGACGTTTGATGACGGATCGGTGCTGTTATACTGGTTGTTGCCGTCCGCTGGTGGCGAAGAAGGCCTGCTAGACGTGGATCTAGAAGGCGAATTCGTACTCTCCGACTGTCTGGTCAACACCTCCGAACTATAGTTCCACTCGGAGTTGACATTCGTTTCCAGAGATCCAGAGGTGTTAGTTCTGGGCAATCTGTCAGACAAAAGGAAATTTTGTGATGTGAAATTTTATTTATTTCTCAGGTTTATCGAGAATAGTAACTCAGTTTGATAGCAACTACACTAATTTGCAAAAAAATCAAAATATATTTGGGAAAATTCAAAATCTGACAATCATTTCATTTTTAGTTCAATTCCCATAAATACTTTAGCAAACTGTATACTCAGTCTTTCATTAAATTCTGGCGTATTAGTCATTATACAGAATTGATTGAAATGTAATTGAATAACCCTTATTTTGAAAAATCTAATGGAAGAATTTTGTAGCCTAAATTTTTCAAAATACCAATTCTTGTTCAAGTGCACTGGTTCATTTTTAAGAAACACCAACAGTTCACTTCAAGAAATGTTCTCTAACGAGGTGGTAACAACAAAATGAACTTGTGTTGATCCATCCCTGTACAAGGAAGATGTTGATAGATTGTATCCTGATCGGTTGGATTCATACTTACCAAGTTGGTCTACAACAGATTTCATATTGTATAGATTTGGTCGGACAATAATTGTTCATCAAAACTGTGCTAGACTACTCATATAACTAAGTAACTCATAACTACTAACCGACAAACTAAGTTGTCATCTAACACTACATCAACAACTGTTCAGAAAATACATATATTTTTGAAGTAATAAACTATTGGTGACAAGTTCATTTTGCTCTAGAAAATGAAGCAATGCACCTAAAAGCATAAACGAAGAAGAAAATGTAGAAAAAGAACAATGCCTAACAGAAATTCGTATTTTGAATAAATTTGAAAAAAAAAATTAAGGGATATGCAACAAACTTTTAATCATCCCTGTATAATGACTGGTATGCCAATATTCAACAAAAATACTGAATATGCGATTTGAAATTGGTTCAATTCATCAAGTTTGCTAAAAAATTATGCAATTTGTTTTTTTTTTTGCATTTGAGTGTAGTTTAACCCAGAATGGCAAAATATATTGTTCATATTAAATTAACCACTTCTATCAAGAAATATTTTGTGTTTACCTAGTGGCCATGAAATCTGTTTTCTGTGTTTCTGCAAGATTCAAAACATGGCTCTTAACACTATTTGCACTGCTGAGCTCAATTTTTCCTTCAGACTGCTTATTCTGACGAGCATCATTATTGATTCTGTGTTTGTTTATTTTCCTCAAATGATATCCCATTTTCAAAACATAATCCTCAATGTTTTCATTCATACCATTTGCCTCTAATCTTCGAAATAACTGAAAATTGTTCAGTAATGGTTCATATGTACAGTGTGACCCATTCTTAATGGAACCCCCCCCCCCTAAAATTTGAAGTTGTAAACCGATTTCAATTATTTTTTTCTTGAGATGTCAAATACTCAAAGGTCTACCTTGGGACATTGAAACATTTCAATTATTAGTTATCATTGTAGTTAAGTTCATTAAAATTTTTTGCTTCAGTATTAGTTGAATTGTGTGAATGTAATTCCGTTATTTTTATTAAAAAATTCACGCTATCATTTTTTTTTTCAATCTGGTGACACTTTATTGTTGAAATCATAAAAAAAATATTCTCATGGCTATATCTGTTGATATATTGTATATTTTGTGACTGTTAGCTGTGTGAGTTTTCGAATTGTTGAGCTGTCATAACTTTGTTAATAATGAATATTTTTTTCACACCTGTTCAGAGTCACTCTGAATCCAGTGGCGTAGTGATTTTTTCAATAAAAAAATCGCTAATGAAAAATCCCGATTTTCGACTAAGAAAAAATATCGTAGTATGCCCTGAAAATTGAAATAAACATTTCAAATTTGGTCCCAAGCTAGACCTTTCAGTACTTGACATTTCAAAAAAAAATTATTGAAATCGGTTTACAACTTCAAATTTTAGGGGGGCGTTTTCATTAAAAATGGGTCACACTGTATAAATTGAAATTCAAATGAAGAAGCTCATTTTACTCACATTCCTCAAACTGGGTTGTGTGTCTCTATAAAAATCGGTATTAGGGACTTTCCCCGTATTCACACATTCTCTTAGACTCTTTCTCTCTTTCAAAACTTCTAGAATTGCATCAATTTCTGGATACATGACAACACTGTCATAGACGTTTCTTGGTATCGGACTAACTAGAGATTCCAGCAGCAGTTCTGGTCTAGAATTTTATTTTCATGAATGGCAAAAATAAGAAATTTCGAGGAATTTCAGGAAATTGTACGAAATTCGCGAAATTGTGAGGAATTTCGGGAAATTTTAAAATAATATTCACAAAGGAGTCTCTCATACACTCGTTGGAAGTTGGGAATCTCGGGATATTTTCTTTTGTGAAAATTTATAGAATAATGGAGAAATTGAGGAAAATTTCGAGAAATTTCAGGGAATTTTGATAAATTTTGAAAATGTCTCGTAGAGGAATTCATCATTGACCGAAAATTAAGAAATTACGGGGAAGTGAAAGGAATTGCACACCAAAAAAATTTAAACATTTTCAGATGAATTTCTCGTACACTTTGTGGAAAATGGCAGAGAAGTAACGGAGAATTTTGAAAAATGTTCACAAAGGAATTTCTTGTATACTTCATAAAGATAATGACCAAAAAGTGAAAAAGGAATTTCGAGAATTTCGGAAAATATCGAAGAATTCTCTGGAATTTTGAGGAATTTTCACAGAGGAATTCCTCATACACCTTAGAGAACTTGGCAAATTTTTAGTGATTCATAGGAATTTCTCGAATTCACAGAGAAATTTTTGTGTGGGAAATTATGGGAAAATGAATGAATTTTGAGGAATTTTTGGGAATTTTCGAGAGAACTTTGTGACATTTTGGGAAATTTCGAGGAATTGTGAGGAATTTTGGGGAAAATCAGGGAATCAAGAGGAAACTTTGGGAGATACATAAAAAACAAGGAATTTTTCGTCCACAATTTTAGTATATGGTTGACCCCACGATAAAAGCAGTTATTGGGAATGATTGACTTACTTGTCAATTTGTATCAAAGGGTATTTCATATAAACCTTCAGTTTCGGCATAATTTTGCACTGAACATCTAAAAGTGCCAGACTTTTTGCCGCCGAAGATATGAAACCCGCGACTGCTTGCCTGACCCACAAACTAGGATGCACCAAGAAAGTAGAACACTCTGTAACTAACTCGCATAAGGAAGGTTTCGTAATGAGTCCCAGTTCAGTTAAAGCAGACATTGCATTGATGCTTTTCGCCGTTACAAACTCTGAAGAGTCGGTTAGTCCCTAAAAAAGATATAAGAATCTTCAAAATATATCGCAGCACAAAATGGCAAGTTTAAATTTTCTAGTACATAGATTAATTTCATTCCCTCTGAGCAAAGAAAGATTCAATGCTGAAAGAAGTGTTGTTTATAAAGTGGCTGGCGTCAATGGCTATGATATCAAAATAGTAGATAAATTAATATGTAGACATAAATTTGAGTTGACACTTCGGAATTCTACGACTTTTCAAGTGGATAAAAAGAACTCTAGAAGAATCTCAATCCCGTTCAATCCCAAGTATACGAAGGGACTTGATAAGGTTTTCAAAGACTTAGGTTTTGAAAGAGTTCATCAGTCTGGGTCAAAATTAGGCAATTTATTAGGCAATCCGAAAGATAAAGTGGACACACTTGAAAAGTCGGGAATATACGAAAAAAGTTGCAATGATTGTGATAAAACATATATAGGCCAAACCAGGCGACCCATAAAAACAAGGTTCAAAGAACATATAGCACATTTGAAATATGGCAGGTTAGATAAATCGTGTGTAGCCGAACATATTGTCACAAATAGGGTTATTTTTCATTCATTCATTCAAATTCATACAAGGTTCGAAGTCATTGAACGGTCGCGTCTTTGTTTATGAATCCCAAAATTTTCGAATCGTGAACGAACTCTTTTTTCCATAGTTGAACATAAACACAGGCGTGACATTGACTTCAACGAACCTGGACTATCGACCTGATTTCCTTACTGTCACGTTTCCGAAAATAAAGACAACTATTTAAAAGACGTAAGGAAGCGGGTTCGACAGTTCGACTACCGGTTCGACTGCGACGGTTCTAGTCTTGTTTTTTTGAGTGCGAATCAGGGAAGTTCAAGTTCTATCGATTGTAAGTTTGAAAAGTTGCCACTGTGCCCGAACCGTCGGAGTTCGGGCAGAACAGAAGATGCCCTTCCTCTAAGGTCCCAGCAATATCAGCTTTCAATGTACATATAGAAGAAGATTTATTTGTCAAGCCAAAAAAATACAAAGATTCCACAGAGGCTTCTCTGCTTGGTTGGAATAGTACAGTATATATACAAGTACAAATATTAACAAATACACAGTAGGAAAAAATAATAATAATAATAATAATAATACTGAGGTACTGGTAGTAGTAAAACTAGTCAATATACATATACATATATAGTAGACTTTTTCACAAACACTAGAGAGCTAGCAAACATTTAGCATTCAAGGGCAAAGCATTTTCTAACATCATTATTTATTTACATGTTTTCAAGGTAGTTCCTTAGTTTATTTTTAAACAAGTGATTATGACTTTTAATTCCAGTGGGAAGCTGGTTATAAACAACTGCCCCATTGTACAAGATGGATCTTTTCGATAAGTTTGAATTCACTGCAATAAGTGTAATGTCTCCATTATTTCTTGTTTCATAATTATGTATTTGACTTCTTGTGTTGAATGTTAAATTGGAGTGACGTGCTTTACTTTTCACCTGATGAATGTACAAACAAACCTGATAATCATATATCTTAGCTAGATTAAGAATATTATAATTTTTATAAAGATCATCTGTATTGTATCTGAAAGGAAGTGAATAGATATTCTTGATGGCCTTATTTTGCAATATTTTAAGAGGTTTTATGATTCTTTCACATGTTGGATACCAAATTAAGGTTAGATATTGCAAATGACAATGTATTAATGTATAGTAAACCGATCTCAATAAATGTTTGGGAAGACAATAGCTAAGTCTTTTTAGTATGCCTATTGGTGCTCGTGTTTTTTTTATAAGTTTGTTAATATGGTATTCCCATGACAGGTTTTCATCAATATAGATACCGAGATACTTGGTGATTGCAGAATATTTCAGAGTCTGGTTATTAAATATAATTGGAGTGCTATCATTAATAGCTTTTCGTTTGGATATAAACATATAACTAGATTTATCGGTATTGAGAGTTAACTTATGTGTTATTAGCCAGTTTGCTATTAATTTCAAATCATGTTCAATAGATTCTCTTATGGACTCCTTTGTGTCCCCAAAATAAATTAATAATGTGTCATCTGCATACAATTTTATCTTTCCCTTCAGATCTAAATTAGCCATTGAGTTTACATAAATAAAATATAATATAGGGTAAGTTAAGTTTTTATTAATAATTGTTATTCCTTTATGCCAAGAATAAATGTGTGTATATGTTTTGTTGAAAACCATTTGGAGTATTCTTTATTACTATCACTTTCAAAGTTCATTCTCTAATGGATCTAGAACACAACTTAGGCAACCCCCGCCTACAGTTTGTGACAATATGTTCAATCACAATCATAACACACAATATATTACTAACCTCAAATTAGTAAAGCAAGTTAATAATTTTAGAAAATTAGACGCATATGAAAGCTTAGAATGGACCTATTCCATGTAGTCCTCTATATAGTTTGGTAATATAAAAATTGAGATTAACATGTGAACTCAACTATGACAAACCTTAACTTGATTGTTAGTATTTTTCACGGTTGGGTGAACATATACCTAGTATATAAGCAGCACACTAGAATAGGATATTTAGTTTTAATCTTCTCCTGAAGATGCTAACATAGTTAGCGAAACACGTGTCGAGGCTTTAAAAAATCGGTTTGGTTAGTGGTAAAACAGTGTAGTATATGTTGAGAATAGATAAGATTTACAAAAAAATCCTTGAATCACGACAAAAAGCTCGATAATCTGTGATGAAGTATTCGAAAAATTATAAAAATGGAATTAATGATAATTTTTAAGCATAGAAAATAACACGTTACATCGAGTCTTTTCTTCATTTTCACACACCAACACTGAACACACGAATTCAATCTAACCTGAAATGAAGCATCGTGTAACAAATAATCCTTTTGGTGAGGATTGCTTCCTTTTTTTTAAGTGATTGATCTGAAAAAATACTATGAAGGTATTCACTGTTGGGGCCGAGAGTGATTCGTATTTCAATGATGTTTTTTTTTAAGATCGGTCGTGAGCGAAGCATTTTCTGTAAACTTGTTTCCGCACGGATTATTTCTTGTGCCCTGTCTCTAGATGCCCCCAGGTCAGATTGAACTCGTGCACACTGAACACATCATTATGCTTCATTGTTCATCAGGAGGAACTACTTCAGTAGATATTCGAAAACTTAATTCAAAGCTATGAAGTGGTGTACTTACTCGTTTTTTATATTTTTTATTCAATTCACTTCTAATATATGGTTAGCGTTTGTAGAATTTGTACTTTAATAATTTCATGTTATGTTCATCAATGCAATGGTGGAAAGATTCACTTGTCTGACCAATATATGCCTTAGGACAAAATCCACAGTTCAATTTGTATATACTTCTGATTTTTTAATTAGGATTTGTCTTTTTTATTTTTGATAAACCTCTCGAATGTTCACCATGTAGATATGAGACTAATTTATTTTACTGTTGATGATCAAAATTAGGTTGAAGTTTTTCCACTCACAAAAATCCTCTCTTTTCTCAATTGTCAATATGGACTATCAATTCAAGGATATTAATAAAAGATAATATTTGCAATCCAAATGCAAAAAACGTAATTTCACTTTGTCCTCCACGAATGATATTCAGATTCATATTCATTGGAACATAATAATTATATATTTTTGGAATTTCTTGAAATTTCTTTGAATCGTTTGCAAAATCGAAGTAAGGTACACAGAATTTTGACTACAGTTTACACTGTTAAAGTAATAAGTATGTGAAGATATTTTTTATAAAAAAATGACTGAAACAATAAATACAGTAATCAGAATAGTATTTTCAATAGGAAAATATCATAACAATGTGACTTCAACCTTCATTCCATTTCAAATGCTTCAGACTAACATTGTTTTATGGTAAAGAAACTTACATCCCCTATAGTATATAGGATGTCTCTGGTTCAACTTGTCTAACTTCAAAATCAATAGAAAATTTGAAAATATTAACTCAGTGTTTTTTCGTTTTGTGGTGAAGATATTGGTGGGGAAATAAACATTTGATAGATATGTATTTTTCAGTCCCTCAAATACCCGAGCAAATACCTGAAGTAAAAGTGGAGTCAAAATTCCAGAGCAATGCCATCCTATGTAAGCAGAAACACCAATGATGCAGTCAAAAAAGGAACCCCTTAATTCTTTGTCTTCCTTGTCATTCAAAAAAGTGATCATGTGTGAAAGCAGAACATCATTTGCTGAAATATAGAAAACCTGATTTATTACATCCATAACTAAATGGAAATTGTTGTACCTTTAGTTTTACCAAAGAAAACACAGAGTTTAGTAATGCCACTGTCCATCAAAGTTTGTTTAACAATAGACTGGGTGTCTGTTAAAAGAGCACTGACAGTTTGGGATATCATTTCATGAAGTGCTTGAAGCTCTAATTCATAGTTGAAAGTATGTTCATCTTTCTGTTTATTTGAATTATTGTTGTCATACCAATCATTCTGGATTTGATCTAGATACCTTAAATGAAAATGGAATTTACTCTTGACTGTTCAGGTATGTTGAAATATTTTATGTTTATTGAAATACCTCAGAGCAATTTCTGCTAGTTTAGCAATATTCTTTGCATAAGCTGCCCTTACACAAGTATTGGGATCAGTAGCCAAAGGGGCCAATTCCGGCAATATATACTCTGGAAATATATTTGCATCAGATCTGGGAATTTTGGTAACCAGATCAAGGCATTTTGTTATAGTGTCAATAGCTGATATTTTGACTCTAGTTGAATTGTCATGTGCAACATACATCTGGAAAATTCAAATGTGAAGTAAAACAGTAGAAAAATGATAATGGTGCAGCATTTACTACAGTACTAACATGGATGTGACTTTTTTTCACGTTTTTTGTATCTTTACTTACTCAAGAGAAATACCCTACATAATGTGTTGAGCACATCATTATGAATATAAATATATTGGAATATATTGTATGAACATGAAAAAATAAAATAGGATACAGTGAGAGATAGAGAGGTAGATTATAATAATGAAATACCTTGTGAATTACATTGGTGGTTTTTGATTTTCTTCTAAATACTCCAATATGGAGTGTCAGATTGGTGAACAAATACCAAGGCAAATAAATACCTAAATACCCTCTTATGATTCTCTAGATTTTTGAAAAAGCTATTATAGTTTAATGAAAAAGTTGTCAGGATCATCAGAAGGATAAATCAATACCTATTTTCTTCAAATACCAGTTAAAAAAACGATTGCCCTATTTTTTATGGAAGAAAATTGGATGTATGACCCTATGTAGTAAAAATATAATTATAGGTACTTACAATATATGGTAAAATTCTATCCAAAACAGTCTCATCACTGGCATGTGATGCAAGTTCAAGTAGGATTTCTAGGCTGTACAGCTTTGAAGAACAGTCATGAAGACCCCTTATACAGGATGTAACAAGTGAAGTTATTATAACCAAACCTTCACATTCCCCCTTGTCAGTTTTCTCAGAATCTTGTTTTTCCCCTTCCCTCTCATTTGATTTTGTCATAGGTCCAAGAAAAGTGAAAATTTCTACAATGTCAGTTTTCAATCTCATAATTTTTTCATCTGATGACAATATAGGACTGGATGAAAAAATTAGCATATATGATTGCAAAAATGAAAAGAAATATTCTGGGAACAGTGTGCCTCTGTACTGTGCTAAATAATCCTCAGCTGAACTCCTTTTGTTGGGATCTTTCTCAATCATATTTGATATTAAAGACTTCAGATTTGGGTCTTCCAATTTGTCCAAATGTTTTTGTGGAGAATACTTTCCTGAACAGTAAGCAAGTAGTTGAGAATATTCAAAAGGTAAGTGCAGTTCATTCCAGAGTTCCAATAATGCACAACTGAAATTCCTAATTTGAAAAAAGCTTCACAGAGTTACAAAAGACTTACCCAGCAGAAAATATGTCCATTGCTGGAGTCAAGTCACTTGAGTCACATGTGGCTTCAGTAATGATGGAACTAGTTTCTGTAATTGTAGTACTGGTACTAGAAAATCTTTCTGGGGCAATATAACATACTCTTCTTCTAGAAGTATCAAAGAAATATGAATAGTCAGCTGGATTGTCAACAGGGACAAAGGTAGGCTTGAAAGAAGCAAAATCAACAAGCAAAACCCAGTTCCAAGATGTAACAGTAATATTTTCTAGCTTTATATCTCCATGACAAACACCCACTTTGTGGCATTGGTGCAATGCATATAAAATTTGAAAAGTTATCCAGCGTTTCTCAATATTAGTCAAAAATGGCCTAGTACTTATCCTGTCATAAAGACTGTACTTGACATATTCTCTCATTATAATACCAGCTTTATCTGTTAGAATGATTTTTTGATAAGGAATACAGTTCACAGCAGAGCTCAACTTTTTTCGAACATCTTCCAAGTGGTCTTTGTAAGTTGATAAGGGTAATGAAGGGTCATGTATAGCAAATACTTTGACAACCGTTAAACCTTCCTGAGATTCAGCTCGGGCTACTTTCAGAAATCTTGTGCTACCCAAACTGCAAAATGAAAAAATTGTGACCTACCAAATATATGAAAGATATATTTTATTAACCTTGTATCAAATTTCAAGTCTGGAAGATCAGTGAGGTATCTTTCTACAGGAAATATTTGTGAAGGCGCAATGCCCACAAGTTGATTTCCCATTGTTATAGCTGAATATAGCCAAAGATAACTTTGAAACTTTCTGACCTTATGTTTACTTCTTGTTTGTTTATTTACGTTTTACATGATTTACTTCAATTCATCTTTCATCTTGACCTTGACATAAGTTGAGTCGATTCTTGACGTTTAAATGTCAATGTTTGAAATTGTGTTTGAACGACAAATGACATTGGAAATATGGATCATATATGCAACCAGTAATACACATAATAGTTCGCCACTTTGTAGCAAGATGGCAAACTCAAACGTCAGATTTGTATTTTAGTTAGGTTATGAAAATCTTGCAAAGTTGAAGTTGAAAATAATGAGTGGAATAGTGGAAGAACAAAAGGAACAAGGAATTAATTAACGAAAAATGTGAAACCTATGAAAACTAATTGATACTAATAATAGCATTTAGAAATATATCAGTTATCGACAAAATGAATATGGATGTGAGTCCTTTAAGTATAATATTAGTAAAATCGGACAGCAAAGGCGACAGATTATTGTTTCGCTACCCCTTTCTAATCAAACAGAACAACGAACCTTCGAGTACACATAGAAAAAATCCCTACACGTTACCTATTGTTGAAGACCTACTTCAAAGTCCTGTGCAACCTTCTTCAAATATTAACAAGGAAAATTTGACTGGGTTAACAGATGAAGTGCTCTCATCACTCTTTGCTGTGAAAATGGAACTATGCAATCGAAAATTTGAACTAAAAGTCAATGATGTTAGGTTTGTGAGCCATCCAACATTATTGCAATTGAGAAACAAACAGGAGAAGGAAGATGATTCTGGAATTATGTTGGTGAATATTGTTTTTGCACTTCAAGCATTGGCAAGTCATTCAGTAGGTAAGACAAAGCAATAAAAGAGTCAGGCTTAGTTTAAATGAAGGCTTCCAAATCATTATTTTATGGAAACATATTATTTTGTAGCTTTATATCTTAATTATGTATTACCACATTATCAATAGGTATAGCTCTGGAGGTAGGTATCTTTGAAATCCTATCAATTCATTTCATTCCTTATCATGCTTTTGTTGATCATCTCTTAATTATTCTCAAACCTTTTTCAGTCAAATGTTATCATGATTTGAGCAAAAGATTAGGAATTGTCTTGAAATATGAAGAAAAACGGTGTGGCTATGTTTCTGAGCAAACTCAGTTGATGACAACAGCTCTTGATGATGGTTACCCAAATGGACCAGGCAGTGCTTTCAAAATTATTTTAGAAAAGTGTCCATTAGCTAGTAATATTAAAAAAATGTATGATGATCTTTGCAGTACAGGTATTTGGTTTTGTACTGTTAGTTCATGGATATATTGATATAATAATAAATTATTCAGGGCTGGTGAATTTGAGAATTAACAGGTGGATACCATTGAGTTTCTGCCTTCCACAAAAAGTACATCAGTGGCATATGAGAGGAAAAATTGTTGAACCTGAAGATATAGACAGGTAGGTATAGATTCATTTTCTGAGTCAAAATAATATCACTAATATATCTATTTTGTTTTTATAGGTGTCTCAATGCTTTGAGACCATACCACAGTTTGCTTTTACTTCATCCTTTGCAACAAATGAATGACTTCACTTCACTTGATGGGTCTCCATCTTTAGTCAGAATGTTATCACAGTATTCGCCACTGAAAAACCTGCAAACATTAGCTGCAGATTCTGATCTAACCTTATCACATGTAAGAATAACCTGTTTGAAAAATATTCTAAAGCAAAGCAAAATACCTACCTAGTTGAATCCTAGTTGAAAATTTCACCTGTTGATGTATTTGATTGGATGTCTCATTTGTTTATTCCAGGTATTTGAATTGACAGCTCATCTAGTCTACTGGGCAAAAGCCACTGTTATATTTCCAGTATGTTCTACCAACAAATATGTAATATCTCCTAATGCACCTATTCACATAAATTCTCCACTAGTAGAAACATTTTATGAAACTTTTCCTGGTGTGAATCTCAACAGAGTTATCAGTGAATTTTCACTACCAACTTCTTTGGGGCAGAAATGTAACCCTCTCTATCACCGTTCACAGCAGTCTCATCTTGTGCAAACGATAATTTGGATGTTGCAGCATCATTTGTTGTTGCAGTTGCATACTTATATACAGTATATGCCAACAGAAAATGGATTATTACATATCAAATCGTAAGTTGATTTTTAAAAATTGTTTTGAAGAACAATGCAAATACAAAATATAATAATCAGAAAATTGAAATTGAGAATCAACTTGATATCAGTCGAATAAAAAGATTGCATTAAAATCAACCCCAAAATATTTCATTGCTATACAGTGTTGTCATTTAAGTGTGCAACATATGGGAATCTTTTTAATGAATTGCATATCCAAAATACAGATAGTGCCGAAAGTTGGTGCATGTTCGGTAATTATTTTAGGTGCACTTGGGATGGTTGCAAGTCAAGCAGCATACAGGGAAGGTCAAAAAATTTTAAAATTGCTCAAGAGTAAAGTACCCTAATTTCGGAAAATTCAGTCAAATGTTATTGACAAAAGTTGTTAACAATTGAAAGTTATGACTAAATAAAATTTCCCAATTTGTTATTTTTTTTATATTCATCCTAAACACTTTCATGAGCTAATCATAACAACATCAGTTGAGAATACCTTTGTTCAAATGCAAGAATATTTGTGCAATCAACTTAGATTTCAACTTTTTTAAGGTACAAGGTAAAACATCATTAGATGAGAAGTTAATGTCACCAAACTGTCTTAATATTTTATAGTTGTCCATTGATTTGTACAGCTTTCTCATAAACATTCCAAATACAAAATCTACATTAAATGGAAGTTTTTGAATTTGCAAATTATCATTAATGACGTTTTACCTTGTTAAAAATATGATTTGGGAAATTTTAAAGTTAAGCTGAATATCGTTGCAACAAACATAAAGTTCGTGATTCCCTAAAAAAATTATAAACCAAATTAATTGCACAAATTTGCTTGAATTTGAACAAAAGCAGGATCAACTGATTTTGTTATGATTAACTTATGGAATTGTTTAGGGTGAATATAAAGGAAATTACAAATTGGGATATTATTAACGAAAAAAATTTCAAAACTCAAATATGTCTTAGGAGGCCATGTTTTGGAATTTTGGCATAACTTTCAATTGCAAACAACTTTTCTCATTAATATTTTGCTGAATTTTCTGAAATAAGGGTACTTTACTCTTGAATAAATTTCATATTTCTTGACCTACCCTGTATGCTGTTTGACTTGCAACCATTTTAAGTGCACCTAAAATGATCACTGAACATGCACCAACTTTCGGCACTATCTTTATTTTGGTTGTGCAATTCATTAAAAAGATTCCCATATGTTGCACACTTAAATGACCACACTGTATACGTTTTTCTCTATATTCCATATTATATCTTTCAGAGATCAGAGTAAAAAACACATGACATCACCTTCACCAAGAAGTAGTACAGTTATGTCGAATTATCAAGCAACAAACACAGAATATCCAAGGGCTGAATCAGAAAGTGGAGCTTCAACTGTTTCTGAAACTCCTGAACTCCTATCCAAGGCCGTTATGTAAGCTGCACATGATTTTTTTTACAAAGGCGAGTGGACTAATTTTTTTTCCTTTCTTAAATAGAATCATCACTCAAATACCTTTCAATTTTCAAACAGCTAGAAATTTACCACAAGTGAAAACTGACGTCACGGGATTACCGACAATTGGACGTGGTCAATTGGACGCACGAAAATTAGACGCGGATAATTGGACGCGGCGACAATTGGACGCGGCGACAATTGGACGCGGCGACAATTAGACGCGACGAAAATTGGACGCGACGAAAATTGGACGCGGCGACAATTGAGCGCATGCGAAAATAAAAATAATTTTATAATTCCAATGAAATTTATTGCATGGAATATGCAGGGCTCATATCTATAATATAACACCTAACCTAACCTAACCTAACCCAACCCTCATATTTGATTAAATAATCAGCGTTTTTGGTAGTAGGTAAAATATTGTACTATATTCGTATCGTAAATTCATATTACGATATGAGATAGGAAAATAATTGTCAAACGAGGCCATAGGTATTTGTTATAATTATGGATATAAGCCCATTAGTATCTCATATTTTATACAATGAATTTCATTGGAATTATAAAATTATTTTTATTTACGCATGCGTCGAATTGTCGCCGCGTCGAATTGTCGCCGCGTCTAATTGACGCCGCGTCTAATTGTCGCCGCGTCCAATTGTCGCCGCGTCCAATTGACTGCGACCAATAGTCGTGCGTCCAATTTTCCACGTCCAATTGACGCGACACCGACGTCACGATTTCGTAAGCAGTGGCATACCATAGCACAGTTGCTATTTGTTGCAATATGTTTTAGAACTCCAGAAATATTAGTTATTCAATAATTCATAAATTCCCAATTATGTATTGGTTATATTCCTAATTATCAATAGAAAATCAATTACCTCATATGTTGTGGCTTATTGCTTATCATAATTCACACTAGAGGACATTTGAACTGGTGAACGTGACAACAGGGCTCACGAATTGTGGGCGGTGCCTTGTCAGCTCTCAGCATTCAGCACATTGTTGCCATTTCATCAACATTCACATGCTATTTTGTTTCGGAGTATCAGATATACAGGGTGATTCACATAAGAACCGACATAGAGCAGGGGCATGTAGGAGGTCCCAAAATATGGCAATTCAACGCAACTTACCTCTATACCAAGTTGCTTCCCTAAGGAGTTATAGGCTTTGAAAGTGAAGTTATAAATTTTGAAAAAAATCAATATCTCCGTTATTCTTGAACTTAAAGCAACCAAATTTGGTACACTTTGTGGATGTATTTAGGGCGTTACTTGACAGTAACTAGAGTTCAATTGAAATTTGTAAAGGGGGTATACCGAGTGGCGCACCATTAATATTCAACAGAATTTTGTTAACCCTTGATGGATTTTGAAAATCTTTGCTTTGTTTTGTGGGCAATTCAATTCAAAAACTTTTTTTAGTCTAGTGATTTCTCGAAAAACCTCATCATTTTCATCAAAAACTCGAATAACTGAAAACGCGTGCTCTAGGTGTGTTATAAAAATCATCGAAAATTCAAAAGTTGACTATGAAAATAAACGTCGAACCTGACAATGAAGCAAGTAAAATGTTCAATTAAGTATTTTATCGATAAACAATTGTTTGTTCTGGTTGTTGTTTAAGTTTTTTGTGTTTATTTTGGTTAGTAATCCCAGTTTTTCACATTTCAGTATCTGTCCTTACTTTACGTATTTTGTTACGTATCTAAATAATAATTTGCCAGTCAATTTCTACTGATCACAATGACCTACTTTTTTGTTGTACGTTTATTTTGATAGCCAACTTTTGAATTTTTGATTATTTTAAATAACACACCTAGAGCGCGCGTTTTCAGTTATTCGAGTTTTTGATGAAAATGGTGAGGTTATTCGAAAAATTACTAGACTAAGAAAAGTTTTAGAATTGAATTGCCCACACAATAAAGCAAATATTTTTGAAATCCTTCGGGGGTTAACAAAATTCTGTTGAATATTAATGGTGCCCCACCCGGTATACCCACTTTACAAATTTCAATTAAGCTCTAGTTACTGTCAAGTAACGCCCTAAATACCTCCACAAAGTGTACCAACTTTGGTTGCTTTAAGTTCAAGAATAACGGAGATATTGATTTTTTTTTAAATTTATAACTTCACTTTCAAAGCCTATAACTCCTTAGGGAAGCAACTTGGTATAAAGGTAAGTTACGTTAATTGTCATATTTTGGGACCTCCTACTCGGTTCTTATGTGAATCACCCTGTATTTGGACATGCTGGTTGCTCAAAAAATTCAAGAATGAACTATAATATGGCTTCTTCCATTTATGTTTTATCTCGTGTTTTATTCAACGACAGGACTGACAAGAGTTTTGATAACTTGATTATAATTGGTGACTTGACATCCTTGCTTCATGAGTGGGAATGGAAGATTGTCTGACCAATATGGGAACACTATAAAAACTGACGTCACTATTTATTCGAAATATCGGCAAATGGCGGCCATGGCGGTACGTTTGAAACATATATCTACTACTCATATATGACGCATAGCTCTTCTCAAAGCGGGACCAACTTCTGTCTCTATAGGTAACGAAACCGACCAATATACAGTGTCATTCATAAAGTCAGCATCACATGGGAAAAACTTTTATTAATGATTTATTTTGGAATTCGAGTTGGACGTTTAGTTTTGCTTCAAAAAAGATGAAAAATTGCCTACTCAATCAGGGTCACGTGACTTTCGTTACATGTCAAAAGTGACATTTTTTCAAATTAATCGCTGAAAGTAGGCTTATTTGTTCGAATATCGAAAAAGTTTACTTGAAAAAGTTGTTTCTATTTCAATTTTACACATGCTTCTCGAATTTGATCTTTCTATTGCAACTTTTAGATTTTGATTTTTTTTTAATTTTTCGAAATTTCTGTAATATTTGAAGAATTGTTAATTCCACGAAACTACTTCATACCAGTAGCTTTTTCATGCTACTTACTTTCAATTTCTTATTATCACTGATTATGAACAGAAATATGATTTTCTTCAGAAAATGATAATACCCGCTTCCAAATTCTGTTATGTTTGATGCAAAGTTGATATATCGTCAAGCATTTAGAAACAAAATTCATTCAAACTGGAAAAATAAATTTGAATGAATTTCGTTTCTAAATGCTCGATTCACACATAACAGAATTTTGATGTTATGTTTGCATCAAACATAACAGAATTTTGAAGCGGAGATTATCATTTTCTGAAGAAAATCATATTTTTTTGTCGATAATTAGTGATAATTAGTAATTGAAAGTTAGTATCATGATGAAACTACTGGTATGAAGTAGTTTTATCGAATTAACAATTTTTTTAATATTACAGAAATTTCGAAAATTTTAAAAAAATATCGAAATCTAAAAAATGTAATAGAAAGATAAAATCCGAGTCACATATGTAAAATTCAAATAGAAACAACTTTTTCAAGTAAACTTTTTCGATATTCGAACAAATAAGCCGACTTTCAGCGATTAATTTGAAAAAATGTCACTTTTGACATGTAGCGAAAGTCACGTGACCCCGTTTGAGTAGGCCATTTTCCATCTTTTTTGAAGCAAAACTTAACGTCCAACTCGAATTTCAAAATAAGTCATTAATAAAAGTTTTTCCAATATGATGCCGACTTTATGAATGACACTGTATAGGCGTTGATGCCGGCGTAGGGAAAAAATAATACGAAACTTGTCAAACCAATATGGCTGTTTCCATCCTTCACTTTCCGTCCGTCATTTTGGTCCCATTTTTGTTGAGATATCGTACAAGCGATGCGCTATATATAGATATAGTAGATACAGGGTGTAAATTTGAAAACTTCCAATGCGAATATCTCGCGAAAGAAAAAAGTTAGAAAAACGCCGTTTGGCAAAAATGCTAAAGAGTTAAGGGGAACTAGAACCACCATATTTCGGTCAAGGGATGAGTCACCCCGTCGGCGCGACACACCCCAACTTTGAAATGTCAAATGGCACTACCTTTTTTATGATGCCTCAAATGTACAGTCTCAGTCAGTAGTATTCACCTGTACAAGACTTTTTTTCCACCCACTACAGGGTGTACGAAAAATATAAAGTCGAATAAAATAAAATGAATTGTGTTAAAAGGATATTTTATTTGATCAGATGTTCAAAAATGCATTCCATTCTGTTGTAAGCAATAGTATAATCGATGTTCAAATGCCATTCTAACATTTTGGAACAGATCTCTTGGAATATATCGGCATTCTGCATTTTATTTTATTCGACTTTATGTTTTCCGTTCACCCTGTAGTGGGTGGAAAATAAGTCTTGTACAGGTGAATACTACTGACTGAGACCGTTCGTTTGAGGTATCACAAAAGAGGTAGTGCCATTTGACATTTCAAAGATGGAGTGTGTCGCGCCGACGGGGTGACTCATCCCTTTACTGAAGTATGGTGGTTCTAGTTCCCCCTAACTCTGTAGCATTTGTGCCAAGCGGCGTTTCTCTAACTTTTTTATTTCGCGAGATATTCGCATTGAAAGTTTTCAAATTTAGACCCTCGAATTAATGTTTTTCGTACACCCTGTAGTGGGCGGAAAAAAAGTCTTGTACAGGTGAATACTACTGACTAAGACCGTTCATTTGAGGTATCACAAAAGAGGTAGTGCCATTTGACATTTCAAAGTTGGGTTGTGTTGCGCTGACAGGGTGACTCATCCCTTCACTGAAATATGGTGGTTCTATTTCCCCTTAACTCTTTAGCATTTTTGCCAAGCGGCGTTTTTCTAACTTTTTTATTTCGCGAGATATTCGCATTGAAAGTTTTCAAATTTAGACCCTCGAATTAATGTTTTTCGTACACCCTGTAGTGGGTGGAAAAAAAGTCTTGTACAGGTGAATACTACTGACTAAGACCGTTCATTTGAGGTATCACAAAAGAGGTAGTGCCATTTGACATTTCAAAGATGGAGTGTGTCGCGCCGACGGG